AATAGAACGTTAAATTACTAGAGCTCGCAGAAGCTTATCTTAAGAATTTAAGCCCCTTAAATACCTCTATCATTATCTTTAAAGTTCTTAATTCTTTTTCTTTACTAAAGTAAGTAATCATTATAAGCTTTTTAGGCTAATCTGTCGAAGCCTTCAATATTTCGAGAACGCTAATATTATTATTTCTATAGATATCTCTTAAGCAAGTATTTTTTACTAGAAGAATGATTCGCCGAAGTCTTTCGTAGTATCTCTTATTATTAGAATTTGAAGAATAGACTAGTAAGCTAGAATTAAGACTAATTCTTAAATCGCTTATTATTATAGTAGAGTAGAGACTATAAGTGCTATAATTGTTATATTAATATAAATATCTTAATAGAGAAGATTTAAGAGACTTGTTTTATACGGATCTTATTATATATTAAGTATGTATTATATCTAGTATAAAGCCTACTTTCTCGAAATCTTAGAAACGCTAGTCTACTTATATAGAGTAATGACTAAAAAAAGCTTATTTAAGACGATCTTGAAGGTGATATTTATAAACTTATTAAACCTGCGAATGGACGTCTATCTTTATGAAATATACGGGCTATTATAGTAGATAAAGTCGAGGATCTGAAACCTACTAACGAGCCTCGAATAACTTTTAATTATTTACGAGTTACGAAGCTTCTTCTAAGAGCTTATCTTGAGCTAAGCTCGAAAGTTTATGATTATCTATTTAATTTACGTTATAGATGCTTATTCTCAGCTAATTTAAAGTATATGTATCTTATGATACCTCTATATCCTGACGATAGATACTACTTTACTTTTACTATTTTAGATATTAATTAAATATAGTCTACGAGAATATAGTAGAGATTATAGTCTATAGACTTTATTATAATAGAGCTAGCTTATAGAGTATTTAATTTTATTTCTTCGAAACCTTCTTTATTATATTCGCCGGATTCTAAGATTTTACTACCTCTTATATTCTATATAGATAACTTCTTTAATAGCTTCTACGACTTTAAAAATCTATTTTTTTTCTATAATATTACTTCTTTTCTAGAGTTAAGTAGACTAAGTTACTCTTATTCTTTAAGAAACTATAACTATTTATATTATTAATTAAGGCCCTTAGCGTAACTTATATTATTAAAGAATATATTTATATTCTTAAAGAATGAGTTATTAAAGTAGTTAAGTAGCTTATTTCTTCAGATTAATCGAAAGTTTAAGGTTTCTTAGAAATTATCGGCATTACGCGTCGATAGATAAAGAACTTCGCGAAAATCGCGAGACCTCTTTTTAGACTTATGAGAAAGATGAAATAGCGATAAACTTAAGTAGAATAGTTATCCTTCGAGATTCTACGTATTAAATATATTATAAAAATAAGTATATATAGTATTAACTTAAGTCGAATCGTTTATATATATATTAATACTTTTAATTTTATAGCTAGATATGCTATTATATAGTATTATATTCTTACGCTATAAGAAGCTACTTTATTAAAAGCTTTATAATTTTAGAAGCTTATCGTAATAGAAAAGGATAAGAAAGTATCTATTTTATACGATTCGTTCACCTTTAGTCTTACTTAAAAGAAGTATCTTATTTATAAGCGAGAACTCTACGCTATTATTACGTTCTATAAGAAGTATAATTATTTATATAAGTATCTATATTAGTCTATTATAATATACACTAATTATAAATCTCTTATATATTTTCTCGACTTAGATCTTTATAAAAGAATCTATAAATATTAGGCTAATGGACTTCGTCGCTTAAATCTTATTATTTAATATATATTTAAGCCTCGAAATAAAGCTGCCGACGGCTTATCGAGAACCTTATTCGATATTAAATACTTAGAGAATATTATAGTTATACGAGTATGATAGAAACTAGAGAATTATAATCTAAAATGAATCTAGAAAGATGATAAAGATGAATTTAATTCGTTTTTAATAGCACTTATTAAATCGAAGTAACTTGAAGTTATTAATAGAGGTACGCTATATAATATTTCTTCTTTTTCTCTAGAGGCTATTTCTACTATAGAAGCTATAGAATTATCTATAAAAGTCTTCGATAAGATCGATAAAAATATTAAGATTTGAATTAAAGCTTATCGCAGTAGTATCTAATTTAATAAAATCTACGAATTCCTTATTGTAGAATCTTCGACTTTTACTATTACGCTACTTCGAAAAGCTTTTAAATATTAAATAGTATGATATATCCTATAGATCTTTCGAGGAGATATATATTTACCTTGCGTGCCGAAAGGAAAGATGCTTATTATACTTCGAAAAGTTTATAATAAAAGCGAATATTAGGTTAAGATTAATATCTTAATAAGACTACGTAGCTACTATTAGTCTAAGAAAGTATAAGATATCGAGAAGTATATTATTGGATATCTTAAGTATATTAAATATGAACTCGCTATTAAATCTCAGTCTTTATATTCTATTAAAGTCACATATCCTTTTTAGCTTATAAAAATAAATTTTATAGGCTTACTTAAAACTATCAAAGTAGAATCTACTTTTATACTCGTAAAAGTCTACTATATAAGCAGATTTACGATTTCCTTTATCACTGTCTCTATTAATATAAAGAACGTTATCTAATATCTTAAGTTATTCTTTATTATATATAGAAAGCCTTATATCTACTATCTCGATTATAATTAATATTTCTTTAATAATAAATTAAAAGAATTCTTAAGATTTAAAGGTATTATCGTTATATATAGTTCTTCTAATACTTCTAAGAGTACGAAGATAGTTAAGGTTTATAATAAATTTCTGAAAGCGATACTTCGCAAGGATTCTCTTTATATCGAATTAAAATGAAATTAGCGGCTATTAAAGACTGAAGGTTCGATTAATATACGAGTTATCGAATATCTAGAAATCTCTTCTATTAGTATTCTTTTCGAATCGCTATTAGAAGCTTCTATTAGTATATCTATCTTATATATACTTTTTAAATATAATGTTCCTATTTAAGTAGCTAAGTTGAAGGATCTTATTAATTATACTTAGATCGTATAATAATATCTTATTTATCGAATAAATCTTTATGATATAGTTAGGTAGCGTTCGAATTAGTAGAAGAAAGATATGGCTTCTCGATATAATAAGGGAATTAAGCGAATTACGTATTATATTAGCGATCTAATTATATTATATTAGAAGAATATAAGAAAACTAAAAGCTCGCTAAAGAGGTTTATTCCGAATAAGTAGATATAATAGATTCTATGAAAGATTCTTCACACTTATATAACTCAATAGCCGAAAGATTAGATACGCATTTCACGAAGATCATCTTAAGAACTTCGTTACTCATATAGGCTACCTCCTGGATCCCACTACCCCCTTATTACCACAATAGCAAACTACCAGACGTCCCCGCTAGAAGCTTTCCCGGAGATTCATGCTTTCCCGAGAAGTTTATGCTTCCTTAGAGATACATACGCTTGCGGAAGGCTTCAGGAACAGTGTTTTGTTTTGTTTTTTTTCTTCAGGTGCTATGCTATGCTACAGCTTTGTTTTCTACAGAAGCAGCTTTTGTCTATATTTGTGTATAGCTTTATAGTCGCTGGGGCTCTGTCTTGTTTGTTCCGTAGTAGTCGGAAGGTGCTTCCTGCGGGGTTGTTCTTTCTAGTCATATATAGTATAGCTCGCTTAGCTGGATCCCTAAGATCCTTGGGATCCTGCTTCCATAGAATCTACATCCTCTTCTACCCACACGATACCTGGTCATCCTTGTTCTTTGCGAGCATTTATGAATTGCAAATTAAATAAGAATGCTTGGCAAAGCTGATTCAGCTCCGCCTCCGACTTTTTGTTAGCGTCATTCATAGAAAATCGTAGAGAACGTACTTGCCACTCTTGCAATAGCCACTGTCGTCTGCTACCTCAGTTGGACATTCGTGATATCGAAGCTAGTGGGTATACACGCTTTTCCTGATGTTTTGCCTCTGACTTAGGCGTGTAATAGCCACATCGCCACCACTACTGGCTACTTGCCCTGTACCGGAATTAAGGCTATTACAGCAAGGAAGACATCCTTGACTAGCTGATCGATCGATTGCTACCCCTTTGCGAGTATCTCGAGGAGCGCAGTATCATTGTTCTGGACAACGTCAGTGTTCACGTCGATCCTCGCATTATTAAGGCTACACAGGCCAAAGGCTGTCTCGTCAAGCACCTCCCCTCCGTATTCGCTTGACTACAATCCTATCGAATTGACATTCAGCGTCCTTAAGGCGTGGATGCGGCGTCATTTTGAGACCTTTCGACACGTCTTTCAGAACGATTTTGAAGGATTTCTGAAGCATGCAATCGATATTAGTGGCTGTGATAGATTTGCGGTGGAGCATTTTTTTAGAGGGCCGCTCGGGTTTTTTTTTTTTTTGGGGGGTTTTTGATTTTTTTAAGATTTTTTTTTTTTTTTTTTTTTGAAAAAAAAAAAATTTTTAAAAAAAAAATTTTTTATATAAATAAAAAAATTCCCCCCTTTTTTTTTTCCTTTAAAAAGGGGGGGAATTATTTTCCCTAAATTTTTTTTGAAAGGGCCCTAAAAAAAGTCGGAGGCGGAGCTGAATCAGCTTTGCCAAGCATTCTTATTTAATTTGCAATTCATAAATCGAAGGCTGCAGAAAACCTTGTATCGGTGACGTCCCAGAACTCTTGCTAGGCGTACCACTCTCTCCGATTCCGGAACTAGCTCCGCCGCCAGGCGTCAAACCCAATTTCACCACTCCTGACTCTCGGACGCCTGCTATATTAGCTGTATGGCACGTTTGCTGCGATCATGCTAATGTCTTGTGGCACTGAGGATGTATACAAAAGCCTTCTTGGCGAGTCATGTGGTTGGGAGAACGGTGATGACATTGCGTGTTTCTTGCGACTGTTTCGCGACTTAATCGACGGGTACAATTCGCAGGTGATGAAGGCTAATGAACAAGACCATAAAATCGCCTTATCCAAAAGCCCCCAAAACCCCCGTCCCAAACGCCTTTTCCATCCCAAACACCCCAATATCAAACTCGAAATCCACGCATTCATAAGTCTTCAAAAAATGCATTAAACCCCAAATCGTCATTTCAAGCACCTCCCATGTCATGTGTCCGTTCTGGTGTATCACAATATACACCTTTCCTGATGAGTAATTCAACATGCGTTGTGTGACTAGGTTTTCAGGGTGGAGCTGGGCGTTGACGTCTCGAAGGGCGGTGTTGAGGACCACGTGAACATTTTGCGAGGGAAGAGAGGAGCCGTAGGCGTAAAACTTGAGCCTTATGGGGGTGGAGGGGGTGGTGTAGTAGTAGGGGGATGGTGGGAGGTGGCTGGAGGTATGAGTACGTAATTGGCGATAAGACCTTGAATCCACTTACTTTGAGGAGGGCGATGATGGGAAGGGGCTTTGGAATGTTGCATTAGTATGCGAGAGGTTGATGAGTCTCAGTGAGGGTGGCGTGAGAGGCGGTGCTCCGAGAGCTAGTGTATATATGAGGCTAAAGAGATAAAGGTTTACCACGGCAACCATTCTCGACACTCAGTACTTTAGGGGTGAGGGTGCTAGAAAGTTTTCTAAGGAAGATAGCCTGGCGCAGGGAGGCGCTAATTCGCATATGAGGGGGGGGTACGGTTCGTCTGTCGCATCCGTCGGAGTTTGCGCCTGGAGAGACGTGTCTGCAAGAGCCGGGCAGGCCGTCAGGAAAATAACGATGTGGATGCCGACATCATCGTCTCGTTCGCGGATTCTGGGCATCAATCCAAATTACTTGTAGTTCACAATGAGACTGTTCCTGGACGATGCGGAAGTATTAGAGAGCAAGAGGGCCTTCTCGTTGATGCTGGTGCTATGAGGATCTGACAGTTCTGCCGGCCCCACTGTCACCACTGTTCCTTGCACGCTGCCGGGGGTATGAGGGACACCGGTCTCCCACTTCATCGTTGTCAGGGCCAGACATGGCACAGTTTGTGGTTAAGGCGGAAAACACCAGAAGCACATAGACTCTTCGTACGAGTAGCATTGCACATGCGCCACGAGTGCAACCTCGTAGCATGGAATCCTTTCAAGCTCTTTCAAGCTCCGTTCGGGTCCCAGACCCACCTTGTATTGATTGACCAGAGAGACAAGGCAAGAATACGATGTTTGGGACTCTTGCAATCTGAATCGACAGTTTGTCGATGGCTTGGGCTTCATCAGAGTAGACATTCACAGAGCATTCTCGTTTAATGGGAACATGGAGACCAGAATTCTATAGCGAGGCACATTGTTGGCTAACATCATGCGAAACATGAAACGACATCCAGAGGCCTTCAAGTCTCAACATAGAGTACGAGAGAAACAAGGAGCCAAGCATGTTTTGTGAATCCGTATTCTTCAACGGAGCAGAATATTAAAAATTGTTGGAGATGCCAAGCAGTTCAAGGCTGATAGTCCGGAAAACGCGCTAGCGTAGGGCTGAATAAATCGCGTATTCCGGCGCGAGATCTGTAGTCGATCACCACATCTTACATTGTCTACTCAGGACACACTTTCACTTTACATCCTACCGCAGTTGCGTTCCTCATCCAAAGGGTAGCCTGAAGTCCCAATGGCCCTACCTACTACGCCTGCCCGGTCGATCGCGCGCTCTACGCTCTCAACGCCATCGACTGCCCAGCATGGCGGCTCACCCCAAGAGCTCACTCCAAGGAGCAAGGTCAAGGCCATGCTAGCGGCGATTGATGATGATTCCGACTCTGAGCCCATCCCGGAACCCAGAAAATCAGGAAGAAGTGCCTTGTCAGCTGTCACTGGCAACATTCAGAGGCTTGACGGACACAAAAGTGGGAAGGAGGATGCCGATGTTGGTCAGCGAGAGGACGAGGACATGGAAGAGGGAGATGAAATTGATGAGTCGCCAGTTATTCCTAAGGGCAGGTTGGCAGCCCGCCTCAACGGACAGACCTTCGACAGACGCGGATCCAGCTCGACCAGTGAAGGAGATCGTGATGGAGACGCTTATGCTAGGATCAAGAAGAGACTTCTGCGAGGACACGTCACGAAGACCCACGACTCAACAGGTACGACCGAGAGCAGGCTGGCAAGACCTGAAGCGAGGCCATCTAAGCGTCAAAGAACTTCAAGCATTGGCTCCGATCGCGCCAATTCTAGGGCAAGTAGTCCTACGAGAAACCGAAAGCCTTCACCAGGCCTGTTCTTAACGCCCGAACCAGTGGAAACCCAACAGGAATCTCGGCATCCAGTCAGCAGTACTGGGTCAGACTCTGATCTACCCGCTAATCCTCAATCGGACAGTCGTGTCCTGGAACTGGTGGCCAAGAGGAGGGCTAAACGTGAAGCGAAGGAGGCGGCAGATGATAAAAGTAAAGCAGAGAAAGCAGCAAGGCAGCGGTCATTCGAGAAAACGCTCTCACAAGATGCTTCTCCAGGCTCAGCCTTCTCGGACGATGATAAGGCAGCGGACCGGAGGCTCACCCAACACTCACGGCCAACGCGCAAGGCTAGCAAGAAGGCGCTTGAAGAGATGAATCGGGAGACACAGCGAATGAGTCGGAATATGCAGCTAGCCCATCAGGCTAAGACGAAGAAAAAGATCAGCAAACAAAGCCTCCTTGATAGATTCAATTTTCGCACGTCTGTGCCACCAATTGTGGAGGCGCCTCACAATCCAAGCTCTTCAACCGCTGCAAGCTCGGCTCCTGGTTCAGATCTAGAGGAGGCGCACAAAAAGGACTCACCGCCCACAAGTCCTGTTGCACCTGATGATCCGCTCTTGGCGCCCGCAGATTCGGTAGTTGACAAGCAGTCAGCAGACACAGCGGTTACGATACAGCCATCGGAGCAAGAAGATGAGGAGCTTCCAACTATGCTCGAAGTCATGAGCCAGCCGATACAGAAATTGGATAAAGGAAAGGGGAAAGCTATCGAGTACAGCGAGGCAGACAACGCTCCTGAGATTGTCAGAGGTCAGAAAACAATCTTTAAGCAACGTCCTATCAAAATCCGCCTACAGAAGCCGATATCAGATTGTGCCGATGTCGACTTAGATTCGGGTAGCGATTTGGAGGTCTTGCCGGTTCGAAAATATAGGACTTCGAAATTCGAGGTCTTTGATCGCCTACCCCTGGGTAAGGTGCAAGAAGGCCGTTCAATGCAGACTCTTCGCGCGCTTGCCCATCTTAACTCACCAGAAAAGCTGTCCCGTGCGAAGAAAGGATCTATGACTCAAGCAGACATGCAGATGTCGTTGCAACAGCGTGCCAGACGACAAGCCATGGAAGAGCGGAGAGCAAAGATAGAAGACCTCAAACGCCGGGGCATTATTGTCCAAACTGCAGAGGAGAGAGAAAAAGACCAGGCAGAGGTGGAAGACCTAGTGGACAAGGCTCGGAGAGAAGCAGACGAAATCATGCAGAAAGAAAAGAAGGCGGCGAAGAAGGAGAAAATTGCGAATGGCGACGTGGATGCGCTAGCCGATAGCAGCGACGAAGATGACGACTATCAAGCTGACGTAGACAAATCTGACGTTGAGCTATCTGGGTCCGATGAAGAAGAGCCCGAAAAAGAATCCGGCGAAGAAGATCTAAGTTCTGATGGCGAGCAGCTTGAAGACAACGAAGACGGGAGTGTAGACTTGGGCGATGGTAATGAAGCTGCCGGCTTGATTGACAATGAGGCTTCAGAAGATTCTCAGGACGAAGAGGAAGACGAAGCTTCTGTAGAAGATGGCAACGAGGATGTTGAGGAAGCGCACGAGCCCCACATGCATCGGCGCAGGACTAAAATGGTAATCGATGATGATGACGACGATGGTGACGAGAAAATGGAGCCATCAGCATCAGCCCCACAAGCAAGTTCTGCGCCTGAACTTCCCCAGTTCCCCGCCCTCGCAGGACCAGTCTCATTCGCTTCACCAATGGGAATGACCCAAGCTTTTGCAGCAACTATGGCTAATACGCAGACGCAAGGTCTCGATAACGATGACGAGCAGGACTCCCTGGCATTCCTAGGTCCTCCACCAGAGCCGAATTTTCCAATGTTCGATGAGACCAACTCCCTGCAGGTGGTGGAGGACAGTCAAAACAGCCTGCTACTTAAGACGAACGCAGAACAGAACACAGATTCGTCGAAAGAGATCAATCTCCACTTCACGCAGTCGCAGATAGGGTACGATGATGCATCGGGCGACACTCAAGGCCAAGTCGTGGCCAGTCAGATATCGGAGATACCGGATCCCACACAAGATGTTGGATTCATGTTGTCTTCACCAGCTCCCGAGCGCTTTGTGTCTGATGCTCCGTCCACTGCGGATACCGTCCTCTTATCTAGTGCTGTTGGAAACAATTCGCCGGCCAAGAAAAGGAGAGGGCGCTTGCAACGACGGTTAGTGGTTGACGAAGATGCCTCAGAAGTGGATGAAACTCCGCCGGCAACTGATCATAACGTTGGTGAATATGACGCGACTACAAATGCATTCGATTTGATGAAGAAAGCGAGGAGAAAGTACAAGTCTGAGGCTGATAGCTTTGATAAAAAAAAAAGCGAGGCTAAGGGCATGGTCGAAGAGCAAGCTCAGGAATCCGAAGACGAATATGCTGGTATTGGTGGAGCCAGTGACGATGAGAGTGGGGGAGAAGAAGACGAATTTGTTCGAGATATGATAGATCAAGGAGAAGTCAATGTCAACGAGAGACAGTTGGCAGCTCACCATGCGTAAGTCAACTTTCGTCCACTTTGTCGACGTGTCTACTTACATTTACCTAGGAATAATGAAAGAGCAAGTGACGAGAAGATTATTGCGAAGCTGTATAAAGACATCAATAGTGGCGGGCTTCGCCGCAAGCGTGGTGCCGAATTTGACCTCTCTGACTCGGACGACGACGCCGAAGCTCGGCAACGAAGGAAGCGGAAAGAGTTTGCCAAGATGAGAAAGGCTTTACTTGAGAATGAGAACGTCGGCAAGATCGCCGAAGACCCGAAGAAGCTGGCTTTCCTCCGAGCTATCGAAGACCGCGAAGCCGACGATGATTTCGACTTCTTGGATCGTCCAGCAGAAGATTCCTTCAGAGTAGAACCCGACACTCAAGAAGACACTGAGTCCCAAGATCCGCCTGCTTTACCAGAACCCACTCTGGGCAAACGCAAGCGCCCTCTCCAAGAGTCTGTCCCTGACAAGGGCAACATGCGTCCACCACCCGCTGCCCGCCGTACCCAAGCCCCCAAGAAACCAGCTACGCTCGCTGAAATCCGGCAATCTGTCTCCTTCCTCATCGAAGAGCCCGGCTCGATCAATATTGTCCCTGACCCTTCGTCCTCCGCTTCCGAAGACGAATCCAATCCATACGAACGAACCCACCGCAATCCCCGCCGCCGCCCCAACCCCAACCCCAACCCCATTATCGACCGCCTCTCCCTCAAACGCGCGGAGTCAGCCACCGCATCATCCACCTCTCGCCTAGCTTTCCACGATCCCTCCACCACCAATCCCTCAATCGGCGGATTCAAAGTGCCTAGTCTGCTCCGCCGTGCTACTACTACAAACCTTGCCGTTGACAACCACGGAATTACGACGATGGCCACTGCAACCACCGAGAGAGCGGCGGGTGGAGGGGAGAAGGGCGATTTTGTCAGGAGAGGTGGGACCAAGAAAAGTAGTATCAACTATTTCGCCAGGGAGATGGAGAAGAGCAAAGTCATAGAGGGGGTAGAGAGGAGGAGAAAAGAAGAGAGGGAAAGGGAGGCGAAGGGGAGGAAGATGAGACTAGGGGGTTTGGGTACAGGTGCTTTTGAGTAGGGTTGAGGACGCTTTGGATTAATGATGCATAGCGGCCATTCTTGTTAACTCCCAATGGATAGGGTAGGGGCTACATATTTTCACGAATTCCATCTTGCAGCATTACCTCCGTCACAAGTATTTATGGATTCATGCGCACGCTTCACGGTTTCGCTTTCGATAAGTACAAACAGAGAGGTTCAACAGCTACATAAGCCCTTTCCCTCCTCACACACGCCTCCCCTCTTAACTCCAGTATCTTCGGACCGTACTCCGGATCCAAGATTTGTGGAGGGAAGGCCCCCCCCGCCGAAAATTCGGCCTCTCCGGTCACAAAGTTGTGAGTTTTTTGACAAGATCCACGGAAGAAGTCTTCTTCTGCCATTGTGTCGATCGCGCCTCGAACTCGACGGACTGGCGCACGCTTCGCAGCACTTGGCACCTGTACTCCGACTTACGTTGAGGCGCATCAGCTTTGGAGGATTTGTGAATTGTCTTTGCGTAAAGCTTCGCGGCTCCGGAATTCCGCGCTCAATCATCCCCAACTGCCAGACATTGACAGGTAGCCGGATCGAGCATCAACATCCGATTGATATAATTATAAAATGATGAAACAAACAGACCCGACAACCATAAGTCCAGAAACGGCCATCAAGCCTCTCCACCCAGCGCCCTGTGCTCCAAACGGATTAATGGCGCCAGCAACTGCTCCGCTTTTGCCCCCGTTATGGCCCGTGGTCGCACTCGCGCTCCCGGTAGCAGACGTCGTAGCGCTGGCGGGACCGTAGCTCTTCGCCCCCGCGTCAAAACTCATACACGCCGTCGGCAACGCATACGACGTCTCGAGCAAACTGAACGGCTTGTTGTCCCTGAACGAGTAGTCCCCCACGTCGACTTCCGCCTGCGCCGTGAGACCCAGTCCGACGTCCACGCTCGCGTCGACGTGGGTCAGGGTGTCGAAGATGTCGTTGATGATGCCGTTGGCGACGGCGTTGCCGGTGACGTTTTCGCACGTCGAGGTCACGTGGCTGACGGTCGAGAGGGTGCTGGTGAGGAGGGGGGCGTCGAGGAAGAGGCCGGCGCCGGCGGTGCCTTTGCCGCTGAAGAAGGAGATGCCGAGGAGGAGTTGGGGTTGGAAGCCGCCGACGGCTGTTAGGGCGAGGTTGGGGAGGGCGGCTTGGAAGGGGAGGGCGGTTACCTTGGTGTTGGAGCTGGGTTGGGGGGTTAGAGGCGTTTGGGGGGGGTGGGAATGGTGGGATGGGGTGGGGACGCTTACAAGCCTGTTTGGCTGGAGTTCGATGTGTTTCTGAGATCGAGCAGGACGCTCGAATCATTCGGTATCTGTGCGTATGGTCAATTTGTGGGCGGTGGACCCGGTGAGGTTAGACGTACTTGTACTTCGAAGCCGTAGAAGAAATCGATGCTAGCTTCAAGTTTGAACCCCACGAAAACCAAAGGCACAAGCTCAGGTCCCACGGACGCGATACCCGGGATCTAGGAGTGCTGTTAGCTACCGGCGTAATTCTGTGGAGACGAGAAGCTCTGACCTGGAAGGGCGTCAATGGAATTGTTGGTAAAGGCGCCGTGTAGTTGTAGAGTGTCGCGGAAGTGCTGACGGTGCTTTCGAGCTCAATGTAAGCACCGAAATTGTTCGATGTGAACTGTACATAGCCGTGTTCGACATAGTCTATGACACTCTCGGTAAGGTTCACGATGCCCTGAGTTGTATTAGGGCTCGCATGATTGATTCCTCCCACGGTCAGAGATCCAGCGACGAGATCGATATTCCCTTGGATGGTGCAGTTTTTGCACTTTACATTAAAGCCAACGGGCGGTCTGACAGACTATCAGAAAGATGTATGTGTCAGATTTCCCGGGAACGAGACTTACATTTCAGGGCCGCTGACAGAGAGCTTCCCCAAAGATGGATCCGGAGGCAAAATAGATGTATCAAGCCACTGTTTGTTGAAGCTCCCACTTGCATTCCAATTGTTGGGCGTGGACGAGGGTGCTGCGGGATACGCCACCGACGATGTCGCCGCCACAGATGATGTTGCAGCTGCCTGTCGAGGTTCTAATCTGCCATGTCGACGGAGCACAAATTCGTCGTCACTTTTACCGAAGTCGAGCGTCATCGATTTGAAAGTGCTCTTCCAGGGTACCCTAGTGACGGAGAGAACGATGACGTGATTATCAAGATCCAGTGCAGCTTCAGATACCCTATGATCCTCCTTAGCCATTTCCGTTGTACTGCTGTAATTACTTACATGTGCGGGTTTCGCTCTCCATCCTCATTACAGCCTTCGTGCGAAGTAACAAGAAGAAAGTGGTCGACGCCCGTGAATTCATTGTGGGTGCGCTTTAAGACCTCCGCCGATTTGATATACAAGTGTATTTCAGAGGAGTAGCAGCCGATACTTTCGATATGATGCTCAACGTCCTCGAGCATGAGAGCTGGAATTTTAAATTGCATGCCCAGTTTGGCCGCGAATTGAGAGGTCGACCCATGAGTTTCAGCTTTCATGGCAGATGTCAGTGAGAAACAGCGACGAGAAGAACGATACTTACCGTCCAAGTAGTGCAAGTTGTGGTCATATTGGAGAAAACCTTCGACATCACGAGCGCCAAGCTCATGGCTTCGTTTAGCTGCTCTCAATCGTCGCTCGGACAGCATTGTGTCATCAGGCTCTAAGTCACGTACGATAACATTGCCCAAGCTCAAGACTTCAGTAGCACAGAGCAAGAAGTATAGCAGAAACAGCGAAAGAGCCATATTGAGCGAATCAAGGCGAAGCTCGAAATTGTTGCGGGGAGGAAAGCTCAAGCGCCAATCTTCGGAAATGAAGAGACACGAGAGGGTGCGATGATTGATGTGTTTATATATGTTCAGCCTGGTCTGTTCATTCTTCGACAGTGGACAGCCCATAGCAGCAGCGAGGGTTGGATATATAGTACGCTGGGTTGCATTGGACGAGAAGTCAACGATGCATTCGAAGCCGGCAAAGGCGGTGCAATACCCCGAAACAGCTGCAACGCAGTGTGTCATGAATGCACACACACGAAAAAGCTAAGACTGGAGAGACTATGTCGAACGCAGAACGTGTTTCAGATCTACTACACACGGAGGGAATCAAGACCCCCACGTCTTCTGAACCAATGAAACGACTGGGCAGAGAAGACTCGAACTAAAATTGGACCTTATGACCATTGCTATGCTGGAATCAGACAGGTCTTGAGTCTGATGGTGGGTAACGTGCATAATTTCCATCCCAGCCCATGCGCTATAATCTTATGCACTTTGCCGCAGCTCCTAAGCACGGGGCTGTGTTCCGCCCGAGACCATAATATCAAAATGTAACAGCACTGCACCAGTACGGCTGTACGCAGATATACGATCGACGCGCTTAGACCAAGGTAGTAGTGAGTGGTAACATTGAAATAGCTGGCTGGAAAGTTGTTGTAGCCCTGCGGTACTCGCAGAGGGACCACCTCGGTATTGGTACAGGGAGATTGAGGTATGAATACATCATTTCGCCGCCGGAGTCAGTAGTTATCTGGTATGCAGCCATAAAGAAGATACCCTGAGCGCTTGTGTCTCTTGACAGGTAAAGCTATACTTAGCTGTAGGAGGTAGTGAGTACGCCATGCCTGTTCGAAAGAGTTCATGCGGGTATGTGACGCGGCTGCAGTAGCGCCGTTTTGAAACGCAGACTACTGTATAACGTTTTCGTACACCAATCAGAGCGCCTCTTGTTTCTGTTGAGATTTGCTGCAGCACCTGTGTTGTAGCTACCCCGCATGGTGGCAATCAGGTGGCAAATTAGCGTGGTGGCAAATACGGGTATAAGTAGCCCACTCAGCACTCCCATAGCTACCTAATCAATCAATCCTCCTTCTCATACACTTCCAACAGGTTATGAGCCCTCGCGCTGCTACTACGCAGCAGTCAATCATTGATTCAAGTCATTCCAACCCTAAGACACCAGGGGATTCATAGGCCAAAGGGTCTAGCTCATTCAAAGGCCAAAGGGTCTATTTCATTCATAGGCCAAAGGGTCTATCACATTCGTAGGCCAAAGGGTCTATCACATTCGTAGGCCAAAGGGTCTATCACATTCGTAGGCCAAAGGGTCTATCACATTCATAGGCCAAAGGGTCTATCACATTCAAAATGTCCACATCAAAGGATGGTGGTCACAAACTCAACCTCCTGACCGAAGAAAACTTCGGATCATATCACTACGGCAATGGCCAGTTCAGCTCGAAAACAAAGAGCATCAGTCAAAATGTCCACGAAAGACAGTGGAACAATCAAGTCAATTACAATACAGTCAGCCTACTACAAGGCATTCAAATTCGACCTCTTCATTGAGCAAGTCGGCATTCAATTCTTTCGACACCAGTCATCAAGTCCAGGTCTGTGCTCGTGTCACAATCATTCGTTTGCGGTACCATGCTGCATCATGGGGGTGTGGCCAATGGTGCTGCATCATGGGGGTGTGTTGAGATTTGCTGCAGCACCTGTGTTGTAGCTACCCCGCATGGTGGCAATCAGGTGGCAAATTAGCGTGGTGGCAAATACGGGTATAAGTAGCCCACTCAGCACTCCCATAGCTACCTCATCAATCAATCCTCCTTCATATCCATTTCCAACAGTTTCGCAGCTGAAAGATCTCTCGCAGCGGTCCATCGGCCTCATGGTCATGGAAGTTTTTCTAGAGATCTCGGGGCAGTGCACGAGCTTAAAATCCTACCTTAGCAATGGATGCTCGATCAACGACAGCTACAGACGAGGCTGCGAAAACCGGGTGAAGGAATTCCAGCAAGCATTTTGGGTCGACGCATGAGGAGCTTAGATGACTCGATGCGGACTATCAGAAAGCACAGTGATGGATTGGTCCATTAGGCGAACATACAAGGCGCTTCACACCTCAGCCGATGTCAACAAACCGCTGGCATGATCAGGCAGCTTAAGACGGACAAAGACCCGAGTGCTCAATCAAACGACAGGCAAGCTATCAGTGAGAGTCCTTGGCAAACACATTTTCCCCAGCCCCAAATGCTCTGACGGAGCTGCTTTCGCCGATCAACAATCCAAACATCCGAGTTGCCATGACTGGCAAAGACTGGACCATATCGGAGCCCCATGCAGCATTTCCTGCCACTTGGAACATATCGCGCACCGGCGATGAGGGTCTTCCCAGAAGTAGACTAGGTCAGGAAACAGGCGCTAGAACTACTCTATGTTAGGTCATCAAGCTTAGTAAGCTCGTAAGCTATTCGAGACTCTCTGAGTCGAGTCAAAGCATTGGCTCAGTCACATTGCATAGGGGATAGAGGACTCTCTGCAGCTCTGGTTCATATTCCCTCACCATGGAGCGTATGCTAGACTCCAACTCGGGTATCCAGCCAACAAATTCCAACTTGCCGGCCTTCTGCATTCCAAGCCCAAAATGGCGTTCACCGCTTCTCCACATTCAAGCCGATTGCCACGGGAGTTATTTGCTCCAGTTGATTCGGCAAGCGAATGTCTTGTCCAATGCTTTCAGGACCTTACTATTGTCGATGCAATATCCGAGATCAAGGCTGAATTGGGAACGGCCCTAAAGAGATCTTACAGCGAATACGGAGTACAGACATGTCGGATTCGCCAGACGAGTTCACCAGCTCTGGGATAGTGAAAAACGCCTGATGTTCACATTCAAGAGCTCAGCGCCGCAAACTCCCCACTCTTGGGAACTTGCTGACTTCTGGAACAAGCCGACGAGGCTCTACGGGGCGCATTCTGCTCAGGAAGATGGTCGCTGTCCACTTTTCATCTTCGCCTGTATCTACGGGGAATGGTTCCATCATAAACATCCAAATATTGAGTTTGGGCATTTCTTTGCGAATCCGATCCGCGCCACCTCAACTGGCCCTACGACAATTTCTGGTATCCTACAGGCACATAGGTCGCTTTGTGATCAGGCGTCTCTGCTTCTTGAAAATCTTGAACGTGGAGAAATTGGGGATCCGTACATGAGTGTTTGCCTAAACATTTGAAACTTCAAGTTACTTCCAATATGTCGAGCTATCATTGTCATGCTTCACGAACTTTCTCAAGAGAAAGATGCGGACCCTGACGGACTAATTCGCCTAGATGAAAAAATGCAGAGACAGAGCGTTGTGGTAATCCAAGTTCCCTTAGCGCCAGCTGTACGTTTCATTGCAGAGTCAGAACAAAAGGAAGAGGCAGCGTTTTGGGGGAGAAGATCTAGTACGAGCGGTGGATCTCTTTTGTCCAGTAGCCGTTTCATATAGACCTGTCATCCTCAGCGCCGACGAGTGGGCCAATGAAATAATAAAAGAGGTCGTCGAGAAAGGAAAAGAAAATGTTCACGAAACAAAAGACGCGTTGCGAAAAACTCAGGCGGTGCAACGGGGGAGGAGAAGACCCATTTGGGTTGGAGCCACCTCCTTCATTGTTCGATGGGATATGGATCTAGCTTTGTGACCCTCAGCTCTTCACTTGACTTCCTTGTGCCGAAATAGCTTGTAAGCTGGAAGGATAAGTCTGCCTCAATGTCGGCAGCGTTTTCCATCACCACCCGATGTCCACAAGTTGAGTTGTGAAAGACCAAGGTGGTGATCGAAGGGCAAGTGGCGGAAAGTTATCGAATGGGAGAAAAGGCATATACGAGTACACTAGAACGAAGGAAACTTTCGAAGCTCGATACACCGGAGTCTTGGCTGTCAATTGCAACATCCTGACAGAAACTTTATCATAGCAGTCACAAATCAAAGGACTGTATTGTGCTGGTCCTTGCTTTTACCGATACTCCAAGGTTTTGGGATGGCACCAATTACCACAGGTCTTTGCACCTTGCCTGGCGTCGCACAGATTGGCCGCTATCCTCCAAATTTCCTATGGTACGGGCCAAGTCAAGATGCGTTCGTGAAGAAAAAATAGAAGGAGTGGAGTATCGAATGTATTTCTCGGTGCCAGGTAATCCAATTTTCTGTTCTATCTTTCTGCCACATGACCTCAATCTCCCTATTATCCTTGAAGACCCATTTCAAAGGTTGTTCGCTTGGGCTAGATTGTCTTGATCGTAGGAAAATATACTGCTCTGATGCTCGCTTGGACATGAAGAGCCATTACCATCGCTCTCTCTCGAATGCATGCCCCAAGTCATCTTTAGCTAGCTGTCACATGACGGCTGGTGCCTACTCAAGAATTTCCGGTGAGGACCCAGCACTGACGTTTGGTGTGAAATTGAGCAATAATTGTTCGAATGCGCTCTCCGCCCGTCCACTGAGTAGTACCCCTAGCACAGCTCCAAACGTATCTATCTCTGTAAAACTGTGGAACAGATGGTGTTGCATCGCTCAGCTTCCTTTCATTACAGGTGTTATAGACACCAATGTCAAAATTTCCAGCAAGTTCCAAGATACCACCTCGAATGAGTTCGTTCTGCAGGTGCGTAAAATCGGGCACAGAGGCAGCAATGCGCACTCTTCGAAGGTTTGGCAGTCCGCTTAGCAGTTCGAAGTTTTCGTCTTTGTCGAACGCGAATGCTAGCCAAGCTGGGTGCGAAATTTCCACGCTTCTGATCATGTCTCTACGGTGAGCACCAATACCTTTGATAAAAGCTGCGACCTCACGCCACTCGCCGTGAAAATTTGTCTTGCCGTAGAAGAAAGCCGCTGCTTCGTCTGAGATCTGGTGATTGACGCAAAGAAGTGCGAGGAACTTTTGCGGGTCAGACGTTTTGTACAACAAGAAGGTATCGTCGAGCTCAGGTCGTGTATTCAAGTGCAGGAGCTTGCCGGTGTTATTAGATTTAGGCGTGATCGAGTCGTAGTGGAACACATGGCTGTAGATCTCGTTGCGGACTTCCAGGGGAAGGGTGGTGAAGATTTGAGACATTTTTTCTCAGCTATCTGGACTGTCAGGGCTGAAATTTCCACTGCCTGCTCGTCTGGCGCGGATACTCACCCGGTGGATGTGCTGGACGACTTTTCGATTGTGAGACTCAAAAGCTGGTGGAGTTGGTAGAGTGTGAGACTTGTAGTTTGAGAACAGTCAATGCGTTTCGATATTTAGCCAAATTCAGGCAGGTGTCATGGCTGACGGTGTCGAGCGATGCTTTCAATACTTCAGTTCAGAGCGATATTGTCTTGGTTAGGTGAGACATGATGGTTAAGATGTGTGAAGTGATCGCGACTTCAGAGCCTACTCTATATTTGCGACAAGATCGAGATCTTGTAAGTTCACAAACATCATGATCGAAACATGAATGATTCGGAGTGAATGATGGAAACAGAGCGGCGCTAGGACGACCGGTAAATATTTGCAAACATATCTCGTAAGGCTGAGTCGGTACTTTTTGTGGTAGAATCCTCCCCCCCACGCGACTTCCTGCTCCAAACCACATCGGACATGTGAACAGTACACCGTAGTCGGCCATGGCGCCGCCTCCAATAGTAAGCCTGCTGCCACGTCGCCATGTAGCCTGCTCTGGCTGACAGCGCAGACACCTTCACCCCACCGCTTCATCACGTCGAAACCTGCCAATCCCGCACCTAAACCATCCTCATCTCTTCGCTTCCAGCAAGGAGCTCCTCAATCGATCTCATCTCAACGCTTTACCCCTGCGCCAAGATTCAATTTCAGCTCTACCCAGAAGCCCACGACTGAGAATGCAGCGGTAGCAACGCAGCACGCCTCACCCCTCTCCAGACGGCCCCACTTGGCTGGCGCAATACGGAACAGGAGTCGGGAAGATATTGAGGAGACGGGATCTGATAATGAGGAGACTGAGGGACTGGAGAATGATGAATCTACATTCGCTCGGCCTACACAGCCAACATCGAAGCGCCGCCGTCCAAATCCTCCAGAGGCAGTCATCATCTCCTCCGAGTCTTCTTCTCCATCACCGCCTCCAACGACGCCTCCATATCCTACAATAGAAGGAGAAGATCATGAGGCAGTCTCTTATAACGACTTGAACCCACATGCTCAGCCACGCTTTGTTCTGCCAAGGCCTAAGTCTACCGGGACCCCATCAATACCTTCCAGACCTCCCCTGATCCTTCCACCACGCTCTCCATCTCCTACGACGGCGACCCCAGCTTTCTTCTCCCCTCACCGTCGAGGCCAGAAATACATTCCTGGTGGACTTGCATCCAGTGTCCGAGACTGGATCGTTGAGACCTCACAGCAGGTGCACAATCGGTCTCATGCAAGAAGAGGTGAGGAAGAGTTTTGGGATATGAGGTTTAGAGCTGGGGAGTGTCGGGCGGAGGATCCGAATGAGGGGATGATTCTCGTTCAGGAAAGGAGTGGGGCCAAGAGATGGATGCTTGTGGGGAAGGGGAGGGGCGAGACAAAGGCCGAAGTGGGCTGCATAGTGGGCATAAGAGAACCTACATGGGAGGTCCAGGTGGGACATGAGAACTACATGGTGGCTGTTGAGTGGAAGGTACTCAATGGCTGAGGTTCATGCGGTGATTACGCCCGGATAGGACCCCAATGTCACGGGTGGTCGATTCATACAGCTCGACCGCGCACAAATGCAAAACAGCGAGCTGGTATATCAAGAATCCAACGTCGCAAGTTCCCCGCTTACGCTGATAGGTGGAAAATTTCAAAGCTTACGAACAGCGCATCTTCCCCAACACCAAACTGTCCTGTTGTATGGGTTCTTCTATTAGGCGAGCCAAAAAGAATAAATTTTATAAGATAGCACTAAATCCTCCTCCTTTCGACAAGATCCTGATACTCCGCCTCGTGAAAGGTATGACCCGAAAAGAGCTGGACTTATTGAAGAGCCAAGCTCGGGACGAGCACTGGCTCTTTGAAAACCGCACGCCTGGTAGAGGAGACAGCAGGGAGTTGACGATTTACAGGTTGATAGATGGGTGCGGTGAGACTAGTCTGAGGATGCGGATACAATAGGTACTGGGGGACCAGGAGGACGAATCAAACAATGGCATGGCAGACCCGGATGAGAGTCCGCAAGGAACCGAGAACCAGTGTAGGGCGCATTTTAGGGATACCTGACGTACCAGATCGTCCCGTCCCCGAATGGGCAACGTGAAAATCCCCGGGCAAACGCCCGAACCGTATCCAAGCTGGGGCTTGTGGCGAGCTTCCCGACACTCCGATTCAAATCACCATTTTCTTTCGGCTTTTTTTCGCTTTTTTTCAATTGTGTACATCGAACGTTTAGTCAGCCAAGAACTACTGTGTTTGTACGATGAAATCTGAGAGTGAGATCCGTGGCTTCGTTCTGAAGACGCTCCAAACATAGCGTGTTGTTCGAAGACCTCGAGGGCCAGATATACCGGCAGGTCGTTATCTGAGCTAGTCTTCTTCAGAGTGCACCGTATAGTCACTTTCACCAAAAGATCGAAGCCTTCAATGTCGTCATCCGGTAGGAAGAGCTGCTTCTGCTGCGCTTCTTCGAATCTTACTGTAGAGCAGGCTGTGAAGTAGTTCAATCGATCGCAGAGCGAGTCGCGGTGCAGATGGAATTTTTTTCGTCCGGTGCCAAAGAAGATGTCGACCGTATGATTGGTGAGAAATCTAGACAAATTTAGGCTGCCCATCTTGCCATCTTTGTCGAGCAGACTTACTGGCCCATGTTTTTCAGCTCAGGCGCGTCAAGCTCATTGTCCACATTTGGAATCCCATCACCGCGGAGATTCAGTGCCATAGTGACCTACAACACCGAAATGTAATTAGACAGATGCCTACAAAAATCCATCCGCATGATCTAGCCATAAAGGGTGGAATGCTGCAGAGTGTGCCGAATCTTTTACATTCTTCGCGGATGCTACCTTTTACAGCCAGTCAACGCCTCGCCAGATCTCTTCTTCAAAGCTCCCCTCAATGGCCTTCCAAACCCCCTTTACCACTTCTTCGCTCTCAATGGCGACACCTAGCTCTTGAGACGTGTACCAGCTCGCACGGTCCATATTACCACTACCCAAAACGACAACCCGATCGTCGATGATGCTGCACTTGATATGCGTCCTCTTGTACTCAATTGTAGGACAGTAGTAGCCTATTCGTAACAAACCAATGGTTCGAGCATCTACTCCATTTTCCGCGTCCTCGAAGTGGTATGGCGACATTTTTCGGCGGCTCATTCTGTCATAGCGCCGACGAAGCTTCCACACACATAGCTCTGTGATGGTACCGGAGGTGATAAGCTGTTCCAGTATCATCATGCGGCGGTTCGTGATTACGGTGACGTTGACGCCTCGAGTTATGGCTTCTAGGAGAGCGGATATCACGGGTGGAGAGGTAAGGTTCGGGGTCAATAAAACAATGCTGTCCCGAGCCCGGGAAAAAAGATATAGGATAAGCGCGTTCAGAGGCGTAGGTGGAGGTGGCGCGAAAGACGTGAATGGCAGAAGCCGAAAATGTGGGTTACGGTGGTGCGGAGATGGGAGGAAGAGAGCCGTATGGTTTGTCACGACTGAGGATGCTCGGTAGGGAAGAGAAGTGGGTGGGATGTCAGCCCAGTCATTGCGGCCCCAAGTATGCTGCCAGAACTGGACGAACGAATTGACGATGGGACCAGTCAGTGGTAGACAGCACTCAAGCCAGCTCTCCCAGCTAAGGTTGCAGCTGGGTAGGAGGACTCGTTGCCGGTCAATTACGACGAATTTAGGATGCATGACGCTGAAGGGTAAAACGAAGTGACTTTTGACTTGTAGATTCAACCCTTCCAGATCTTCTGGCGGCGGCAGGCCGAGCGAGCGCCATTTTGATGGCGGGTATACGTAGCCGGTTGCGGAGGAGGCATAAAAGAGCTTTTGAGTCAACGAGCGGGAGGAGAAGCAGAGGCTTACTCGTAGCTTGGGTGTGCTCGTGGATTGGGAGTGAGCCCTGTCAGAGAGCTTAACAAGTGTAGAGCAGAGTTTTTTCAAAGATGCCGAATGGGCCCAGAAGCATGTGACGAAGAGGATCTCGTACTGGGCGGACTCGAGGGCTGGGAGGACTGTTGACGTGTATATGTCGACGCCACTGCCAACGGTGAAGTCTGCGACAGAGGTTTCGACCGGTCTGAGCAGAATGGAGGGGTCATTGCCCCAGAAATGAGTCTTGTTCTCCTCGATGCCTTGTCTTGTAGTCAAGCCATTCAGGCATTCCAATGTCAGCATAGGGTTGCTGTACGGCAGAGGTTCATCACGTCGGTGTGTTTGTTGAAAAGGAAGATGTTGGTCTTGCAATTAATTGGGCTCCGCCCGCTCTCCACTGTAGTGAAATTGCGCGATGTTGGCCGATGTCTGCCAAAAAGCGGCTCGGACTACTGTACTCAATACGGTAAAGTCCGGTGTGACAGCGGCATGCGGGCCGGATTAGAGTAGACGAGGGATCGTAAGGGGCTACCTACCAGTGACCACACGGCAGTCTTCGTCATATGCACCGTTGCGATTCGTTCAAAGAACTATCAGCAAACCGTGCACCGTGTCATCCTGGCCATTTTTCGATCCTGACTGCGGATGGATGATTCGACCAAAACTGCCTCTCAGCTGCACTTACACCGAGCAACAATGCAACGATGATACGAAACCAGCAAAGCTTGCGATATTTCATGCCAGCAATCCTTAAATCCTGAATGCGGTGATTGAGCTAAAATTGCGACATGATAGTGGTGGATGAGGGGGAGCCGGTCTTCAGGAAGCCAAGAAACTGTTGTAGGCTTTCTTTGCCGCATAACAAGATGTAAAGCTACACAAAAGCACGTTCAGATATCCGCTGGATGAGTTCGTAGTGGTAATTTCAATGGATTCTGTCATAGGTTTCTTAGGGGGCCAGAAGACCTAGGCTAGAGTCAAGGGAGCGTGGTGAGCATATTCAAGACGGGATATCACGATGGTCATCCTTGAAGGCTGTATCTATTGTATCGTTCGGCTTGCTCGTCACTTCGACCTACAAATGGAATTCATCATCCAAAAAGCTATCGACCTCATATGTGTACACCTCTTTTCGATACATATATAGCCCTCAAAGTGATGCAAGTATCACCTCTCAGATCGATCGAAGAAAAATTCTCGCATCTTTGGCTATTGATGCTGTCGACTTCATATTCTGCGAAATTGTCTCAAAATACAGCAGGAGAACTCCTCCAACACCCTTATTCATCTAAAGCATTCGGATCCCCTTTCTGCAGATTAGGCTGGAAATACAGAAAGGAGACTTCTTACACACTCCGCCTTATCAGCACTCTCCGAGTGGCCCTTCTGGTTGCATTTCAGGCCAGCGCTACCCCTCTGACTCCGAATGCTGCAAATGGGTTAGTCAAGAGAGCCAACCACGGCCAGTCTCATGCGGCCGTAAGCTCGAGCTTAGCCCCAAGATGATCAAGTCAGAAGTGCGGCACTGATGGTCTCATGCAGCTGCCACTCACCAGCGACCGTGTCCGCTTCACTCCTTTCAAGACACTGACCACGCGCTGACGGCACGTGGTGGACTCTCAACCTCCCAAAAGCGTATGCCACCGTTGAAACTTATCTCCACATAGCTACTCGATTGTAGGCTGACGATTGGTCTTCTCTTTCAGCGGCGGCGGGTAGTAGGTTCTATTCCCACCAGGATGGCACTACCAATGATACTCTCTCACAAGCGAGAGAGGCGATGATGCGTTTTCCAGAGGGTACGCCATCCAAACAGCAGCACCGACATACGAAAATTTGTTGGGTTTGAGTGAGGGACAACTTTTTTGGAAGGTGTTTAAGATAGCAATCACAATACACTGGGAAGTACAACATATCCGACATGTTCCTAAGATAAAGCGATTCTTTTGTACTTTTAAGCTTCTGAACTGCCTGATATGACAAGTACTTTATCAGCCCTGTTGAGGTTCTAGCATCTCCGACTTTGGGTGCGATGCCAGGGAATTTTTCAGGTCGAGAAGTCGACGATCTTCTTGCGACCACACCATCATTACATTTCCACCTGTATCATCATCCTTGTTGAAGGCGCTGTTTGCGTCTCTTCTACATCTCAAGCATTTTCTCATTCCGATTTCACACGGTGGTGTGACTATCTGGGGTACTCAATGCTTCATGCCACCGATCTCTCGGACTCCGTCCCAAGCACATCTGATGGCTGCAGATTGTTGACGCTCGAGAGTGGTGGACGGTTATGGCCTGGGCAGAAGGTATCTCCGAGGCCGTCTGAGCAGAGCTATGCGACAGGGCTCAAGGGCGATGGCGCGCTCTTATGAATATCTTGTATCCGAACATTCTTTTAGGGTGGGGTGACTCGAAAGACGCATGCTTTTCGTCTTCTTGTGCTGCCAAGACGTTAATTTTTAAAGCCAATGCAATCAATATAGAGATCTCGGGCGGATGCCGCATCTTCGTCGCAAGTTCTGGATAGACCATATCAGAGCAGTTCACGGCGTAGCAGCTTGACCCTCTTTCTGAATGATGGGTTGACGCCTTGGCGAAGGATGGCGTCTTGAACTGCCACTGTTGTTGAATTTTAGCTAGCATATGTTCTGAATGTAACAGCGCAGGAGAGACGACGACACATCTATACTATCTAAAATTCTAGAACCCGAGCTCAAAATGATTAAGCGTTGGAGAACAGCTCTAGCAAAGTCTCGTCTTCTGACTTGGTAGATCCTCTAAAGTCTGCTCGCCTGTGCCGTGACGAATGTTACAAGTTTCAATAGCTAGTAATGAGAGTGCAGAGTTCAATGTCTAGAGGTGCTTGAAGTACCTTTGCCGCGAGAGAGATGCACTGTGTGCGTGGGCAACTATTGGGCCATAGCAAGAGGCTTTGTCAGTCGCGCAGTACGGTTTCGGCTGTGCACCGAGAGAGATCGTGGTTATCTTGCCGAGAGACCAGCTTAGAACAGTTGCAATGACGTGAGCGGTAGAAATAGAACTGTCTATATATCGGACTGGACATCAAGTATTTAACCAGTCTTGCAAATAAAAGGCCGCTCTTGTGATGATTTGCACCGATAATCCTTTTGCGTAAATCAACAACGTTTTGTATCAATGCAATGGCTTGGCTGTGCTCCCTGCACTCTTTTCCTCGCCTCTAACGCTTGCATAAGCAGCTCCTCCGCCTCCTTCCATCGACTTCGTTTTGCCAAGTTTTCCATGCTGCCTAATATATCTGGATCCTCTTCTCCAGGCACTCTTTTACTAGCCTTTGATACTGGCAAATGCAGCTTCTCTGCCTTCTTCCACTGTCCTTGTTTCTTATATACTATTGCCAGGTTTTTTGTGCTGTCCAGTGTGTTTGAATGCTCTGCTTTCACGATTCCTCTTCTCGCCTCCAATACTTTTACGTGTAGCTTTTCTGCTTCCTCCCAGCGTCCTTTGACCCCATCCGATCCAAGGATTTTCTTTCGTACATCAACAGCAGCTGAAATCCGGAAGCAAGCCATCTCATACCGCCCTTGCAGCAATCAAAGTGAGCCTCGTTCGACAAAAGGTTCAAATACCTTGCTGTACATATTCCCTTTGCGTCTCCGTACTGAATAACCTTTTGTGCGTGAGGCAGGAGAGATTCACATGTCGTCCAGTTTTCGAATGCACCGGTCGGAAACATGTCTGCAACAACTGACAATGCTTTTTCTTCCCACTTTGATGTCACACCTTGCATGTCTAGCCATTTTCGGGTCGCTAGCTGCACCAGTCGGTGCAATTCGTACCCTGCTCCATCATCTCCAGCGCTGATCAGTGAAGATGCTTGCAAATATGAGTAGAGCTAGCCTGAACCCCACCCACACTCGGAGGAGGGAGCAAGGCTAAGGGTTCTGATCGGAGGTTCTTAGGTTTATAGCTCAGCCGAGGTCGAAAGTTGCACATGCTATAGATTCGCGCAAAGGAAAAAGCACAAGATGGGCTTCCCTCGATAATCTCCATTCCGCAATTTCAGCGTTTTACAATAGATACGGGAAAAGGCGCGCTGTCTTCGACTTACTCAGTCCTTTTCATGACGGCTCATCCAAGACACGCATTGACATGTCTTTAAACAGCTGAAAACAAAAGGTTCCTTGGTCGTACGAGAGCATATAGTGTCACCCTCTGCACATGATCCGAGCACGCTCGACCAATGGTTCTTCCACTGGTAGAGCCGCAACACACGATCAGCAACGCCTCGTACTGATTCCAGCGAGCAATAGCCATCTCGACTAGTCTCTGCGGACTCAACAGTTGACGAGCCAAACATTAAGCTCCGCAAGAATCGTAGTGTTCATATTATAATCAGACATCGCATGAGCATGATCGATCTCGTCGGCGGGGACGAAGAAAAATATTGCTAACGCTTCACGATTTACTCTGTCACCAGCTGCTGCACGTTTTCAAGCGCGGTGGTGTTCAGTCTATCAGATAAAGAGCAAGTTTCAGCTCTATTCGTATGCGACTGCGACCGGTCCCCAGTTGACTGCGAGAGGCCAAGAAAGCGGGCATCGGTGAGCCAGGTAAATTTGGCAAACATGCCTTTCTAGTACCTTTAGCGAGTTTTTCTATGGGCATCTACCGTCGCCTCTTTCTGAACACATTTTGGCCGAAGAAAAAAATATTTCCATTCCGTCTACACCCAATCGTGCATCATCAACACAATGACTTTGGCTGTGATATGGCTGTACAAGCAGAGGTGGTATACGGACCAAGACAGGACATAGGTAGGGTTATAGGCATGGTGCAAGGACTTTAGTGCTGGCTGCTTTCTTCAAGATCTTCTCATGGGTGCCATGTGCATGGGCCGGGAATGGCGGCTAGGCCTTGTCTTCGCTCGGTTTATACAAGTCTCTGAATCGACAATGGGACGGTAGTGTAGTCTCAAGGAACTTAAGTTAATAGTGGTATTTTTGAATAGTACCCCCTACGTTTCTATTTATCAGATTGATGAGAAAGTAGATGTTGAAAAAGTGCTTGCATGACCAGTGTAATGGTCAAACGTATATATGCCAAGCCTCGGCGGCCGAAATGCCGAAATTAGCATCTTTACCAACAACCCTCTGAGCCTGATCTCAATCCTTCGTCCCCGTCATCCTGGCTCGACTGTTCGCTATCTATCTATGCTTTGGCTTCGGCCTAGTCACTGTTCCTCTGCTATTCACAAAGTATCTGCTCCCTCAGTTCAAAGAAATATTCGACCTAAGCGCTGAGCCAAAGGCTAGTCCCAATTACCTTGCAGCCAGTATGGAAGGCCAAAATGGGTACAAAGCCGTTGCATACTTTGTGAATTGGGCCATCTATGGACGATGTCACAACCCACAAGACCTCCCAGCTGACAAGCTCACTCACATTCTCTACGCGTTTGCGAACGTCCGGCCCGATAGCGGTGAAGTCTATCTCACTGATACTTGGTCAGACACAGACAAGCGCTATCCAGGCGATTCTTGGAATGATTCTGGGACAAACGTCTATGGCTGCATCAAACAGCTCTTTCTACTAAAGAAGAGAAATCGACATCTTAAGGTCCTTCTCTCAATTGGCGGATGGACATACTCCTCTAATTTCGCGCAGCCAGCTTCCACTGTAGCAGGAAGAGCGACGTTTGCCAAGTCTGCGGTGCAATTAGTCAAGGATCTAGGATTCGATGGGCTAGACATTGATTGGGAATATCCCAAAAGCGATAGCGAAGCACAAGACTTTGTCCACTTACTCAAAGAGACTCGAGCCGCTCTTGACTCGGGCAGGTCAAGTCACGAGGAAGGCAAGTATCTGCTCACCATAGCTTGTCCAGCTGGTCCTCAAAACTATGAGAAGATGCATCTCAGAGCCATGGACCAGTATCTCGATTTTTGGAACTTGATGGCGTACGACTACGCTGGTTCGTGGGACAAAAATGCTGGACACCAAGCCAATCTTTTCCCGAGCAAGAACGACCCCGCGAGTACGCCATTTTCGACTTCGGGAGCGCTCGACTACTATGTAAATCAAGGAATTGACAAGTCGAAGATGGTTGTGGGCATGCCGCTTTACGGCCGAGCTTTCACCTCGACGGATGGTCCTGGCAGGCCCTCCTCTGGCACAGGAGAGGGTAGCTGGGAGCAAGGCGTTTGGGACTACAAAGCATTGCCTCACCCCAGTGCACGTGAAGAGATCGATCGTGCAATAGGCGCGAGTTGGAGCTATGATTCGGAGAAGAAGCTTATGGTGAGCTATGATACGAGGCAGATGGCTGAGTACAAGGCTGGCTTCGTCAAGGAGCAGGGGCTTGGAGGTGCAATGTGGTGGGAGAGTAGCGGGGATAAGGCTGGCGCAGAAAGCTTGATCGGAGCGGTGAATTCGGTATTCGGAAGAGAGCACATGGATCATAGTAACAACACATTGACATATCCGGAGTCGAAATACGAGAACCTGAGAAACGGATTTCCCGGAGAATAAAGAACAGGTAGAGAAGTGGCCTCTGCAAGGCTTAGATTCCTCGCAAGGGGAGACCTCAATGGACTAGAAGGGAATCGCAGAAGAGGAGCTGAGGATGGCGCAGACATGACCTACAATTTCAGTAGAAAAGTTGGAATATTGCAGACACATGAGGGTAGAAATACTTTACTTTATGTTCTCTGGTACTTCGGATTCCTCGTTAAAGTCTGCGTTTACCTTGATACTTTTTGCTGGCGCATCCGAGTGTTGGCTTATGTTGGCTAGCTAGTACCCAGTAACATTGGGAAAATTCTGACTGAGTTACGAACTTATGCCATAGGATTTAGCTAACCCCTGTACACACATTCGAGGAGGAGAATGATCGCGTCTCACAGAGGTATTTGCGCTCATGCATTGTATTCGCGCCCGTTGTATCCTTATCGATCATTCGACCTCATTTTCCTGCCAACAGACTTGAGACTCTTGTGCAACAACTCAGCCAACGTGTATCTCTTTTTGCTTATCCTATCTTGGAAGGCCTCCCTGCTCAGTATCTTCGCTAATCCACTCCAAGTTGACAACAACACCGCCCAGCTATCCTCTTATCTCGACTATCCCAACGACAAGCAAACCTACTTCGACCACAACCCCTTGAAAGACATCTACCACAGAACCAATCTGGAGATTTTCCAGTACTTCTGAACGATCTCTTGACAAGGCCCACTGCCAAACTTCGCGCGCCATGAGATATGATGTTTTCGCGATTTCCGCGGGCCATGGCAGAGCTCCTAGGGAGATTCATGAAGTGATAGGCCGCGCCGACAGTCATCATATACGTGCTACTTATGGCCTCTTGACGCACCGTCCGAGGACACGTATCGAAGACGGCATTCGAGACGAATTGGACGAGGTTGTCAACATCCAAGCACCCATCTGGCCAGCTGACGGGAACGACATGAGCGCGAGGGGATCGGCCCTCGAACACGTAATGAAACTATGTTCGAAGTACTGTGTCAGTCTCAAGTTGCCTGTTTCCGTCTCTATGATGGCTCCGAGAACTGCTAGCAGAGTGTGGAACGTAGCCCCGATCAACCAGACCTGTAGGGTCCTACAGACCCTTGCGCCGGCTTGCGTGTACATGGCGGGGTACCTGATAGGGTCTTCTCGTCCATTGAGCGTATATCTGTGTTATCATACGTGAACCCTGACAAAATCACCGTGGTCGATCACCCCATATATACGCAGCGTGAGCGTATCTTACGAGAGCATTAGCTTCGATATATTGGGAGAGACGATATGGAGAGTGCCGTGGCGATGTTGCCGGTTGTTTGAGTGCAGCCTTAGTTATGCGGGAGGAGTTGGGGTGCGGTGAGATCAGCGGGAATCTCACAAAAGGGGCTGGAATTTTGAATTGCAGCAAGTAAGGTAATTCTATGATATCATTTCCCCACAGACGCATTACTTGCATACAGTAGCGATGCTAGCTCAATCCTCTCAGCCCTTCTCGGGCCTTGCTCCTTTCGTCCCAGGCATGGCGAGAGAGTCGTTCATGTCGTTGACCATTCGCACTGCCTTGGCGTAATACGCCGGAGCTGTCACGCCGCAATGAATGATAGCAAGCCAATTACTCCGAGTGGAGAAAGCCCTGGAGATTCCGTTGATCGTTGCCATCACGTTGTGCGTTGTTGTGACTTAATTAGGCAAGCGTTGCACAGTCGTAAATCCTCCAAGTCGGAGGCTCCTTTTCTCTAGTCTTTGTCCAGTTGAGGCAATATAGTAGCTTGTAGGATACTACAAGAACTGGGATGCGCTTTGAGATGGATGGACAGTAGAGCGTAGTGCACCGGAGCAAAAGAGTGGACCATTCACTTGTCAAGGTCTATTTGCATCGGATAGGAGTCTCAAGCGAACGGTGCACATATTTCGGCAGGGACGACAACGAATTGGCTGAACAATGGCCAAACATGAATCATTACTTCTGTACAGCCGGCCCTTTTCGATGTTGTTCACGTGCAAGACTCGCCCTGATCTTCCTTAGAGCCATCTCGTACTAGTACCTCTCCTGCGCCTTCCCAACCTCATCCATACCTATATCGTACTTCTCCACTTCACACGCTGCATTCGACCGGCCGCCCCGTGCTCTTTCTAAAGAGTCCCCGATTCCAAATTCTCCATTCGCCGACGCTGAAATGTAGTCGGCGACTTTCATCCAACATGATAAGGGCGAGACTCTTTCACTCATCGCATGGAGACCATCCTCCCCTTCCCTCTTCACCCCGGAACCCCACGCATCTACATTCTCTCACTCGGATTAAGCTATACCTTCCATAGCCCCTTATCGATGTCACCAGCGTCTTAACACACCACTCATGCTACCAATGTACTAGTACAACGCGGCCTCAATGACAGGAAAGAGAAGTCCGGCATCTTTTGCAAGTGGGAGAGATGGAGTGGTGATTTGCGATGGGAGGAGCAGCTATTGGAGATTGAATTCACTACGCTTGAAGGGTTTTCGGCTACAGGGGTGATATGTCCTTGAGCTAATGCAAGAAAAGAAGTTTAGACTTGAGGTGGAAGAGATCTTGGTTGAGACTAGTCTAACTGGAAGTAACTATCCATAGTGCCAGAGACACCCTTATCAAGATGATATCGAGAGTGAAATGAATGCACAGTGTTCGTGGACAATGAACATCAGAACTGAGGGTGAGTTCTTTTTCTTGGGGTCCACACTTTCACATCAGTGAACGTACAATGGTAAGATTCTTCACTTCTATCATCTAGCCAGTCCCATCTATACTACCTAAAACCATTCACCCCCGGCCATCAGACCATTACAACTCTCCAAGGAGCGGGACAGGTTTTACACGCGCAATCGCAGGCATTTAATAGACTCCACAAGCAGCTCCTGCACCAAAGTAATAGGGGATATGCGAGGAAGGCGGCGACGAGTGTTGCTGCGATTACATTTCCGGAAATCTATCCCCGTGGTAATGGGAAGGACGGGGTTGTTAGATGTCATGTTTCTAGGGCCGCTGCTAGTGGTGTAGGCGGTGAGCGTGATGATGTTCATCGTGCCTTCCCTCAGAAAATGGGACGGAGGGTGTGCGGTTTGGAGCGTGTCCATTGACCCGAGTATGAAGGATCGTCCTGCTCTTCCATCCGGAGGTAAGGGGAAAAGGGGTCTGTATTATTCGGACTGCTGGGCATCATACCCGTGCGCGCATTTCCCGAGAACGGTATACTGAACATTAGCCATTTGCTTTCTCGAAGCATATCTAGTCCACTGCTGGGGCCAGGCTGGGAGGTTCTTAGGCCAGAACTCCGGATTTCCGGTCCAACATGAGCGAATTGCTCCATATGCGACTCAAAGTTGAATCCATTCCCTTTGTTTCGAAGAGGGAATTGAGGTCCTTGGCATGCTTGGCTTCGTACTTGACCCATTTAGGCCAATACTCAAAGAAATGCAATAAAATGAATTTTTGGAGAGAATTGGGATGAGAAGGTTATCTGAGTCAGAAGAAAAAGTCGAATATTTCTAAAGTGTACATAGCATATGAGGGGACGGGAAATATCATTTCTTCTGCACAATAAGAGACCTTCACAATTCTCGCCAAATACAACAGAGATCCTTACTTGAGACAAGATAGCATTCACCGCACATCTTCACCAGCATCTTCTTCTCTAGCTTCCTGTTAGCAATCATCATTCATCAGCATAGATCCCACGTTGAGCATTGTCGCCATTACTTCAGAGCTTTTCCCAAACACTGAAAAAGCTTCTCACCACAACAGTAAGTCTATCTCGATTACTTACGCGATCAGGATATATAAAAAAAGTGTACGCACACATGGAGAGGTTTCGACTCAAGAATACTAAATCTCGTCAGCTACCTCAGCCATCGCCAAATTTCCTCAACGACACTTATCGACCCAAGCTCTTTGAGATCATCACACAACCGGACTACCTCATCACCAAGGCGTTGACTCAACACTTCACCAGTAAGGTACTTGACTTATTTCAAGTAAGGCTCTTCATCCCAAACGTCTGCTCACACGATTTTGAGATCCAAGACCTGACCTCTTGTGTAGCAAACATACTACTTCGCCTTGCTCTTAGCATATCGCAGCGATGGCACTGCGTCTGCGTGACTTCATAGATAGGGAGTCCTCGACAGAGACACCAGTTGCCGAGCCCTCAATTTGGACATCCCACGACATTTTCCAAGCGGCAAATGCCGCCAGCGTGCGCGATTCCGATGGAGAAGATCCATACGGGCCCCAGCCGAAGCGATTCATGCAGACCGAACACCAAAAGAGACAGCTTGCACGAGATCTTGAAATAAGGAGGATGGCTTGGACAATGAGAAAGATGAAAAAGGATCATAAGGCAAACCATCAGCGACGGAAGAAACAGAAGCAGCGCCCTTCCCCTTTCGAAAAGCTGCCTTCCGATTTGGTCTTGAAGTTGATGCAACACATCCACCTGCGGAACATTTCCGAATTGATCAATAGTAGCGCAATCAACCAAAGCATCTTCAAAGCGAATCAAACCGCAATCTTCCGCGGTATAGAGATCGAGCAATTCGGAGAATGGAAGTGGCTCTTTGGAGACAGCAAATATAGGACTTCGGCACAAGCACAACACTTAAAGGATGCCATCATCTCAGAGAACTATTGCCACGACCCTGGAGCGCATGGCTGGGCGTACGACGAGCAGCTCCTCGAAATCCTGCGAATGATCGACAACAACGAGTTCACCGGCGTGCGGAATGTCATGTTCCTCCAAGACATGCAAGACCGTGTGGATGTGGATATCAATGCGACCGAGTCATACACAAAGACGAAGATAGCGAGACGGACTGCGATATGCCTGAGAAGTCTTAGTTTCGGACGACCGGGCATCGTGGAGGAGAAGGAGCGGACCGAGTACAGGCCACTGGTCGATGCGCTTATACTGCCATGGGAGGCACGATCTCAGCTTGTCAACGAACAACCAGGTAGCATACAAGCAGAGATTCGATCAATTCTCAACATTGTGATTGAGAAAATTTACCACACACTCCAGCATGTGGTGAGGCTCTGGTCATGGCAGTATTACAATAGTCCTGGGGAGCACCTGAAGCCTCAAGCAGTGAAGAAGTGGATGTCAAAGGTGGTGACAGGACTCATCCTCGAGTCGGTGATGCCACAATGGCGCGCAGAGATTATAAGTCCCTCGCAAGTTCCGTGCTTCATCTGGAAGGATTCTCGAATGGACCTAGCCGGCGACCTAGTGAAAGTGTTGAACGAGCACGATATTGGAAAGGAGGACGCGATTCAGGCGGTCAAGAATGGTGTGGAGTTTGGGAAGAGGATCGGACTGGATGTTGGAAGGTTATTGGACGGGACCATGGCAGGAGAATATATTGACATTTTCGGCGAGGAAGAGGCTATTTTTCAGTAAATTTGAATAGCTTTTCAGGCCAATGCAAGTTTTGTTCTCTAGATCTGCACAAATAAGTAAGTTATGGGTTTTGATTGGAGCGGGCTAATCTTTTTGAACAAGCAACATCCTGGACATGATTAGCATCTCTTATTCTTTTCAGGGGTTAGAAGTCAAGAGTCAGGAGTCAGGAGTCAGAAGCTGAAGAGGAGCTGAAGGCATTCAAGGTTGGAAAAGTGACGGGTATAAGCTAAGGTACTTTAAGCTAGAAAGGTGTTGGACAGCGCGATCGGGATTCGGGACCCGCTGTGACTAGTGCGCCTTTTTGGGCTGAACCAGAACAGCGTCGGACCCCTGCTCAGCCCTACCATTCGGCCATTCGTTTCCCCACCACCTTTCCATTTCCATTTCCATTTCCACCACGTTTCAAACCTACAGCTGTGTCACATAGCCTCGCTGATCCCTTGCTACTGGTTAATAATATATATCCAGCGGTGTCCGTGGCATCTGCCACTTTCTGAACTCCTGTCCTTTTCTACTCATACCCAAGCTTGCTTTCACACCTCCCTTCCAGTGACACGCGCGACACACAACTAGCCTTGGCCATACCGCATCCGAAAGATATAAGCGCACAATCTTTCCCATCGTTTGCCTTTTACCGACTATTTAACTAGTCACACTGGGACAATATGGCTGACCTTCAAGGCCGCAAAGTCTTCAAGGTCTTCAATCAAGACTTTATTGTCGACGAGCGATACAACGTAACGAAGGAGCTGGGGCAGGGAGCTTATGGCATAGTGTGGTATGTCACTCAGTCCTTTCGTCATTGATCTCTGGTATCCAAGGATGCTGCATTGTCCTCGAGCACTACGCTGGGCCATCCTGCTCGGGAGGTTCCAGTGGATCTGCTAACCCTCAGCTCGCAGCGCGGCCACCAACAACCATACCGGCGAAGGTGTCGCAATCAAGAAAGTCACCAATGTTTTCAGCAAGAAGATCCTTGCAAAGCGGGCTTTGCGTGAGATCAAGCTTCTACAGCACTTCCGAGGTCACCGCAATGTAAGAGTGTCGTCGAAAAGTTCGACTTTCTGACAGCAGTGCTGACGGACCTGTCAAGATAACATGCCTCTACGATATGGACATCCCTCGGCCGGACAACTTCAATGAGACGTATCTCTATGAAGGCAGGTGGACAAATTGAGCCCATAGCGAACTCCCTACTGACTCTACCTAGAACTTATGGAGTGTGATCTGGCAGCAATCATCAGATCTGGCCAACCTCTGACCGATGCCCATTTTCAGTCTTTTATCTATCAAATCCTGTGCGGCTTGAAGTACATTCACTCAGCGAACGTCCTCCACCGAGATCTTAAGCCAGGCAACTTGTTGGTCAACGCAGACTGTGAGCTGAAGATCTGTGACTTTGGTCTTGCAAGAGGCTTTTCCATGGATCCAGAAGAGAACGCAGGCTACATGACCGAATACGTCGCCACAAGATGGTATCGGGCACCGGAAATCATGTTGAGCTTTCAAAGTTATACTAAAGCAAGTGTGTTTCTCCATGCCTCCTGCACCTAGAGCCGATCCAGCTAATCAGAGTAGTCGATGTCTGGTCTATTGGCTGCATTCTTGCCGAGCTGCTGGGTGGCCGACCTTTCTTCAAAGGAAGAGATTACGTGGACCAGCTGAACCAAATTCTCCACTATCTCGGAACTCCGAACGAAGAAACACTGTCACGGATTGGATCGCCTCGAGCACAAGAGTATGTCCGCAATCTACCTTACATGCCCAAAGTGCCCTTCCTGCGGCTCTTCTCGAACGCCAACCCCGATGCTTTGGATTTATTGGATAAGATGCTGGCTTTCGATCCATCCGCTCGAATCTCTGTCGAGGAAGCGCTTGAGCACCGCTACTTGCATATCTGGCACGATGCCTCGGATGAGCCCTCCTGTGCAACGACGTTCGACTTCCACTTTGAAGTCGTAGAGGATGTGCCTGAGATGAGGAAAATGATCCTTGCCGAAGTGGCTCGATTCAGACAGCAAGTGCGCGTACAGCAACCGCAGCAGCAAATGAGTGGGCAGATCAATGTGCCTATTCCCGAAAACGCCAATCAATGGTCTCATGAGGACCCAAGGCCTCAGGAAGCAGCACACTCACAGCAAATGCATGGCATGGAACTTGAACAGGAGCTGCAAGGAGGACTGGACGCGATGCACTAGCTCTCAGCTTGCAAAGATTCACGGCAGAGGTTGGATAGGGTTTCATTCTTTTCGAAATGCGGCATCTAGGCGGCGGCAAATGTTCAGCGAATTTTTGATCCGCCTTTTCGCAAGAGACTCTCACGGTTTGACGCACAGAATTTACCGCTAGCCTTCTTTTTAGATGTACTTGGATACGTGGACCGGGAGTCTGCGGGGTACCTTATTCCTAGCTTTGACATCAATGCAGTTTTCCATGATTATCTGTACTTATCATCAGAGCTGGGAAGTACATGTAGATAGCAAGTCTTCGAATATTCTCATCGAAGCCTCTCGTAGTCTCGAAGCCTGGTATGGTCTGGGCATGACTTTCCATGATCGAGAGATGGCGCTAGCGTATCAGTGTCTTGGCAGCCCTATTTACCCCACCAAGATAGAAAGTGACCCATCCATCGCCGGGCTGCCTCATCTCTCCTCGACAACCTCCTGCTTCCCTCGACGGTCATGAACAAAATATATTCTCCTTGATAGGACAGTACTCCAATACCGCGGACAAAGAGTCCGTTATATTGACTACCAAGCCTGTGTGTTGAGAAGTTTCGGGCCGGCAATCGAGTCACACTCGTCATCTCGCCAAGTCAGTGTTAACCGTGCTCCTCGCAACCTGGCCTGAAAAGCTTTCGAGCTGCAACAACATATGCTGACTGAGATCTCTGGCTGGTAGTAGTACATGGAAATGTCTAACAACAATATGGAGGGTAAGTCGCTCCTTCATATTTCTCCGACATCGTGGATGAGCCTCGCCGACAGGTTGAGATGGTGATCCTTTTCCGATATCTGCCCGCACACAGCACCCGAAAAGCGACTTCTGACTCTTACTTGATGCTGACACATCGGTACACAGTCAAAATTACTTTGGTACCGCTCGGACGAGATGAGAAGCAAAACCACCGGACTATTGCAGTCACCCCAGATAACCTATCCGTCAGCGTTGGCCGAGCTTCCAAGAACCCCAGCAAAGGGCTCCTTGCTGCTCCAGACAATGCATGGTTTGAATATCCGATCCTATCAAGGACCCATGCAAAATTCACAGCTTCTTGTAACCAGCAGGTGAGTCAACACTGCCGACTGTAATAAGAATGAAATGCTAAGATCACAATGCAGGAAATCTACCTACAAGACTGCGGATCAACCCATGGCACCTACATAGACAAGCAGAGGTTGGAGGCTGGGGTGGAATTTGCTGTGGTAGACGGAGAGGTCATCACATTCGGCCAGAGAGTTACAAGCGGAGCAGGTGGGTCCTCCTTTCCACCAGCAAACGCTTCTAAGATGCCATTTGGTTTATTCACTCTCTATAGTCACATACCCAGCCAAAGATTTCCGTGTTCATTCGAGGTGGGAATCTCGCAGGTTGGTCCCTCATCTCTGTCTAGCAATTTTGTGGCTGATATAGTATAGTGAGGTGCATGACAGCCACTCCACTACAGTCATGGAGGCTCAAAGACTAGTGCATACGGCTTCCATCAGTCGCCCTCCCTTCACTAATGACTTTGACCACTCCTCCGAACCATCTCGAGAGGGTTCCGTTCAGATCGTCGATTCCCACCGTCATACTTTCTCCGTTCCATCTACGGATGATGAAGTCGACTCGGAGGATGAAGAAGAAGAAGAGGTACAAATCGCGTCGTCCGTCCAAGGCGATGAAGAAGAGGTTTCTGCAGCCACCACACCCGATCGTCAAGCCGTTGGAAAAGCATACAACAACACCGAAGGCGAAGCTCAAAGCTCTAAAACTGGGCCAGCGCCCGGCGAGACGCGCGGTCTCAACCTAAAAGGCCCCAGCTTGCGAGATCTTTTGACCGAGACTTCCAAAGATGGTACATCTCAGGAGAACCCTATTAACCTCGAAGGTGTATGTACCGATGTTACTGATGTGGATACCGAGAGCGAAGATGACGGCCCGGACGTCTTACCGTTTTACGAACCTTCAAAAGCTGATCAGCCGAACCGATCAAGGGTCTGGGATGACCCGCAAGTTGCTCCTCAAACGTCTGCTGTGACAATGCCGACAATGATGAGTGTAGCCCAGAAACAGAGCGATCGGGACTCGGAGACTCAGAGACACCGCATCATCCCTGAGACCCAGGCCAAGATGGCTAGTGAGGATGAAGCAAGAGGACACGAACCAACGAACGTTCTTGCTGACTCGACTGCTGGGGCCACCGATGGCTTCGACAGCGAGGATGACGACGGGTTTGATTATGATCCAGATTTCTTCGACGAAAACTTGGAGCCTTTCCCTGAGCCTTCAATCCTCAATGTTGGAATACCAAACAGCTCTAAGCCCAAAGTCACTTTCCAAGTCGGCAGTGAAAAACCGCATTACACAACGCTAACGCCTCCATTCGATGAATTTCGTCCTCCTCATCTTAGTGATCTCAGCGTTAGCGACGCCATCGACGTAAGCCAGCCTGCCGGGCCGTCCTCCGCATGGGCTCAGCGGGCACCCAGTCCATCAGATGCGGCACTAGCTAGAAAGGCGAGCGACCCAAAAACGAGCTTAGGTCGAGACATCCTTGATAATTTTCCTGTCTCCCAATGGCCTGCGGCCGCCAAGACCACTCACTCTCATTCCACGGAGCATGCTCTAGGCAATACAGCATCTCGCGAAGAACCTATTGGAGCATACTCCTGGCCAGAGCTCCAGAGCCCGGAACCTCGCTTATACGATCAGGGACCGTTCAGCAGTCAGCCAAAGGTTACGGTACCCACACCCCGCTCGCCAAAGCCAGGCCATGTAAAGAATCAGCACAAGAAGCCGACCGTCACATGGGCTGACCCCCATGAAGAGAACGGCGACATGATCATGAATGCCGATTGTTTTTCCCGGACCGGAAAGCAAGCATCCAAGATCACGATTCCAAGTCTTGTCGAGAATTACCTTGCTGAGAATCCTAGGTCTTTCAAGAGGAAATATGGAGGAATGAATGGGAGCGATGACGTTGAAGCTACACCCAACACACCTAAACCAAGTCCGCCCGTGACACGCATCTCTGGCTCCAAGAGGACTTTCGCAGAGGCAAATTCCGAGGCCGTCTTTTCACCCTATTCCCTTCACAGACTGCGATCACACGTCGACCCCACTGATTTCATGTGGCAATCCGGTGAAGATAATACCACGCAGCGTCAACTCGGACTCGTAGATCGAGACACTCCTCTACCTGACGCTCAGCCTAGGGAAAACATCTTTCAGACTCCCACCGCCTCTATATCTCAAGGGAGTGCTGCTGAGCCCGCTGTCGGCTCAGCATCAATCACGACGACCGTTCAAGGCGATGACATTGAAGGACCAGCTCGTAAGAAGGCCAGGAAGTCATCGCCGTCGCCTGGAGGTATTGGCAAGTTCGTGATGGGCGTGGGCTTCGGCTTGCTGGGTGCTGCTGCTGCATTCATTGCCACTATCCCTGCTTCCGTATACGAGGAAGCCCTTCGAGAATTCGGCAATGCCGCCTGAAGGGATTGCAGAGGTCTACCATTGACGTCGATATACCATTTCTTTCATGTGGCTATCGGCGCGGATGGATCAGGGTAGTCGGAGGACGCTACGGTTCAGAGTTCAGAGATGGAGTTTGGTGCGTGTCTCAGGGAATATATCTGCTTAAGCTGGCAACAGTGACCTAGGATGGGGCTGGGGTGATTGGCTTTACCTTTTTTATCTTCTCATCAGCTTATGGCAATATCATGTAATGGCTCCCCTTCATTGCCGAAAAAAGTACCTTAGGCTAGTGAGAATTAGGCACTTAGGTACGTTAGCTCGCTGCGAAAAGACGTCAGTGACGTCACAGTGGTGCGAAAATCAACATGAATAATAATACAACCTCCCCAAGCCTTTATTACACCTCATCACATACCAATTTGTATACACAAACTTTGCGACATCTACCAATACCACCCTCTATAATGGCTGTCGAATCTAAATATGAGCCTAAGGATATGGTACATTATGCGGTCCGCACCTTATAATGCAGCCGGCGATACTGATTTGACACAGGTCTTCCGCCACCTCGGGCCAACCGGCCTCAAGGTCTCAATTTTGTCTCTTGGTATGAGCGGGCAATATCCTACCTCACACAGACGATTCTGACAGCCGTTCCAGGTGGCTGGCTTACCTACGGTGGCACACAGAAGGGAAACATAGTGAAGGAGTGCTTGCAAGCTGCCTGGGATCATGGCGTCAATACTTTTGATACCGCTGAGGTACATTTGTCTTAGTTCGCCAGAGCACTCAATGCATGCACGCTAACTCGGACTATAGGTCTACGCCAACGGCCAGTCCGAGCTCGAAATGGGCAGTGCCCTCAAAGAACTCGCCTGGCCCCGCGACGAATATGTTCTCATCACCAAAGTGTTCTTTGGCACCGGCCGCAAGGAACCCAATACCCGCGGTCTCTCCAAGAAACATGTCGTCGAAGGGTTAAAGAGCTCGCTGGCAAGGCTACAGCAGCCATACGTTGACGTGGTGTTTGCGCACAGGCCTGATTATGCTACACCTATGAAGGAGATCGTGGAGGGCTTTACACAGGCTATCAGGAACCTGAACCTGGCATACTATTGGGGCACGAGCGAGTGGTCTGCTGTGCAGATCATGGAGGCCACGCAGATTGCGGAGAAATTCAACCTCATTGCTCCTATCGCTGAGCAGCCGCAGTACAACGCTTTCCACCGCGAGCGCTTCGAGGTCGAATATGCCCCGCTGTTCGACCAGTTCAAGTACGGCACTACGATCTGGTCACCGCTGGCTAGTGGACTGTTGACGGGCAAATATAATGATGGCATCCCAGAAGGTTCTCGCTTCCACAACCACAAAGACTTCTTTGACAGCAAAATCAAACAGCTGGAATCTCCCGAGGGCAAAGCACAGATTGAAAAGGTCAAAAAATTAACCACAGTCGCTGAGAAGCTGGGAGGCTCTGCATCGCAGCTTGCGCTCGCTTGGGCGGCGAAGAACGAGAATGTCAGCACGGTTATCTTGGGCGCCACGAAGCCGGAGCAGATCGTCGATAATTGCAAGGCGCTGAGTGTGTTGGCGAAGCTGACGCCCGAGTACATGGAGGAGATTGAGCAGATCTTAGAAAATAAACCCGCAGGGCCGAGCAAGTTTGGGCGCGAGAGGTAGGTATGTGGTCCACCAGCTATCCATCGTTCGCTACAGTGATAGGATTGCTCACGAAGCATAGACGCATTGTCAATGAGAAGAGGCGGCGGGCCAAGTTGTAGATAGACCGATACAATCTTTAGTTTTCCTGTCTTAACACATCGCTCCAGATCCTACCATGAGCAATCTGCTCGTCGTTGCCTTGGCATGACTCTCAATGCTCAGCCACTTTGAATTTGAAGACAGTCACCCACTACATCCCGCGAAAGCTTCCCCTTATCCGGAGAACATATATACATTCATCGCCCGTTCCTACACACCGAACCCTTGACCCCCACCTCAACCTCCTAACCCGACAGCCCAACCGCCCTCCGCCCCACCCTTCAAACTCCCAACACTCATACCACCACCAGCCACCTCCCCCCCGGCACCCATCTCCCGCCTCCACCCCATCATACCCGCCACCGGCCTCGGCGCCACCTCTTCGCCTCCGCTCTCAAGCGGCCCATCCATGCACATCCGTAGGATTTGCATCCGGTGTAGATGGGCGGACTGCCATCATCATCATCATCATCATCACGTACGTTGTCGTGATTGTTGGAAATCAACACGCGAATGGTTCGCCTCCGCGATTGCCGGGGGTCCGAGTCAGGGCCATTCGTTGTAGAAGAGAAGCTCGTGGTCGGGGGTCGAGATGGAGGGGCGATGCCGGTGGTAGATGACGGAGGGTGTAGATTTGGGGTTGGGAATATGTAGGCGAGGCTGGATGTTGATGTTAGCCCCCACCCGCCCCCCGTCCCCTATTCTACGGATATACAGACGACTACGGATCTGCACTGGGACTCGGGGGAAGCTTGGAAACGAAGCGGAGAAGCACAGCAGAGAAGAGCGAGGACTCTGTCACGGATGTATCATGGCCTCGATGACCCCGCTCGATAATATCACATCCGTGCCGTCATCGCTCCTCAGCGTGGCGCTCGCTTTGATCCTACTCGGACGCCACGACCGCGAGCAGGGATGTTATGACCCAGATTGTCATCTTGACGCATTGCGAGACAGATACGTGATCGGTTGCAGGTTTGGCGAAGGAATGATCACGGTGACGTCGAGGATGATGCCCACGGCGCAGATGATCATTTGCAGGAGCCCGGCGCTGTGGCGGGAAATGGTATGTTAGCTGATTTTGTTAACGTAGGAAGGGGAAGGATTAGGAGGGAGGCGGTACGCGTCGAGTCCGGTTTAGAGAAGCTCAGATTTGGGCGCAGAGGAGGATGCACACGAAGAGGAGCTGGATGATCCAGAAGGGTATGAGGACGGTTTTCAGCCCATGGAGATTCACGGGGGGCGTTTTCGGTGGCTGGTTTGGCCATGGCTGCGATGGATGGTGGTGGCTTTCGGGTTGGGAGAGGAGGTATCTGTCTCGCTCGTCTCGTCTGGAGAACCAAGGCGTCAAAGGCAGCGAATATTTAGAGGAACCGGTCTCGAGTCTTGAGACGGGAAAGGGTCTAGTGCAGAAGACGATTTGAAAATGCAACTGACAGTAGATATAACAGAAGGAGGTACGAGGCTCAATAGTACAATCGAGTCGTCCGCCCTTCTTCCCTCCGTGAACGAAAGGCGATCACAACAAACTCGAGAAGCGAACAGCGAATAGCAGAGGAGAGATGGCAAGAAAAAACACATGCTGGCACTGCATTTTTTATTCTACGCGCTGAACAGCTAACCGGCCCCCATCACGCACCTCCAGCGAAACGTCCCCAAATATGGAATGTCCCCTCCGGACTCTGCAGCGGGAATATTTATTGTTCCAAGATTGGCTTCCTTCACTTTCCTCTTATGCCTCTATTGGTGCGCAATAAGGTTTTGAGTCAAGATGGCCACGATTGACGGCCAGTGTTTGAGGATTTTTTTGGGATGGTAGGAGGGTAGTTGGATGTGTATTTAGCGTGCATGGTCGCCCAGAATTTACTTACGGTCAACCGTACGATGCAAATTCCAAGCCAGGCGAGCCAGCGAGCCAGGTCCTCATTAATTTTTCTGCTGAGTCACGTGCCATGATCTCGACAGGCTGAGGAAAGCGGCTCAGAGACGATGGTTGCGTTAAGTTTGGGTAAGATGAAGCTTCTTATTAGAAAGAATGCTGGATGAGGCCCATGGCAAATTTCTTCCTGGAATCCTGGGCAACGGAGGCAACAGGCATATGCAGATGAATATTCAATATGAGAGGCTTTGAAACTGCTAAGCGGAGTATTTCAGTCTAGGGAGGCTTCATTCATACTTGGACAGATAAACTGAATTTGGCTCTAAGGCTGGCTCTTGCAGTTTCATATGCAGCTACTTGTCAAGCAATGTCTCGGGCCGGACAAGCAGTGACCTTCTCAGTCCCTCGACGCATACCCAAGTATTTCATCACCGGGGAACGCTTGCGAGAACCCCAAGAAGCAAAATCGTATCCGGCCAAGCAGACCATCATCCACCCCTGTGTCTCCGCGGAGTAGAGCGCACCTTGTCAAGACTGAAGAGGTCGGGTCATGCGTGAGCAGGTATGAGCATCTTCGCGGTTACTGGTGCCTCTGGTACCTGGAAAATTGCTTGGCATTTCAACAAAACCTATAAATTCCCCAGCAGTTAGAGCACAGCAACAAGGTTCTTCTCCGACATGAACTCATTCTCAACACGGTTTAAATCATCATTGCGGGGTTATGCGGGCTCAGACAAAAATAGGAGAAATCATTGTTCTCGGAATGGGGGACCGAATACTGGCCTTTTGTATGTGCCCATGCTTGTCTACTCTCAAACCCTCTCATGATTTGGCTGACAAAGACCTGTTAATTCCCCAGCAGTCAGAGCACAGCAACAAAGTACTTCTCCCGCAGCAGACTCAGTACGATCAGATTAAATCATCATTGCAGAGGGGTCGTGTTTGCTCAGATAGAAAGTTCGACATCATTGTCCCGGGAATGGGGGACCGAATACTGGCCTTTTGTATGTGCCCATGCCTGCCTGCCCTCAAACCCTCTCGTGACTTGACTGACAAAGACCTATAAATTCCCCAGCAGTCAGAGCACAGCAACAAGGTACTTGTCCCGCAGCAGACTCAGTATAGCGCACGGAAATCATCATTGCCACAGGCTCAGACCAGTGGTTAGACGTCATTGTCCCGGGAATGGGGGACCGAATACTGGCCTTTGCATGTGTCCAAGGAACTTCCGAAGCCTCTCTTCCTTTGCCGTGGGCGATGGTTGCGGAGTAGACCTGGAGCACTACAATGGTCAGCCAGAGACAATGATGATGGACTCAGACACTGTATACCGACTGTTGCAGCACTTGATTGTGCTAGTATCTTGTTGGAAGATGTCTGATCGGTTCTGAGTTTCTCCAGGCAGTAGCCTCCCGTTCAACGGCATTGCAATGTGTGCTGGGGTGCCGCGAGGAGATTGGGACTTGAACAATGCCGGATAAAGGCGAGCAGTTCATGATCTCGATGTGCACGAGCTATGCGAAGTTGGGAACGTGGAAAGGTGGATAGACGATTGAGGGCAGAGAATGGAGAAAGTAAACAAGAGAATGGCAGGTTGGGAAGTTGTTGGGCAAGCTAGCAGAGTACACCTACGCAGTTGCTCTGTTCACGAGGGGCGAAGAATTCGGTCCTGCCGAGGAAGGATGCTCCTGCCATATGGGTGGGTCCCCAACAGCAGTTTACCGCTACTGATATGCAGACAGGATAAAAAGGCATTGGAAATCCTTCCGAGCAACCTGCTCGTGCAACTGTTCTATTCAGAAAGAATGCCTACTTATTTCGAATATGGAAAGATGCTCTTGCTCTTCTGAGGAGCCCAAGGAAGGTGTTCTCTTCTTACCATCTCAGTCCCTTTAGGCAAGTAGGAAGCGCTCCCCTGAAGGCAGTCACTCGCTACAAGACATTAAGCAGGGGAAGGCGATCCCCTGTTTACAAAACAAACCCAGGCAGGCAGTCATTCATGTTCTCAGTCCCCAGCATTTGAGCTTGCTCAGACTGTAAGATGGAATTAAATTTGGATCAAGAGCCACGGAATCCTAGCTTTTGAAGCTTGAGTTGGCTGATTTTCGGCAGCGATAGATTTTCGGCTCGAACCCTTTGTTTTCTAATTAGTATTGCATTCCTCCTTCAAGTTCAGAGCGACGTCTATGATCGGTTGCGAGGTCTAATCTTGCGCTTCTTAAAGCAGGGACGAACGGGACAAGGTGCAGAGTGGCATGAGCATCGAGTTCCAAACCTTAAAATTCGACCTGCCAGATGATGTGGACTTTGGGCTACTGGCCGTGGTTCTATGTTTTTGGGAGCTCGAATGGTCTAGACGCACACGATAATTACATTTTAGGAAACTTATTATCATCCAAGCTTTCAGCCCAACCATCTCTCGGCCGTGGTTCACTTGTTCAATTCTACATTATTCAAAGCGTTCATACTCCCTGCAAGCCTGCATGACGTCTCCAAACAAGATCTTGGCTTGTTTTCTGCCAAAATGTTTCCCGTTCTCATGCTGCGGGCGTGCAACACAATCGTACATTGGCCCACATTCTTAGTCCTCCGCGTTTGACCTATGATCGACTCCTCCATTCATGGTAGGTAGGGGCCACAGGCTTCTGGAGAACCCCATTTGAATGTGACGTTGTTGCGCAGTCGCCCGCGAGGGGAAAACGGTATCCAGATCAAGAAAAGCATTTATCACGACATCGAGGTGGACGCTACCGCGTTTCAAGATCTCGCCGGTTTGTTCGATAGCGGCAGTCTCCTCGGGCGGTGGCAATCGTCCCGGCTTGTTGTGTTCAACAATAGCCTCCGTTACGACTTTACGGCTTACGTATGGGCCATTGGTGGAGGGCTGGGAGAAGCTTTTGAGTGCTTCTCTTTCTGGCTGGCTGATGTCGTAAGGCGTCCCTCGATCGGCCTCCACATCTATGAGATTTCCCGTAACATTCTTTCCGGAGCTGAGGGTCTGCTTTGTAAAACTCTTTCTTGAGCTCAGAGGGCATATTCGATGTCGCTGTCGAGATTTGGCTCGATATGCTATTACTTTTGAGGATCTACTGTTGTGGATATCCTCGGAAGTCTTTCACAGATGGACGCGCTCGGCAAGTCAGATCGTTTCACACATGCTGAAACCTGGTCTCGGTTCTTTTGAAGAACTTTTTGTGGATACTGTGGATGATATATATCTGCCGCTTGCTGAGAAGAATACCGACAACAATAAACCCCAACTCATTGACCGTTGCCTCTCTCAAGTGTATGAAGTGCATTGCGCCCGACAAACACAGTTTGCCAAGATCCGAAATGAGCTTGTGCGTTATCGGGACTTGACATTGATTGTGTTTGAGTACCGGACCTCGGAACCATGAAGACAAACCTCATAGTACCCCTCTACTCCGCCAGCGCTTTCTCAACGCGTCGCCGCCATCGACGCTCACCCGACATCCGCCCACATCCATCCAACCGTGATATGTCGCACTTGGTCCAAGAAATTGTTCAACCTCTTCTGCACACTTCCCAAATCCGTTTGGCTCACGTTGAGCCTGCTGGAAGCTGTGATAGAACTCTTTGTCCACAAACCTGTCATGCGATCCAAATAACTTATTCCATAGCTTGGCGTACAGCCTCGACCTCTGTGCACATGCCGTGAAACTGTCCAATGCGCTCCCAGATAGCGTGGCAAAAAAAACTAGCGACCGGATGATGGCTCTTCCCAGTAAGCAGTCCGTCTTTGTCGCCGTCGAGTCCCCTTACTAGGAAGATTATTTCCTTGTTGTAGGAGCATTTGCGGCACAGTAGGAAGTCAAATCAGACCCGTAGGAGGAGACTGTAAAGCGCCAGTGACAAGTTTGCAACCTCAAGAATAAGGATATTGTACTCTCACGTCAGTTTCTCCAACGGCTGGATTCTATATGGTAGAACGAAAAACTTGAAGAGATACCGAGAATCAAGACTACGGAATCGCGGCTTTTTCGACCTTACTTCACAATGTCGCTGATAACCCACCAATAGACCAGAGGGAAGTGCATCAACCCTGAGACCTTAGTTCTCTGCCCCACAAGCCGACCGCCCCTTAAAATCCCTACTTACCATCCTCCGCTCCCACATCTCGCCCCGGGCGTCGCCACGGCCGCGATCCCAGGCCTTGATCTCAAACATCAGGAGCGAGTCTGATGATCTGAGTGAACGACAGACGCAACGCTCCCATGGCGTCAAAACCAATGATCAGATCCGGTCGCTCGGATCGATATATTTCGGCACTCCAGACTCATGGTAGGCCCTGATGGTTTCAAGCCCAGGATACGGAGAATTGCACAAGCGTTGCAAATGGGAGGGTGCTGCTGCCCGCTTTTGTCTTCCCCCTCTTTCGTTCCCGTGTAGTCGGTATGGGCTACTTGTATCGGCAGCGGCAGATGGACCGTCGACCGGTCTCGGCCCGCCCGGCGCCGCTACCTTGTGACAGTAAGTGACGCGAGGGTTGGAAGAGGAAATCGCAGCTTCTTTCGAGACGGTTGAGTCGGGCGGATGTACCGGCTAGGGTTTCGTGTCCGCAGGTCTTACGCGGAAGTCGCATCGACACTTTTACCGCCCTGTCCCGGTCGGGATTCCGCATGCCAATCTGGAGGCGTGACGGTCGTTTTTGTTGGATCCGAGCAGATTCATGTCGGGTCCCTCGACGACCGATTGCGGTGATAGATTTATTTCGATGTCGTGGAGGCGTGTCTTGATCGGCCACTGCTCCCTTCCAAGTGTTACGGGTTCGAAAAGGATGGACGGATCGCCTCCCCTCTCAATCTTGGGACATGACTCGCTCCCGGGCTGGCAGGCACGGAGAGTGAAGGTGAGCAAGCCTCGATTATGTTTATGCTGAGCCAAGCAGAGTTACCAACTCGAGCAAAAACCGAGCGTAAGTTGAGAAAATAGATTCGGGCAGAGCCGTTGAGCTACTGCAATCTACCCTTCGGTGCCGGATTTCCACAAGACGGGCTTTTAACACCGACAATGAAGTTTTGACGTCGTACGTCCACAATCGAACCCGAGCCCTCCAACACCCTCACCAGATCCGCCCCGTCCACCGTCGAAAAAGCTCCCTTGCTCAGCCACTTGCAAGAAACTCTCCACCCCGTCCTATGATCTGCCCCAGAATCCTACTCACCCTCTGCAGCATCAGCGTTGTCAACTCCCGTACGACGCTTGTCGACTGGCGATATGTCCGCTAGATCGGATGAGCGTCTAGAAAAGCTGGCAAGGGGTGGCGGGGAGAGCGTGGCCGTAGGTTTCTCTTTTTCGATGAGGACGATGAGGTGGTGTATCGATGGGTACTGTCTATGTGGCGGGAGTGAGGCGGGATGCGTCATTCGAGGAGAAGATTGGCGACTACGATTCAAATAAGTAAGGTTGGTCTGTGAGATGTTTTGAAAGGCGTGGTAGAAAGTTGTGATGTAGATATTGACAGCTCGATTTGAATACCCAAGTAAGCACCAGCCCGAGACCGACCCCATGACAGGGGGACGAGAGGGTCAAAATCCAACACGATGGACCGGAAGGAAAAGAATGAGGAAGAGCACATACCGTATATGTTCCAGAACCCCCATAGAAAGCCGGGATGTACAGCGTGGATCACCCAATCCCGGGCTCCGAGCGAGTCGAGTCCTCCCCCACTCGTACCGAACGGTGGAGCAATCGCGCCCAGTGACCCCATCCCCCAAGCCGCAGGAAGCACGTCCTGGTCTCTGCGACCGCCAGCGTTGGCGCTCGCTGAGTCGACGGCGGTGGTGTCTGACCAGTTCCGTTTGAATCCAGCTCACTCATCTCTAGCGCGCTCCAGCACGCGGACGAGAGGGTCTGCGGTCATTCACGTCGTGAGCAGTCCAACGCGACCGGGATGGCCGGTGCTCGGATGCCGGGGGCGGGAGTGAAGGAGGAGAAGAGTAGGGTAGAGCGAAGAGGATGCGCTGAGAGCGATGATACATATTTGGCGTTGGGTGATGGGGGGATGATAGTGGCAGGCATTGCTGGAAGTTGCTTGAGGTTTCGCTGTGAAGCCATTTCAAATCCACAGCCTACCTTACTCACTCACTCACTCACTCACTCACTCAAGCGCACATTCCAGCTCCTGAGCAAGCGTTCGACCTGGGACACGAGCGCACGATGGAGTACTGCTCTGCGCGCTCCCAGGTATACATACATACATAGGCGAATCTACCTTAGTCGGCTTCTTCTCACACGGGTTAGCTACTTAGGTTGCATCGCGCGCTCGGTAGGATCAAACGAAAAGGATCTCGGATCGGCGATATAACGTGATTCGGTTTCATGCGTGCGATTGCCAGTCCTTGACAAGAGGTGCCGATGATTGTCACTGATGTGAAGGGACCAAGTAGACGCCGAATATACGAGTAAACCCCCAAGCCGACCTCGCAACAACGAATCGAATGGAATCGAATCACAACCTACCTACCTACCTATCCTACGTGCCCCCCTTCCCCCCTTTCCCCCCACCAACAGACCGGCTCCCCCCTACCCATCTGCATCGCCGGTCCCCCAAAAACCCCGGCTTCCACGACTACTAAGGCACACTCTATGTAGGTAAGATTAGTCGAACCCGAGACCAAGACCACCCCGTCCGTAGAAATGCCACAGTGCCCACCCGTGACCGTGACCTCCTCCGCCGCCCTGAGGATGTCGGGAAGGGTTCCGAAGTTCGGCCGTTTTGGGTACTAGAAGGGATGCGTGAGTGAGTGGGTGAGTGAGTGAGTGAGTGAGTGAGTGGGTGGGTGAGTGATGTGGCAGATGTGGGTTAGAAAGGTTGTTGGGCATCGGGGTGGAGGGACGGGCGGGATGGGAGGGGAGATTAGGCAGAGGTAACGACAGGCTGATCGCTTCGATCAATGTATAGGAATATTGGTGGGGATTAGGGTTACATGTAAGAGGTTGTAACATGAGCATTCATCGACCCTCGTACTTTCATCGCACCATAAGACCATACCAATCTAGCGCCATGAGCTTTCTTCTTTTAGGTACATGCGGCTCAACCCTAAGCGTCTTCCATATGCCCCGCCTCCGCCTTCGCACCCACACTCTCCACTCTCCTTCCCCCATGTTCCTTTCGATCCGACGCCAGCGTCTGCGCAAATTTACTCTTTTCCCTTATATACGGCCCCTTCCAGTAGAAGATGTAAATCGGTACCGTCACAATGATAGCCAAGCAAGCCAGTATCGTCGACGGCCACTCTAGTTTGAATTTCGCATGTCCGTTGCCAACGTCTGTGTAGAAGGGAGTCGCATACATGGCTGCTATACCAGCGAGGAAGTCACGAGCAAGGGCGTTGCCGCCGGTTGCGGAGGCGGAGTAAGGACCGTAAGAGGCGATCATGTAGTCGATCGTGGCCATGTAGATTGCGTAGTTGGCAGCGCCGATGAGCATTGAGAAGATCATAGGCGCGATCCAGTGGACGTTGTATGCCGGCCCCAAGCTAGTCCAGGCAAAGCCAAAGAGTCCGATTGCTTCGAGGGGTGCAAGGTATAGCAGCCAGTATAGGCGGGCTTCGGGCTGAAGGGCGTTGGGATCCCTTGCACGGATCTTGTTGTGCCGGGCGAAGAAAGGGAAGAAGGAAACCCAGGCAAGGAAGTAACCGATCAGAACGGGTATAAAGGCGAGACCCTGAGCCGTGGTCCCGAAGTTCCACTGTTCGTAGACGGGCTGAAAAGATTCGAGGAAGGTGAAAATAAGGGCGTCTGAGAAACCGGATAGGAGAGATAGGCAAAGCACGATTGGCTCGCGGATGAACATTTCGAATGGACGACCCCAGGTGGCGAGGATCTCTTTGGGTGAGAAGCGGTTCTCTTTGAGTTCGTTGGGACCCCATATGTTCTCTCCTGTAGCCTTGCGTCTTTTCTTGGCTTCTCTGTCCAGGATAATTGTAGAGCGAGTCTCCGGTACGAGGAAGAAGTGGGCTAGCTGTACAGCTCCGCCGAAGATAAGCTGTAAATGGTGTCAGCAATCACGGGCAGAGTAGAGTAGCTAGGTAAACCTGTGAAAGGTGTTGCTCTCATGGATGCACGATATCAGAGACTCACCTGAACCCAGAAGTTCCAATGCCAGCTAAGCCAACGTTGCACGAAGGCTCCAACAATAGGACCAAGAACGGATCCACCGACCGATGATAACACGATGAAAGCCACGGCATACTGTTGGTCATCCGCCTCCCACATATCTGCTATCAAGCCCAACGTCACAGACCCGCCAGCTGAGGACAGTCCACCAAGAAAACGGAACCCAATGATGGTGCTGTAGTTCGGTGCCAAGGCGCAGGGTATCTCCCAAACATTGACCAGAAAAAGCGAAAGCTGCAAGACCGGCCAGCGGCCCAGATCCTCGCTCCAAGGAGCCCACAGCTCAGATCCAAAAGCATAAGCCACAAGGTATATCATCTGCCCCACCCTAGCCGCTTGGCCAGAAATTACAAAAGCCTTGGTGAGAGGCTCGACGGCATTGGAGTAGACGCTTGTGTTGAAGTTCATGGAGACTTGGACCCAGAAGATGACGGTGAGGATAGTCCATTTCCTGAAGGGAGAGAAAGAATAGCCAAGCTTGTCCCAACAGTCTTCCTCCTTAATCTCTATCTTGCCATCTTCTCTGGTGGTAGGAGACTCGGCCTTGTCGTGAGTAGGAGCATTATCGCTGCCTGGAGCTGTATCAGAGCTGTGACCAGACGAGGGAACCTTTTCTGGCTTTTCCTCTTGATGCTGCACGTCTTGCATCTTCTTCGCAGCGACATTCGCCATTTCGCGTGGGCAAAGCTATTGCATTGGGGTGTTTAGATGAAAAGAGTTACTGAGGGTTACTGAGAGTGCCAGGTCGCGTGGGCTATCTTTATGTTGAGGAATGAAGGGCAAGCAGGCATGCGGAGATGGCGCCGAATAGTCTCCCAGCTGGTTGCCCTTCGTAGCCCATTGTCGAATCGAGTATAGAGCGAGGAGCGAGAAGCTGGAATTGCCATGTGTGCCGCATGGGCTTACGCATGATTGGCAGACAATTCGATGTTGACGGTAATAATGCTACCTCATGACTTCATCAGGATCGGCGACGGAGTTGTAGTCCGAGCCACATTTCGCAAGCACTGCTCTTTCTGACCCCTTTCCTTTCGCTTATTTTCTCACGTGCCTTATTTGATCTGCATCCTTTGTACAGCCTTCCAGTCAATGCCTGCTGCTGATTGGCCCTTTCCTACTCGAGTGTTGTGCCACGACCAGGGCACCAGGACGGTGGTACGTGTGAAGGGCTTTGCCACTTGTCAGTCCTTCCTGAACTAAAAGATCCTTGACAAAGCCAGAGAGAAGATATTACTTTACGCATCTTGAGAGGCTACAGGTGTCGAAGCGGACTCGGGATGATTTCTTGCGAGAGAAGAGGGAGCTTGATGCCTTCATGTCACTTCTACCCCACAATGTTTAAACTTTCAACCCACTTTGCCTAAGGAGCGGAAAGCGGGGTAGACTCTCCGGAGCATGATTACCGTAGGTGAAACTCAGAAGGTTGAATGAAACTCTATCAGCATCATGATGTATTTATCTCTCTTTACGCTTTACGCTTCGAGTCTTAAGTTTATCGACCTTGCGCCTCTAATCCTGCGCAACGAGAACACCTCGATACCGCATTTCACCATGATCCAGGTGCTCGAAGGCCTTCTCAATGCCCTCCTGGCTCAGAGGGGAACTTCTCAATCATTGGCTTGATCTTGTGTACCGCCGCAAACTCCATCATCTTGTTGTGGATCGCCCTCGGCGCTACAACGCTTCCCTGCACGCGAACGCCGGTCAATAGCATCGGCATGTATGGGAACTCAAAGTTGCCTTCCGCGACGGACAAGGGGAAGATCGTGGCTCCAGGAGCCAGTATGGACGAGTACAAGGCATAGTCTGGCTTCGCGCTGGTGGTAACAAGGAGGTGATTGATCGGTTTGATTTTGGGGAGCTGCTCTGGCCCTTTGATACCCTTCATCGCGTAGAATTCCAGAGCACCCAGCTTCATGGCTTCCTCTTTCTTGCTATCCGTGCCGCTGAAGACCACCACCTCGCAGCCCATGTTGGCGGCAAATTGAATAGCGAGATGCCCCAAGCCGCCAACGCCGATGATGCCTACTCGGTCGGTAGGCCGTACACCGTACATCTCTAGGGCGTTGAAGACCGTCGCACCACCGCACATCAAGGGTGCTGCGTATTCATTGGGTATAGAGTCGGGTATCTTGAAGAGGTAGGCCTCGCGCCAGACGGCGTGGGAGGCGAAGGAACCAATGTGGAAGTCGCCCATGCCATACATGACCCTTTCTGGGCAGAATGTCTCCTTGCCCGTCAGACATTGCTCGCAGCGGCCGCAGCTGTTATGAAGATACCCGAAGCCAACACGGTCACCTCTATTGACAACAGGAGTCAGCCAACGTATCTTCTGGACGTGCGGGAAAGGAAGGGCACTTACTCCTTTAAGTCGCGAACATCCGGGCCCACGTCTTGCACAATGCCTGCGCCTTCGTGTCCTAAAACCTGGTCTGCGGATCGGTAGTGTTCGTCTGTTCCGCAGAGACCACTGTGTGTAATTTTCAAGAAGACCTGATCGCCTTGTAGGTCGTCCTGGTGAGTGCTCGACTTGACGATTGAACCATCCTTAGACCCTCTGTAGACGGTGAAGGTGAAGCCTTCTCCGATGGATCCCATTGTGATGATGGTAGTGTGACTGACGAAGCTCTGCTTTTCTAATGCCAATGGGATAGACTGCAGACCAAAAGGATTTTTGAATAGGAAGATTCAGGGAGGCTCCGCTATATAATCAAGAAGCGCAACTTTACAGCAAGGAAGCATACCCTCACGGAAGAGAGTCTTGGAAGCCATTGACATCATCACAAAGTATAAAAGCCCGGACAATTGATTGCAGTGCTTTCTAATATCGTGTTTTGATTATAGGCACGTCGGAAGAAGGGCTGACGTCTGGCGGCAAGTGCCCCGGGAGATACGTCACCACACAAAATAAACGTAACATTACCTTTACGGGAGGGGGGCAGGCAGCTACGTCAGGGCGAATGTAGGGGAGGGGATTGGCGGCAATGAGGTTCGGGCGCTCATGAGTGGAGAAGGCTTGAGCCACGAGGCCCGCAGGGGAGGGAGGGGGGGGGGGGGGTGGAGACGGGCTCGGGCCCCGAAGGCCATGAAGCCGCGCCTTAGCGCGCGGGGGTGGAGGGGGGACGGCGGGACACCGGGTGAGGGAGGATTTAACCAATCACAACAGAAGGGCGGGCCCTGGGGGAGAACGTCGGCTGAAGAAAGAACAATTAATATACTGTAGACATCTCCATACGTGTATGCTTTTTCGATACAATGTATGCCCTCTTAGATTGAGTCAATATCTTGACTCAGCAACTTTGGCCTGCATGGAAGAAAATCTTTGACACCCCTTGCAACATAAACATTGGAGCAGTTGAAAATTTTCTCTTTGCAGAATTGTTTTAAAACACAGCAACTTTGATCTGTATCGATGAAGTTTCTTCACACCATTTGACTATCAAAGCATTTCAATCCGTTCCTAGCTCTAACTATTGTAGTCATCGGATCCGTTTTCTACAGGGCTGTTGCGCTGAAGAAAGCTTCTTACACCAAGATCGTGGAGTTGAGGAGTATTCTTGAAATCCTTATCTGTTGTAATAGCCGGCTTCAATTTCTGCAGCATTTTTGCACTAAAGAAAATTTCTCACACCCTTAAATACTTAAGACAGTCGGGTTCATTTCCTATAGAATTGTTGCATTAAGGAAAATACCCAACATCCTTGATTGACGAAGCAGTCGAGTTCATCTTCTGCAGGGCTGTTGCAGTGAAGACTTAGCTCTCGTTTGGACGAGGCTGTAGAGGGTGCCCACGAGGCTGGCGCTGCTCGCTGCTGTTCGAATCAGCGGCTCGTGCTCAAGGGGAACTGCTCTTGTCCAACCGATTGAAAGCGGGGTTTCCTTTTGAAGACGCATGTATGTCTAAGGGGCTGCCGGATTGCAGGGAAGGAGAATGGCCTGTCAGCTCTTGGAGCTCGTTGCGTCATCTACTTGCTCAACGTTCTGCAAACAGACCATACTCGTCATCATAAGAAGACCTTGATGGTGGTCTCATGTTACATTAAATGAGGTAGGTAGTCTGACCAAGACGATCCGGAGCTGGATCGGGCTTGTATCGATTTGAAAGAACAAGCCTTGGGAATGCCGATATATGCGATCGTTGATCGGCATAGACGTTGAGGGCCATTAATTTGGGGATAAACACGTTCAGCTTGTTACACTAGTCTGGTGGCTTAGACGACTGATGTTACCATGAAAGGGCCAAGGTCTCCCAGCACTCAGATACTCGAATTCACATCTCACCAACATCTTCAGATCTCCACATATCAGCATTAAGCTCGCAAACAATCAGGAAACTCATTGTAACCCCCACCCACCATCCAAGATGCAGACTCACTTCTCATGACCATCACCTCGGCCGCCCTAGCCACCATGGGCGCAGGCGTAGCAACCTATACGAACAAGTACGTGGCAAGAAGGGCCCTGCTGTCCTCGTGCTCTCTTAAGCCCCGCAGCGTTCCTTTGCTAATCTCGATTTCTCGCTCTAGCTGCAAGGGCTCCTCCTACACCCCCAGCGTTACCGACTGCCAATCAGCTTTGAAACAACATTGACACCGGATCCACTCACACCGATGGGGCCCAGTTCAGCGTCGGAAGCTGCTACATGGTGTCTGGGCTACATGGTGTCTGCGACCAACGGTGCAGGCCCGGAACACCTCTGTCCGGTCAGACAATTCGTGACATTGCACAAAACATCTTGGATGGTTGCGGCGGTCATAAAGGGAAATTTTGGCACGGACAACGGCGGCGGTTGCCATGTCACTATCAACCACCGCTCGTGATAGTAGAAGATCCGATGACGCGCTGGTTGCGAAAGGAGTCCGGTTGGCCTTTTCCTATTTGGTAGTTACGCATTGCTTGCTTGACTGAACATGCAGCCGGGACTAAATCGCGTCGGTGGGGACAAAGTGGACGTGGAAGGGAGACGATGGCACCGCTTCGGAACATGAGAATTGACTGTCGTCGTGGTGAAGAATCATCTCATCCTTACATTCAACAAGCGGGCATTTTAACTGTGGGCGTCCGGTCATTGTAGACTTTAGCTTGAGAGCCACTCATTAGTATGCAATCGTTCGACTCTCGGGTAGTTCGTGACTAAGTGTAATCGCTGAAGAATGTACGATGATGTACCGTGTTCGTCATAAAGAGAGCTGTTTGGACGTCTGGTTGAGGGTGGAAGAAGCATAGCCGGGATGGATTGAGCTAGAACAGGAGGCTAGGTAACATGAGAAATATACTGCTAACTGAGTTATATCACAATAAAGATCCTCCTTCGAACTCTTTTCTCTGCACGTATGGATATAGCTCAGATGATCTCGCTTTTCGGGCACAGCCTCCGCTGAATCCTACCTATACTGACATACCAAACCTGATCGCATTCAAGATCCACGCTGCCCATGTGCACAAGAATTTCCCTTCGAGACCCAGCTCGGTGTTGAGTCGAGTCCCTAATGATTGTGTCTTGGAGCTCGATAGAGTCCGTTGGGTCTAATACAAAGAAAGCTCAGGCGGTGCTTCCTGGCTATTCCACGACATCTCGGAGTCATCTCTGGAGTCGTGAAATACTCAAGGCGGTGCGTCCATAAGGGTGCTAGCGGATGCAATGAAGTTGAAATCATCTGCAGACAGACTCATCAAGAATTTGGCACTGTTCATGTATATAAGGAATGCAATGATATCGCTAATCAACCTAACAAACAACAAGCGTACGAACAGAGATAGAATCTTCTTGGATGGTCATCGACCGGGGAGAAAGACGGGGACGCCATACCGACTTGGTTTCAAGAGCGGAAGGGCGGCGACGAGGACGGGCAAGGTGTTGAATTTGATTCTCTTCTTCAAGGGGTCAGACAAGCCTTTCAGTATCCCCGGTTGCCGACGTACCAAGGAGCAGCCATCGCAGTAACTTCCCTCTTGGGAAGTAGCTGGGCTGGCCTTATGTCCACCCACCCTTTGTTGACATCTAGTTCATAGATTGAGACTGCTGAAAGTCAGTATCAGTGCCAGGCCCGACTGGGGGCTGCCGGCCGTCAAGATGGCCGAGGGTATTCGGTGGTGATGCACTGTAATCGCACGTGAAGTCCACTCACTTGTCGCCTCAATGCGTGGTGCAGCAGCAACATCCTTCCCAGCAGCCTGATGCAGAGGAGTTCAGTTACCCCGATCACTCAGATCGGAGTCAAGGCGTGTCTTCAGAAGCCAACCGGACCAGTTCAGTAGGATCGATGGACGGTGCAGCTGGAGACAGTTTCGTCATTACAGCTCGGTGATACTCTGATCGGGTGCAAGCCTGAAGAATTGTTTGACAAGAGCTTTATATTCTTCGACAGAGGCAAGATGTAGCGCAGTTCTATCGTACAGATGCCCTTGCTTTCTGCAGCATCCGCACCACTTGATAATGACCTTGGGACTGACGCCACCAACGAGTGCTTCGTCATACGCTTCGACCTGAGCGAATTTTTTTTTTTTTTTTTTTTTTTTTTTTAAAAATTTTTTTCCAAAAATAACCCGGACTATTTTACCTTCGTATGACAGCTTCGTCATACGCTTCGACCTGAGCGTAATAAATAGCCCCTTTGTCGAGTAGCATCTGTACGATTCGATCGTAACCTCTGCATGACGCCGCCTTCAGTGCTTTTCCACCAATATCAGCAGCCCCACTGTCGAATAGCATCTGCATTATTTGATCATGACCTCCGCATGACGCCATCTCTCAGTGCTCTGTTATACGCTTCACCCTGAGCGTTAAAAATATCCCACTCCTGTCGAGTATCATCTGCACAATTTGATCGTCACCTCTGCCTGACGCCGCGCTCAGTGCTTCTCCAGCAGCATCGGCAGCCCCACTGTCGAGTAGCATCTGCACTATTTGATCATAACCTTCGGATGACGCCGCGTATAGTGCTTCTCCATCAACATCGGTAGCCCCACTATCAAGCAAAACTCGCACTACTTGATCATGACCTCTGCCTGACGCCGCCTCCAGTGCATTTTCACGATAAATACCGCCTTTAAGATTGATGTCAGCCCCTCTACGGAGTAACATTCCTACTGTTTCATCATGACCTTCCAACGACGCCATCCGCAATGCATGACCCAATTCCCCACATTGAGCGTTCACATCAGCTCCTTCATTCAGGAACCCTTCAGCAACGTATGTGAACCCAAGAAAAGACGCAATCCCTAATCCGGCACACACTTCTGAAGGGTTTACATCTCTCGAGGCACAATAGATTGCAAACCAGTATAATTGTAGTGACGATTTATTGCAGAGCCTCATAGCAGCTTGTTGTGAAACTTTGGCGAGCTCAGCAGGTTGAGAAGTATAGTGAGTTGCCCAATTGTTAGCGGCGTAGTCGAGAAGGTAATATTCATTTGTTGATTCGGCATAGCCGCCTTGACCTAGCTGGCTTTGATGGAAACTAGCAATGTCCTGAAAATTGAGGTAGTCGAGACAGATTCGAGACATTGTACCATGAGCAGCTGCCATGTCCAAGTATCCTTTCCATTTGTGCAACTTGGTACTAGCCGGTTCAAATGTCCTGGTCAGGAATTCTCTTGCAGTCTGATGGATCAAAAATAGCTTTCCGTCATGAACGCTGACGAAGAGGCCGCACATGTTTTGGACAGTAGCTGCAAAACTCTGTTGGGGCCACAACTCAAGGGCGCTCTGTGATCTGCAACTTTCTTTACGAGTTGCTATTGCCAACGCCATGTTTGCTTCCTCAAGGCTAAGGGGCCTCGTCGCAGCGACAATGAGTTCAAGTAGGATTCGAGCTTTGAAATTAGCTGTACTCCTCCTCAAAATCGTTTCATAGGCGTCAGAAATTTCCGAAGGCAGGTTGGATAATAGTGAATCTATGTCAGACTTCCTGCGGAAATTGCTCGGAGACTTCTCAATTATATCGATGGTGAGGAAAAGCCAGAGATAAGTGCGGTTGTCCATCTCTTTCAAACGACTGGAGATACGCTTGCGGTCCTCGTCACTTGAAGTCTCCCGTAATATATGGAATTTTGGCGTCAATCACCAAGTTGATGTCCTGGCCAATCCTCTGTGATTTCTCGTCACCGTCAAAACGCATATATGTGCTGACACCCGAAAGCCGTCGGAAATTCTGCTCTAGATCGTCGTAAGGACGGCTAGTAACGAGGAACTTGAGTTGTATTGACGTATTCTGACAAGATTCTGCTTGCGAAAAGAAGTGGACAAGCTTGTCTATAAGCTGATTCCTTGCGTTCTTCTCGCATTCGTCTAAAGCATCCAAAACACAAATGATCTCACCTGCCTCTGAATCCTGGGCGGACTTGACCAGTATCTCCCACAGCTCGCTGAATGCGTCTCGTAGCTTTTTCCTATAGCTTTTATAACTGGGGAGCGCATGAGTGATAAGACGGGTGCTCTCAAAGAGCTGGTGGAGTAAAGCACAGAGTGCGTTAGCACCACGTGTGCGCTGCTTTTGGCCATCCTTGAAGAAGAAATAGCAGACGGTTGGGGCCGTGGTATTTGTGCAGAGGCTTCTCTCATCAATTAGGGCCCGCGCTAACACTGACTTTCCGCATCCGGGACCCGCGGAGACCCAGAGAAGTTTTGAAATGTTACTATCGCGCCACTCCAAGAATCTATCATCTTCGAAGAACCACTCGCAGGTACCGGGGACCCTCTCTGAGACCAGGTCCTTATCACTCTTGTAATCTGACGCTAAAGTCTGGCGTAATAGCGTCTCTTGGTCCTCTCGGCGATCTTGGGGTCCTTGTGCTTTTTCGGTACCCACGGCGTGTGCTTCTGAGGAGTCAGTGGAGCTTTGGAGGATATAAAGTCGGGAGTAGAGAGAAGATGGATCGTACATCGATATTGTTCCTCGATCCTTTGAGGTGCCTTCTGAACCATTCTCTGGATCTCTGGCCTCACCAAGAGGAAATTTTCATCGTCGGAGCTACGAAATTTGTTCAACCCAGAGTGATCCGTAGAGAGATAAATTTCTCTTTTCCCGAGCAAGGTGGCTGACTGATGATTAACAAACTGTGCATATCGTAAGCACTCACCGCCAGTCCAGTGTAAGGGTGGGAGTTAGCACACCTGGGTCTTCAAGGGTCCGTACGACACGTCTTTGTCTTCGTAAAAGCAAACGATATCAGCATTACTATAGCTCGCTTCAAAGTCCCGCGCAATGTTATGAAGAGCAGGGCTATTTCTTTTTAGAGACTCGAGCAACGTCTTATCGTATCCAGCGGCGTGAGCTAGCCAGCCACCATACATTGCAGCGTCGCTTCCTTGATGTGGTGTTCCAAGAAAGATGATCCCAGCCGTGGACAATCGAATATCTCTGAAAGTATCACCATGGTCGGCCAGCACTAGCGCCTGTGGAGAGCTTAGTACAGGATCTATTCGCGCCAAAACCACACCGACCTGTTTAATAACCAGACCTCCGAGGCTATGTCCAATGAATACCAGCGGCCGTCGACCCTCCTGTGGTGACTCTTAGTCATGATGCCTAAACAATGCCCAGAACAGTTCCACCAACCTTCTCGGTTGAGCGATTCTGACGAAGCACGTTGAGCAACTGCTCTCCACATTCGCGTAGATTTGTTTTGACGTCCACTCTGCGCCAGTCTGACTCGTAGCTGTATGTCGCAATCCGCGCAGTTGGAATTAGATCCGGCAAAAAGTCGCGAAGCCACATAACTTCCGCTGTGTCAGTCGGATGTCGCTCGAACACCATTGGGAAGTGCGTCAGCCTGAGTATTCCTCTGGCGGCTTTGTAAACTGAAGTAGGAGCCTCCCGTAGGCCTCGCCCCGGCAGAATCAGGTCTCCAAACCCATGTGTAGTATGGATTAGCACCAAGACCTTGAACTGCAATAACACTTCAACGCTTTGTCAATGATACTGACAGACTTCACGAAGGATTGCTTGTCTTACTCTACTTTGGGTCTGTTACGACCGTGCTCACCGCTGGCCCAAATATTGAGACCTGTAGCCTTGACAGTGTCTTTGCTGCACATCTTCGTGCCATCTTGAGTGGCGCAGCTTTGCGACATTGGAAGAGGGGTTAGATGTCCGCAGTGATGCTGAGTCAGGCCTCAGATGGAGAATCAAGAGGTCAGGGGAAACCGGGGCACGTAATTAACTCGTGGTGGATACCGCTCAGATGGTCTGTCGACCCCGGCTTAATCTCAACCAAACATTGAATTCGCATAGAAAGCATAACCTAGGTTTGGGTAGCAACGTCGACTCAACAAAGATATATGTTCATATAAGTAGTATATCAATAAGGTGTTTCTTGAGGAAGGCAAAAGGAATTTGGGAGGCTACAATGCTAAGCGCCGAGCAATCGCGTGCTAATGAAGGGTCCATTGCATTATGCATCAGTCGTCTTGGGGAACTGTTCAGATATCTAGTGGCGTAGATTCACCTCGGAGAAACAAGCGCGCAGTAACTTGCGACCTACTCTACGTGTACCGCCCGGCGCCGTCCACTCGTTTCCATGATCCGTCATACCCCCCGAAAGTGCCCGTACAGTCTACAGGTCAGCACTAATGCATGCCATGCCATCCCAATGTAACCCTACCGGTTCATTCTTCTCAGAAGCCGGTCAATCCGCGTAGGGACTTCTTATTGGGGGGCTAACTATCCATTTCACGCAACTAGATAACCTCGCTTTTACAAGCCCTTCCCACTTATCGTAGAATTCCATATTCGAATAGTTGAAAAGCTGAGAACTGAAAGCAGGAAGACGAAGCTATGGACCCTGACTGGAGGTATGTCAAAATATCAGGTATGGTAGAGTGAGTGGTGTGTAGGTTGCAAGAATTATTCTATCTCCGGACTCCCTGGGCCAGTATTTGTAGCCCACACAAATTAGGTGGTTGTTCCAACAGGTGGCTGGGAGGAGGCTGGGAACCTTCTTTCGACGAGGTACATACATACATGACAGCGATGGGTCCCGTTAACGCAAGCTAATGCAAGCTAAAAAAGGATAAGAGCAGCAACGGTCCATTCAGAGTCCACTCCACAAACCATGGAACAGTAAACATCAGTCAGCTCATACATGGTCTATCTGTTCATACATCGTCTAGTCGACCCAGAATAAGACCGTAGTCCACCTATGAGTTGGCCAAAGTCACATACCAAAGCCCAGAGCCAGTCTCTCTCTTCTCGCGGTGTCAGGGGCAGAATTTTTCACAAGTACAAGTACGACTCCAGCTTCTAGCATTCCGCCTTGTGATGGCAACGAGACTGGTTTCAAGAGTGCATGTGGGCAACCGCCGTCATCCTCGCAGACATCCAGCCGCAGTGGATCGAATGCCCTCTTAATTTATCCACATCATCACCGCGTGCTTCGTCGCGGCATCATTCCCATCCAAACTACCGCGCCTCCATCTCATCTCGTCTGCTTCGACATAGACCATCCATATATCAAGCCTCTGCTCTGCCGGACCGCCTTCTCAACCCCGGCTGCTAACCCACCCAAACGACAACGACTCCGATCCTTCCGGCGTAGCCGTAGGCTTTCTACACTCGCTCTTACCGCAGCCTGATTCGGACTCCCCGTGGAACCTTGCAATCGCAAAGGAAAGTAAAAAAAATCCAATCTGATCTCAACGGACGCAACGTGGGAGCAATGGGCCATCTCCCGCGAGACGACGCTCATCGAGACCGAGTGCGGCCGTGCTGATAGACGGTACGACTATGGGCGAGCTGCGCCCAAACCGACTCGATATCATTCTACCGTCTTACGGACCGGGGACTAGGCCGACTTTGCTGTTCACGTGTATGAACCTCCTTTGGGCGAGATAGGGGCATTGGGTCCCGGATTGGTTTACCTAGGCATCGCTTCAGGCGGAGGCGGCGTTACCTGAGATCCTGGCGTTCCAGGACTTTTGGCGCGGATCTCCGCATGAGTGATGGAAAGAAGTCGGCACCCAAGATTGCCGCTTGTTATTGGCGGCTTGCCGGCCCTCCTGGCTGGCATGTTGCCTGTGCGTAAGGGGATCAGGAGTAACTTAGCGCTGTTATAGATGCTTGATAGGATTACGAAAGTTAGACTGATGCAATAAATCATCTGGAGACATCTGCTCGCGTGTCTTCTCATCAAGCGCCTCTAGACCTCCTGCCGCAATCTTCCTTCAGACACCCTCATTCTCAACCGCCAGCCCCTCCGCCTTCTTAGCCTTCTCGGACGGCTGACTCAAAATACTGGCCCTCCTCGCATGCTCTTCCGTCTCTTCGTAATTGATGAGTAATTCTCCCTTCTTGCCATACCGTCTCGGCTCATCGCGGGCGATTTTCACGAGGGTGAAGTAGGAGCTGCATTTGCGGAAGATGGAGTCCATCTCTTCGAGGGAGCGGTAGGCGGTTTCGGGGTAGAAAAAGTAGACGACCGGGAATATGAAGGCGTTGCTGTGCAAGGAAGGGTTAGCGGATTGAGTTTATGGGCATGATGAGAGGGATGTGTGGAAGTAGAAAGGATGAGCTGGATGTGGTCTTACATGACGGCAAAAATAACGTAAGTCTTGTATTGGATGGATGCAAAAGCCACCGGCGTAACCATTACGACCATGAAGTTGAAGGCCTGGACCTTGTCAGCTTGGATGAGAGACGAATTCGAACCTATGAAGTACATACCCAATTGGCAGATGTCGACAACGCATTTGCAGGTGCCCGAATACGCAGGGGTACAATCTCAGCGGGATATAGCCATGTCATACCGAGCCATCCAATTGCGAAGAAAGTATTAAAGATGAAGAGAAAGAGGGCTGCTACAATGCCAGTGCCTTTGCCAGTGTATTTGTTCTGCATTGCGCTTAGCTGAAATCTTTCGTATCGTTCATACGGTCTCATATGCGTACCATGATCGCCAGTATCGCCATCGAGAACGTCATACCTGCGGCGCCGAACAGCATGCTAAATTGGAGTCAGCAAGGCATCACAGAGGACCAGGCCTGGGTACCGACAGCTGACGCCGGCCAAATTTCTCTATAGTAAAGACAGCGATCCATGAGGCCGCGAAGTATTCTATTGCCTTGAAGCTCAATTCCTATATCCCAAAAGCCGAGCTGAAGGCCGTTCATACCTGTTCCATTCGCAGCTGCCAAGGCCCTCGACGTCAATCCACTCAATCCAATTTCCTCTTGATAGATGGTTGCTGCATAATACGTGATTAGATTGATGCCAGAAATCTGCTGAAAGACCTGATTGACATATGCCAGGATGGTACGATGAAGATGTCGATTTTCGTCCATCGTGAACAGATCTCGAAAACCGCCTTGAGACATCTCCAGAACAGTGTCTTTGATGGCGGAGAATTCACCGTGAACGTAAGGCTAAGAGTCGTCAGCGGACCGGCCTCCTCAACATGAATCGAGGACTTACATCATCGGGCGGAAGATCACTAAGAGCGCTTAGGACTGACATCGCTTCATCCTCCTGACCCTTCAAGATCAACCACCGGGGCGACTCTGGAAGCCTAAGGACGAAAAGCAGGATAAGCAACGCGAAAAAGATCTGGAATCCAATAGGGAATCTCCAGGCAATGGTGCTCGGGTCCAGGAAGGAGAAGCCAAAGTCAAGCCAGTAGCTGAAGCAGATGCCTCCAGTGATCATTGCACCCTAAAAATTCAACCGCGTTAGCTCTTACATGCTGCCTTTCTCAGGCCACAATACCTCGATCATGACCAGTTGGCCCCGCCTGTGAGATCTAGAACACTCTGACTGCCATGTTGGGACAGTCGATGTATTGAGACCATTGCCAAAGCTTGCGTTTGTCGTCAGCATGTTTCTCTGTGACAGTATCATAGCTAGTACCCTGTTACCAATCTTCCAGTGATGAATTGAGCCAACGAAAAGGATGAACATTGCAGCGCTGCACCAACAACCATGACCGAAGAGCCGAGAAAAATGGTCTTTCGGCGACCAAGGCGGTCTCCAATAAAAATTGTAGCAATAGCCCCAAAGAAACATCCGACGTTGTAAGCAGCGACCGAAATACCTGTGCCCCGATCAGTCGGCTGCTGGCACGGTATTATTAATGCACTGCCAAGTCACCTTGGATGGTCGATCTATGGGTTTTCTGAGAGGCGTTGAGATGCTGAGCCGTTTCCGTTGCGGCCGTGGTATCAATCTCCGGGAAGGTTTTCACAAAGGACGATAAGGTCAATAGACCACCCATGACACCTTGATCATAGCCAAAGAGTCTGTGTTCCATCAGCATGCAACGGTCCAATTGTAGTCCATAAGACTCACAAGAAGTCCAGTCCAGCTAGGACACCAACAGCGACGTTGAGCCGTGTGCCCTTGAGGCCGAAATAGCGGGAACTTCCAAACATATTTTCTAAGCGCTGGGTCCGTTCAATGGCAGCGCAAACTGAGGAAAAGGTCAAGCAGAGAAGAACATTCGATATATCAAAGGCATGAGCGACTTTATATCCACAGAGAGAGGTTCAAATAGGATTTGAGACGCTGGCATAAACGGTGCAGGAAATGCACGACGTAATTGGGAAGGACGTTCCAATAAGATAGCTGCAAAACGGCTTCTAGTCTTTCAACTAGAGAAATTCTGCAGGAATAATGCGGGGATCACGGCTGTAGGATATGCTTGAGGTAGCAGAGATAGATGCAGGGCAATCGCACGCCTGCTATTTGTAGATGAAGCCATCCGAAGATAACGTGAACTGCTGGTAGCACGGCTCGCATTAGCGTCACAAGCCGTGTGATGTTTCCAGTGTACGAGAGCCTCCATAAAACAACATACTTCCAATCATGAGGTCCTCTTCGAAGATCTCTGCCGGCGGGATGAGATTGCGGAGAAGCGGGGCAAGCAGGTTTTGGCTAAGCGGCGTAGCGATTCATAGATCTACAGGGCGACATGGTTGCATGACTCGCGTCTGCCCTATTAAGAGACGACACTTTGAAAGACCCGTCTTCAAAGCTTCAAACACAAATCTTAACCATCGAAGTCAGGAAGACTTCCCGTCTCGAGATCTATGCCACCACGGGGCCTGTGTTGTCGACGATGATGTCTAATCTTGATTCAACTACTCGTATCAGAATGGTTCGGCGAAGTTGAATTGGCGCTCCAATCACAGGACACCACAGCATCTAGCAATTGGGATCAAGCGCAAGCTTGCTCTATCGACGATATCTATGTCCTCATGAGAATCAAGGAGCAATAGCTGTTCTGGACCTGGGCTGACCAGCTGTCTTAAAATTTAGCTAATTCTTTGCGGGATAAGCTGTCATCCAGCCGTCAGATCAATTCTCAAGAAAGCTAGAGAAGTGTACCACCAGCCATGGATCAAGCACAAGGCAACATCTACCAGTTGTCTTGACCTCCTCCTCCCACAGTCGTAGCCGCTGGCGCGGTACCCCAGTCATCAGTCGCTCCTCCAGAGCCAGCAGCCCACTCATCTACTCCTCCGGCGGCCGGAGCGGCAAAATCTTCACCACTGACCGGGGCATCGAAACCGCCTGTGTCCCCGCCGGCACCAAAGCCTCCATCGTCAACTTCTCTTATTGGCTCCTTGCATCGTACCTTGGTATGGCCCACTGCCTTTTTGTCAGCGAAGTGCAACTCGGTGCATGCATAAGAAGCTCGCCGACATACTTTGGTCACAATTAGAACACTTGACTTTGCTGTAGTCACGAGGCTTGGGGCAGTCTTTGCTGAAATGTCCCATCTCATCGCAATTTCGGCATGTCACAGTTGCTGGATTGCGCGGCTTGTCGCACTCTTTGCTCATGTGACCCTCCTTACCGCAGTTGCGGCAGTTGTTTCCCCCACCAGTAGGGCAGTCCTTCGAGAAGTGTCCCACTGCAAGCTGTCAGGATAAGAACAGAAGACGATTGCACGAAGATAGACTGACTCTGGTTGCATTTGCGGCACTCGACTCCTTCAGCGGAGCGTGGCTCGGTGCATTCAGCGGATGTGTGACCGGATTGTCTGGATGGGATTAGACACGGAAGGGTCGGAGCAGGAGGCTTTGACATGACTTACTTGCAATTACGGCAGGCAAACCTATCCACTCGCGGTGTGGGGCAGTCGCGAGCACGGTGACCGACTTCCTCACAGTTCACGCACTTGACTTGGACCCTATCTGCGTTCTCGACAGCCTCCTCGGGGCAGGCACGAGCGGTGTGGCCAAGCTCTAAAGGGAGTCAGTAGTCATACCAAGTAACAGATGGGTGTGGAGACCTTACCGTCACAGCGTATGCACTTCGGAATACCACGCTCCATGGGTAGACCAGCATCCTTGAGACGCTCAAGATTCTCCTCCGGTGTCTCTGGCCATCCTTGCTTCGCGGTCTCGCGCTTTGGCTTAGGGCTTAAATGGAAGCCGACTTTGTAGGTCTTGTCAAGTTCTCCTTGGAGATTGACGTATGTATGAGTCTTAAGTAACTCGTTCTCTGTTGCGATGAGATACGTATTGAAATTATTAACACGAAATGCCGTCTCGAGCTCATCGTACGTGGCATCGGAAGCTACCTTGGTGTAGACTCTGAAGGCCTGATGAGAGAAGTTAATGTTTCGTTTGTAAAGGCATCTTTTGTTACCACGCACCTCACGGAAATCCTCCAATTCACGCTCCTCATCTGCCTTCTGGAGGGCTTCCCAAGCATCCTCGGCAGACATGTCAGCTACACGAGACGTGTCAAAGACCCGATTTGCTTTGCATTCCGAGGTCTGGTGCCCTGGAGCAGTGTCAACAACAAGTGATCGGCCAGACTGTGAAGAATGATGAGATACCTTCCTGCTTGCAGTTGAAGCATTTGGGTGGAGGTTTGTCGGGACATTCAGAAGCTGGGTGACCTTCTTTCTCGCAAATGCGGCAGATCCCTTTGAACACACGAGGGTTGGGACAGTCGACCTTTGAGTGGCTACAGAGCGTATCAGCATCAAGTCAAGCCCGAAGGTTGGAGACCCACCCTTCTTCGCCACAATTGAAACATTTGCCATCATTGCCACTACCTTCGGGAGCGGTTGGGCATTGACGAGCCATGTGCCCAGCTTCACCGCAGCTACGTCGTGTCAGCATTCAATACCTTGTGCAGTAGAACAAGCTTGCTGAACTTACCGACGGCACGTGAAATCCCCTCCAGCTCCAGCTCCTTTCTGAGTGGCATCGCCGTTCGTAGTACCGAAGTCGCCGCCAGCACTCGCACCAGCGTCAACGCCATCGGTCCAAGCATTGCCAGCAGCTCCAGCACCGGAGTCCCATTCTGCACCACCCGCTGAGATGAGAGACCCGGGTTAGCAACGTTGTCTCATCTGGAGGATCAAGCTCGAATGAGTGAACGTGAGGCAGTGATGCAGATGGAATTCGGAGTGTGTGGAAGAGAAAATGCGAAGCAGGTCAGGGGAGGATTGGAGAGACTCACCAGCAGCGTTCCAGTCCGACATGATTCGCGTCTTTCTGGCTGTAGCGTCAGCTTATCACGCGTATTTTGATTATGGGATTGCTGTCGACTATGCTGCAGAGCTACATAGATGCTCACGTCTTGTTTGAGATGTAGCTTCGATGAAATGATGACTGTGATCGATGATTAGCTGGGAAGGTCGAGATGAGGTGACGTGACTTGAGGCTGGTGACGTGAAGATGAGAAGGGTGAGATGGTTGCAGATTTAATGTGGTGATGGCAATATACTCACACGAATGTCTATCGTATCGTGCAGAGTTCGAAGTCTTCTTGATCGAGGACTGTGGTTGTTGTGATGAAGTATGTTTTGAAATGGAGGATGGAAGAGGAAGGAAAGGTCTGATCGGCTTTGTTTACCGAGTTTTCTAGCGTCAAGCCCTCGATTGCTCGATTGGCTTCTGTATCCACGATCCTCAGATCTGGTGAGAGAGGTAGGAGATCAGTCTCCTACCGTACTCCCAGTCGTTGCCAATGTATCTTGGCCAGCTGAATTTCTACTTGACTATGGAGGTGAAGCGCAACAAGTGCAGCTCCCTACGAGAATGCTTCAAACCCAGCCTCTGCATCAGGGACTACATCAGATTATTGTGGTTGCATCGTCCATTTAGTCCTCCAAGAATGGGATCTCATGGAAGCTCATCTTGCGCTCCTGTCAATGATATTTGTAGGATTCGAATGTCCGAGACGCAAGCGCTGACCATTCTAATTGCTGAAGGTGCACCATCTCCTCCGGTGCCAGCGTCCTGCTAAGGAACGTCTGCTTCTGCCCAAGGCTCACTCACGTTCCTGGATGTATTTGAGGATGCAGATTCCCAATCTGTCGAGGCGTAAATATGCAAGTGCTTCAGTACTCGGATAAGGTACTCTATAAATGTACATCAGACAATGGTAGCGCTTTACACAATGCTGAAAGAAGTTGAGAAAGACAATGCGGCCTCAGCGTAACCATGCAATACCCTGCTTTCGAGATAGATAGGCTGCTCAATTACGCACAATGTGCTGTAAAGCGGACTTAGCCAGTACTCTGATGGCGTTTTAGAGCCCAGAAAAGATCGCCAACCCAACGGTGTCTACGGCAGTAGCAATACCGTTGCTGACGCCAGAGATCTGCTTGTGTGCTTTCCTTGAATGTTCGCATCGGTTGCCTAAAACCAGTCTTGCCGCATCCACCTCCAGAGAGAAAGAACCCGCAGCCCTGCCTCACCATTCACCACTGCCAAGTATCGTTCGTAAAAAATGACCGACATTCACCCAAGGAGCAGCATCAAGCAGCACGCTAGCATGCCGTTGCCACCGAGTCTGGTAGTTCAACCTTCGAGCACATAAGCTTTCTCCAGATCCCAAGCCATGTTCTGCCAAAGCGTAACGGGTTGGTAGAGGCTTCACGTGTATACTCCTGGTCATGGTCAGCCATTCCTTTTTAATTTTCTCTAGATGACTTTGGTCCATCTCGGAGCCCTTGCGGTTATGCTCAAGACTGCTGAGGTTGATGGAGGGATGGGATTGAAAGGGCAGCATAAAGCACGCGCCGTTCATTGAATTTCGTGTGGTACACCTTTGGTTGGCTTATTTTCTGAATTGGCCTCGTTGAGCCAGGGACTATAAAAGGCTCCTTTCTCATTTCAGGTCCAATTGGCTTCTCTAGGCTGCATACAGTGAGAGGCGTGATACCAACGCACTTCTGAACTAGACTGAGAGAAATGTGAAGACACCTTGGGCCGGTTGGAGGAGATAAAGGCGCTCCAGGTTAGACACAGCGGTGACGTGACGCAGGAATGGGTCTCCTCGTGCGTATGTTTAGACCAGAATGTCGAAGCTATCAATGATTGGACCATTTGGCGCGCAGGATAGACAGACCAGATCACTGGTTGGTTGAACGCCTCTTCCACATCATTCTACGTGTCTCTACAGGGCGACATCCATGACTGGGTATCTGAGAAGCCCCGAGATAGCAGATACAGGTTCCCCCGGAATGCTGTCATACGAATCCCTTTAGAACGGCAGCTTCTGCATTCAGTATCGATGATCCAGCAGCCCCGATGATAGCTGTGCGGGTTGCTTAGTCAAAAAGATTTCGTAGAGTCTGATGTAAACTTACTATTGTGAGATAAAGCAGCGAACATGAGGTCGAATACCCCTGTTTTGTCTTCTCTCACCCTACCCACACTAACAGAGTAACCCCGGCCTACATCCCGATCGAGTCGTGGCTGAGGTCGGTCCACCTGCTGGAGAACTGTGATCGCTGCATCTGGAGCCGATGGGCAACCAAGTCTTTGAGCATCTGAGACATATTCTCTCATAGCCTGCTTGACTTGCTCCGCACTGGGCGGTGGCCTCTTCGCAAAGCGTAGAGATACAAAGGCCATATGTCCATCTGTCACATTGACCCTCGTACAGGTAGCGGATATCCTGATGTCTGACCGTTGGACAAATGCCATGTTCTCCTTGTTAACGTGACCTAAAATCTTCCTCGTCTCCGACTCCATCTTGTCTTCTTCTCCGCTTATGTACGGTATCACATTGTCAAGGATGTCCATCGAGGGCACACCAGGATAGCCTGCTCCTAGGAATGGTCAGCTCTGCCGATGACCGTGTAAGGGGTCGCATTTACCTGAGAGTGCTTGCTCTGTAACCACGCTTACTATATCGATGGGACCGAAGGCTGCTTCGATGGCGGCGAAGGGAATCACGAGGCCAATCACGGCGCAGTTACTGTTGCACACCAAGAAACCCTTGTCGATCTTGTAGTGATTCCGCTGACTCGGAATGACCTCAAAGTGATCCAAATTCAATGTTGGCACAACTAACGGAACAAGAGGATCTTGACGGTAATTCTTCGCATTCGAAAACACCGCCAAATTAGCCATAAGGAAGGCCATCTCGATTTCCCCTGCGACGGAAGAGTCCAACCCACTGAAGACTATATCGCAGTCCTTGAATTCTTCCGGCTCACAAGGCTTCACCACGAGCTCTCTGTATTTTTCTGGCAATGCTTTCGTCTGCTTCCATGGCGCGACATCCCCGTATTTCTTGCCGGCCGAGCGAGAGGAGGCTCCAATTGCGTGGAGGTCGAAGTGAGGGTGGTCCATGAGAAGAAGCATAAAACGTTGCCCGACGGAGCCAGTGCATCCGAGGACTCCTGTAGCATTGTCAAATTGGGGCTGCAGTCAGGTCATAGGGCATGCTGACCACACTTTTTCCTGGGGAAGCCGGGGGACTTTCCCGCGTTCATTGCGTTGCAAGGCTATTAATATACGCAGGGTTGGGTTGTTCAATTTACAGTGTTTGAAGGAGACGAAATCAATCCCAATGGCAACGAAGTTCCAGATTTCGTCAAGGCGGTGACTCAATTTGGGGAGAGAGAAAAAACGTCGTTGCAATAAGTCCGGCATTAGCGTATCTCCGGTACTAGTAAGGGTAGAATCTCAGCCCTACAAGCAGACACTCATTTCAACTCCTTGATTGGATCTTCAACTCGTACCATTCAATAACAATGAGTTCGACATGTAGAGAGATCGATTCTCGAGGGTCCTCGATTATTGATGCAATATCTAAGAAGTGGCATGTATCTCCACATTCCATGGACAAGGAATAAGGGACAAATTTGCAGGGGGGAGCTAGGAGAGCTGTTTGAAAAGAGGCAGGGATGGCTGAAACAAGGCAAGGGTTGAATTGCCGTCGCCACCGTGAAAGGTTCGGGCGACAGGTGGGGTCCTTGTTTCTGAGCCGTGCCTTGGGTGTCAGCACCTTGGAAGCGCTGGGGAAGGTAATGCCTTAGCAGTGGTCAAGCCGAACGGGTCGAGACTAATAGGGGCCGTTGCCGTCGGCTGTCTTCGAAAGAACCGAGTCGACATCAGACTGGGGAAATTTCCACTGCCTCCAGCTGCCTTAAGAAAAGCCAAGGCGGCATCGGGTTCTTTATTACTGGGCATCTACCATGTTCGCTTGCTACGTGACGGCTACTTGTCATCCATCTGCTTCCTCATCTTGACGATACCATGAAAAAGTTCTTGCCTCGCAGACTCAAACTTGTTGTACCAGTCTTGCGCGCTTCCGACTGTGACTTCCTCTTTTCCAGCTGCCAAGCCTTCGTACGCCTCATCGGTAAACTGATCAAGCGGCATGCCATACTGCCTTCCGTTCTTGATTTGCGGCTGGTGCTTTTCGTCGTGAAGCTCGGCTGTGGTTGCATTATTAGTATTTGGTCTAGACGTGGGAGGGTCGGAAGGGCATACTTTGCACAGCTGGCGGGTAGAGCTCTACGATCTTGACGGTAGATCCTCTCAACTGCTCACGCAAGCACAAGATGTAATGATGCAAGGCCGCTTTGCTGGCGCAGTAGTTCGCACATCGTATGATTGGGACTAAGCCAAGCGAAGAGGTCGTACTTCACACAGGTCAGTAGCACATCCTGCCATGCCCGACGGACAGCTTTGCTTACTAAATCAGCGCCGACTCCCCCTTCTTGCTCTTCAGAAACGGTAGAAAAGCATTGGTCAAAGCAAGATTGCTGAGGTAATTAGTGGTGAACTCTGTCTGGACAACGTTTATATCGACGGTCTCGGGCTTTGAAAAGTCAAACGTTCTCTGAATGCCAGAGTTCAATAGGACGCAGTCGAGATCAGTGTGGGTCTTAGTGATACTAAAGCAAGTAAGTATAGATCCAGCTAGGCCACGATCTAGACACTAACTTCGTGACGAAATTGGGGATCTTGTCCAGCTCTGTGATATCGAATGGGACAGCGCTCGCTTTGTCTTTGCCATGCTCGTGGACAAATGCCTCCAGGTTCTCTTTTCTCCTACCAACAACAATGACAATGCTTCCCTCTTGGACGAAACGTGATGCTAGCGCCTTGCCGATTCCACTGGTGGCTCCGATGACAAGGACTTTCTTGTATTGAAAAGGCATAGCTATGGAGTAATGGTTTGGATTGGGAAGATACGGACGTTCTATATACAAAAGAAATAGTACGAGTGAGAAATTTCTGGAACTTCGGAATTTTGAATGTTGTGGGAAAAGGATAGGATCTGGAGGATGGTATGAAAGTCTTTTTGGGCTGCTCGTCATCGATAATGCTGATCGTTGATTGTTTGGTTGCTCGGTTGCAGCGGTAGCGGCGGCGCACGGATATAACCGCAGCTGAGACCCGAGACCCGTATCTCTTAGCATTTTCGTTTCGACCAACACCGAAGACCGCACTGCGAGGTGACTCAGGTAGGCAAAGGGTATGAGATGTTATGAAAAAGCCTTGTTGTCATTACAAAGCGTGGTCTATGAATATTTCCCTATGTCCGGCGTCATCTTACTAAACGCCGTTTCTGCACGTAGGATATGTGGCCCCAAGATTTTTGCCCTGTCCTCAGAAAATCCCATTGACAATGTTCGATCCGATCGTAGCCCCAGCACCGAAGATAGCTGAATTGAGTTAGCAAATCAGGTAGCCATTTAACTTCAAGAACAAGACCCACCAGCATTGCCCATTTTCTTCCCGAATTTCTTCCCATTTGCGTTGAGCTTGCTCTCCTTTCCAGGCGCCGAGCTGCTCCCACTCTGACTGACATCCACTGGCATGTTACCATAGTTAGATTGCATAGGGGGCAGAGGGGGTTGGTAGCGTCCCATAGCACCCTTCTCATCGATGATAGCAACATAACTTCGAGGGAATATGCCTTCCATTCCGGTGCGCTCGTTTCGTCCCTTTGCCCAGTCGGCATTCATGAATTCGGTAATAAGGATGCGGTCGTTGGGCAGAATAGCGAGGTCGCCAGCATCTGATGGGTGATATTCGTACAGAGCAGAGGCTGTGGCAAGGGCGGAAGGAGCTGGAGAGGAGGCATATGCTGGGGGTGGGAGGGCGGACTGAGGTGTTGGAGCGTAAAAGCTGCCTTGCTTTTCGTTCAAGGATGCGGTTGTCATTTCGGTGACCGGTGGTAATAAGGGAGTCGTATGAGCAGGAGTGAATGTAGGTTGCGGGCTTGGTAGAGGAGCATGGAGAGATTTTTGGGCGGGCAATTGTGAGAGAAGGGTAGAAAGTTGATTGGAGGTGATGACGCCCGAATCGGAAAGAAATTCAAGTTCCTATTGATTATTTAGTAGTACACCGACTGATCTCTACGGTTGGCAGGGCTAACATTGCGTATTGTGCGAAGGGACCTGTTGGTCATGGCCGCACTCTGCTCCTCCATATTGCGCATGGTGGCCAGTTGCGGTTTAGTTCATCAAGTCGAAGAACTCTGCTACTGCCTGTGAGAAGGGCAGGCTCTATGGTTGAAGTACGCAGATTTATCAAGGGCAAAAGGGAAGAAAATGTTCGTAGAAGGTCAGTCGTTGTGGTCTGTTTCAGTGTGGTGGTGGGTGGGTCAGGGTTCTCGAGCGTTTCTAAAGAAGGCTATGCTGGGCTTGGCAATCTTGGCAATAGATATCCGGATATCCGGGCAGCGTATCGGCCATTACTTTAGGAGAGGCCGAAGCCTCAATTCGTACCACTAAGGTAGGCCTACCTCTACGTGTCACCCATTTATCGCTTGTTCTCTCTACTGACTCGTGACATGGCTCTCAGTCTTGAGGGAAAGGTAGCCATTGTCACTGGGGCTTCGCGCTCACGCGGGATTGGAGCACAAATTGCATATGAACTGGCGAAGCGTGGTGCTAAAGTAAGCGGAGAACAGTGAGACAACCTTATCTGCATCCTGTTACTTGGCTAATAAAGTGTATTGCATAGGTCGTTGTGACCTTTACCTCCCCTAGTAGCGAGAAGAGCGTGGATGAGCTGGTCAAGAGAATAGAGCAATTGCAAAATGGTTCCGCAGCTGCAAAGGTCAAAGCAGACCTGCGAGAGGTCGATGCTCCAGAGAAGATCGTCCAGGCCACACGCTCAGCATTTGGGGACCATTTTGACATCTTAGTGAACAATGCTGGATGCGAGATGGTCAAGGGACTCGGCGACATTTCTGCCGATGACTTCTCCTATGTCTACAATCTTAACGTCCGAGCTGTTCTTCTCATGTCCAAGGTGGCCTTGCCTCACTTACGTGCACCTGGTCGAATTATCAACGTAAGCTCCGTTGGCGCTCGCCTAGGTCTTAAGGACCTTTCTCTTTACTGTTCCTCGAAGGCTGCTGTGGAAGGAATGACAAGATGCTTTGCAGCTGAATTGGGCCCTCAGGGCCATACTGTCAACACAATTAACCCGGGGCCTGTACCGACAGATGTACTCGATGGGATTCCGAAGGAGCTCGTCGAGATGCACAAGAAGATGACACCGGTCGAAGGTAGACTTGGTACTACAGACGATATAGCTCAGATTGTGGGCTTCCTATCCGAGGAGAGTAGCCGGTGGATCACAGGGCAAGCTATTTCGGCCTCTGGGGGATTTTCTATGTATTAATCCGTGATTGATCTATCAGTCCTTGAGGTAGCTCTTGACACTTGTGGTACTGGACCTATCTTGCAATTTGATGAGAGGTCTTAAATTAATGGTCGTCACTTCAGGTGAGAAGATCTTAGGGATGCATACCAATGATTAGCAGATAACCTCGACAGAGGCTATAAATGCAATGACTCTCCTGAACAGAACAGTCTTGACAAGAGGATGGCCGATTATGTAAAGAGGAAGTGAATAACATATCTAGGTCGTCACTACGCCTTAATAAAGACTGATCACAGAAGTATTAACCGAGCTTGACAATTATTTCTCGTCACATAGGACAAAGCAACAATCACCACCATCTCACAGCAAGCCCATTCTTCAAATTCCTTCATATCCACGCGTCTGACCGGTAACAAACCTCTCATCTTTTAAATTCAACTACCCTACACCCATACAAACACGTCTAGCCACAGATAACAACACTCTCATCTGTCAAACTCAGCTTCTTTACGTCCATATAAACGCGTCCAGCCCCGGGTAAGAAAACTCCCATCTGATAAATTCAGCTTCTTTACAGCCATACAAACGCGTCTAGCTACGGAGAACTAAACTCTCATCTGTTGAACTCAGCTTCTGTACATCCTATCCAAACGCGTATATATTCGGCAAGAAACCCAGTGTTTCTTCAGTCTGAAAGTCATGCCTATGCAACTTACCCAAGCAGCTATGGCCTGGCTCCAGGTTGTCGGCGGGTTTTTAGTAATCTTCAATGCTCAGTGAGTGATTTTTGTCGGTTTACTGACCCGAAATATTACTAACTTCACTACAGAGGACTCATTCAGGCAAGTGTCCAAACGAACATTATCGCCATATCTACTGACATTGCACCAAGTCGTACGGTGTCTTCCAGGCCTATTATGAGGCCGTTCTCCTCCCTACTAAATCGCCGGCTACAATTGCCTGGATCGGGAGCTTTCAGCTCTTCTTTCTCTTTTCCATGAGCATCATGGTTAGCCCACTTATTGACAAAGGCCACTTCCGTCTCGGCTTCAACGGAGGCTGTTTTCTGATGTTCGTGTCGATTCTGAGCACTAGCTGGTGCTATAAGTTCTGGGAACTATTATTCGTTCAAGGGATCTTGACGGGCATCGGTATGGGCATGGCTTTTGGGAGTGGGATCCTGGTCCTCCAGTCGTACTTCACCAGTCACTTGGGCATCGCAGCGGGTCTTACGTCTGCAGGTGGATCTGTCGGTATGTGATCTAGACTTCTTGACCATGATATTTGATAGTTCTTACTAATGGAAAAGGTGGCATGGTGTATCCCGCAATCGCCGAGCAACTCGTCTTCAAAAAAGGATTTCCTTTTACACTGAGAAGTACAGTAGAGCCTATCCTCCGCTATGAACCTAATGAATTAACAAGCTACTAGTCTTCGCCGCTGTTGCTGGAGGCACCTTAGTTGTCGCAAATTGTATTGTTCGTCAAGGTCCAAATGCTAGCAACGGCAGAACTCAAATGGACTGGGCTATGTTCAAGGATGTGCCATTTCTATTGATGTCAGCTGGTACGTACGGTTCATTAGTCATAGTTAAATCATGGTCGTGGCCTTATGTGACAGTTTCGCGGTCCCGGTCTACTACCGTTCTCAACTCATTCTGATGCCGATTTCTAGGTTTCTTCCTCACCTTCTGGGGCATCTACTTCAGCTTCTACTTCATCGTAGCATACGCTCAGTCTCACCTACACCTCGACAACCACGCATCAGTCACCCTCCTAATCCTCATGAACGGAGCCAACCTCCCAGGTCGCCTGCTCCTTCCTCTCCTCTCAGACCGCCTCCTCGGCCCAGTCAACACGATCATTCCGTGCATCTTTGCGACGTCCGTCCTCCTGTTCGCCTGGATCAGCGCCACGAGCCACACCGGTATCACGGTCGTTGCTTGCTTCTACGGGTTCTTCTCGGGTGCGGTGCAGGGGTTGTACAACCCGGTTATCTGGAAGTTCGCAGACGATCCGCTCAAGAAGGGCGTGAGGGTCGCGTTTGTCTTCATGTGGATCAGCATCGCGGCACTTACGGGCAGCCCGATCGGTGGGGCTATCATCAAGCGTGAGAATGGCGGGTATCTGGGTGCACAGTTGTTCGCTGCCTTGACTGTTCTGGTCGGTGGATGCCTCATGGTTGCTGCGAGATATGCAAAAGAGGGTTGGCGTATAGTGAAAGTGTGAAGGCTTTACGACAACAAAGATGGACAATGGATGGGGATACTTCCATTGTTTGTGGTACATTACATTCAAGATTGCACAAGCTCATATCGGACGACTGAAGGGGATACTGTTGTCAAAATTTCTTCAAACGAATGTTCTTTTCACACGGCATACTTAGGCTACAGGCCATGGTAGCATTCCTTTCAAAGACATGCCAGTGATGGCTTGATGGAAGATAGATAGATAGCATTTACAACTCTTCGCTCATCATTTCAAGCATTAGCAGCATGTGCTCCCATCCATGCTGCAAACTCCTTCGGATTCCTTGTCTGCATGAATACAGTCCCCGGCCCTGAAAACTTGCAGACCAACCCTTCTCCGCTGCTGATGCCGGAGATGATACCTCCGCTTGCTACGCGCTCCATCACGTACTTGCAGTTCCAGGCTACGAGGTGGCCGTTGTCGATGATGTATTTCTCGCCTTCAACGAGCTGCAATCCATGTCAGTAGAGGTCGTAGGATGGGGAAAAGGAACTTCGAAGCTTACATCTTTCCTAATAATAGCACCAAAACTCGCCAACCATAAGATCCCTGTCCCACTCATCTTATAGACAAAAAGTCCCTCCCCTGAAAACATAGCTTTGCTAAACCCCTGGTTCTTCAACTCCTTCACAATACCCTGCGTAGCAGCCATGAAGGCGTCCTTGCCTACATTCCATTGTTCTTTGCCTGTAAGACGTAAGGTGGTGATGTCTCCGAGAAAGGGAGGAGAGAAGAGGAGTTCGCCGGGGCCGGTGTAGGTGGATGTCATTATCTCGCCGCCGGCGACGAGCTTCTTCATGGAGAATTTGACGGCGCCTTTGAGGGTTATGGTAGGGGACATTGCGATCATGATTCCTAGAGGCTTTCGTTAGCGGAGGATGAAAGCGAGACTGAGCTCATGACATACCTGGCTTTGCGTGCAAAGGACAACCCATAGCTAATTGAAGCGTTAGGATGGTATTGGTGTTTCTATGACTTATTCGATAGCTTCCGCCATTGAAAGTCCCAGTATCATCCTGCGTAGTCGCTCCGGCACCTGTAAAGTGGCCCTGCGGCGGTGCTCCTCCTGGCATTTGTGAAGACTGATTCGTATTCAGCGGCGGCTTCTCCGGGGTCATGGCCGGCTGTGAGTTCTTTCGGTTTCCAACGAATCCCGCAGAGGGAGGCGGTTCCTGGTACAATTCCGCAGAGGGTTTCTTCTCTGGAGTGTAGGAAGGGGAAGGAGTCGCGGCTTGTGGGGGAGGGGCAAATGATGCGCGGTGGCCATTGCTGGCGTACTGTTGCTGTAGGGGTGGAGGGGGTAGCTGCCTAAGGAAGGGGACGGCTGCGAAGGTGGAGGGGGTAGCTGCCTAAGGAAGGGGACGGCTGCGAAGGTGGAGGTGGGTAGGATTGTGGTTGTGGGGGTGGGAAGCCGGGCGAGGAGGGAGGCGGTGGGAATGATTGGACTTGCGTGATTGTTTAGCATGAGAAAAGCTGAGGACTACCAGATTCCATACCTGGTGGAGGGTAGGTACGGCTTTCAGGAGGCCCACTAGGAGGTGCTATGGAGCCAAGTCAGCTCCTGGTGCTTGTACATCTTCTTATTGCCTTGTACTGACGAGGATAGTAGCCCCCATGTGCTGGAGAGCCGTAGCCTGGAGGTGGTGGAGACGCCATTGTGCAAAAAGTGTGTGTGATCACTGCGGCAGCGGTTGCAAGCTCAACAGGTGCTTCGACAAAGGACAGCAAACGCTGAACAGAAGGGGGACTGCTGAGAAGAGAAGTTTGGAGTGTCACGGAGCTCAACCAAGAGCTCGAAGTAGAGAAAGGAGAAGCGGGACAAGCAACAGAGCTCTCATATACTCAAGCAGAAGAGCTCTACAACGAAAAAATGGCATGTAGCTATTATTGGCATCTATTCTCGGTATCATAAGGATCTGACTTTGGAGTGCATGCTCGTAGCCTCTTTCATTTGGCCGGCGTCCAACCATATGCAGAGCTTGAGGATGCGTGAGTGGTCCAGGTGTGGGGTCATCGGCGCTTGGGTAAGGCTGGGCGCCGACGGCGGCTACGTTCCTTGGCGGCCACGGAGCGTAGGAGAACTCGATCAGACCGTGTCTTTTGATGAATGCACTCTTTGTAGGCCCAATGATGGCCTGAAGGCCGCTGTTGGGTCCGTTCTATCTTCTGAAACTTTACAAGAGAAATTTGAGCTTCTCAGCCGTCGCTTGAGACTCTCGAGAAAGTGAGGGTTTCTGACGCAGTGAGGTCGCAGGCTAGACTCAAAATTTTCTGCCCGAGTACCAATTTCTCTTTCTCCTGCTTATCAATTTGATATTGTGAGCGAAGCATTTATCTAGTATTGATGTACCCAAGACATACTTTATTGTATTACAGGGCTTTCATAGATATATTTGAATGGGACTTTACCCTTTTCTGTTGTCGTACTGCAGTAGTTCACATGCAATCTATACCCAGGATCTAAGATTTTGATAGGTATCTTACCATTCGATTTAAGTCTTTCTTGGGTATCTATCATCACTATTTTCGCCAATGGACACTCGAACTGTTGGTGTTCTCGGCGGTGGTACGTATTTCCGGAGTCCATCTTGCCTCCTTTGGACCAAAGTCTTGAGACTTGAGACGTGTCTTGGAAATTTTTACTCTGTAGACATGTTCCAAGGGTCAGTGCAACCCCTCGAATAAGCAATACTGACTCCGAAGTTACAGGCCAGTTAGGCCGCATGTTCGTAGAGGCAGCCAACAACCGCAACATCTCAGTCGCTGTCCTCGACAAGAAGGCCTCGCCAGCCAAACAGATCAATTCCTATAATGGGGTCGACGGGTCTTTTACCAACGCCCAAGCTATCCGTGAGCTCGCAAGAAAATGTGACATCTTGACTGTCGAGATCGAGCATGTGGACACAGATGTACTCGAAGAGCTAGAGAATGAATCCTTGGCACGAGGCAAAAGTATTGAGATCCAGCCTAGTTGGCAGACCATTCGAATAATTCAGGACAAGTTCCTACAAAAGCAACGGCTTATCGAAGCTCAAGTCGATGTGGCTGAATCACGGCCCTTCACTACAGTCTCTAGGGATGAATTGAAGAAAGTTTCTAACGAAATAGGCTTCCCATTCATGCTCAAGGCTCGCAAAGGAGCGTATGATGGACGCGGCAATCATCCTGTCAGATCAACTGAGGACTTTGAGCCAGCAATGAAAAATTTACAGGGACGAGAATTATACGCAGAGAAATGGGCAGACTTCGCCATGGAACTAGCCGTTATGGTCGTCAAGACCAAAAATGAAGCGGATTCTTTAGTCTGGGAATCGTCAACGAAGTCATTTCCTACAGTCGAGACAGTCCATCAGGATAGCATCTGCAAACTTGTCTATGCGCCAGCTCGTGGACTCTCTGACAAACTGAACGCTCAAGCCCAGAAGCTCGCCAGACGGGCTGTTGCAAGTTTCAAAGGCAAAGGAGTCTTTGGCGTGGAGATGTTCCTCCTCAAGGACGATAGTATCCTAGTCAACGAGATAGCACCCAGACCGCACAATAGCGGTCATTACACTATCGAAGCATGCCGACTTTCACAATATGACGCCCACCTCCTCGCCATTCTCGATCGACCCATCCCCGCCAAGAGTCTCCAACTGCTAAATCCAGCTATCATGCTCAACATCCTCGGTGGAGCAGATCCAAACTCATACCTGAATCTCGCGAACGCTGCAGATGCTGCCGGGGCCAAAGTCCATCTCTACGGCAAAGGAAATGCCACGAAAGGGAGAAAGATGGGGCATCTAACTTTGGTGGGCGACAGTATGCCGGAATTGGAAGAAGAAATGCGTCATCTTATCACGGGTGCAGACAGACTCCATGACGAGCAGCCACGAGAACAACCGCTGCTTGAAAAGCCTCCTGCTACCACCACCACTGCACCACAAACTCAACCTGAGCCCGTCGTCAGCATAACCACTGGTTCAAAATCCGACCAACCCCACCTCAAAGACTGCTACAACATTCTCAATCAACTCTCTATCCCCTTTGAGAAGCGCATCACGTCCGCCCACCGCACCCCCTCCACCATGGCCACTTACGGCAGCACCGCCCCCTCCCGCAGCATCAAAGTGATCATCGCAGCCGCCGGCGGTGCCGCCCATCTCCCCGGCATGGTCGCCGCATTCTCCAAAACCGTGCCCGTGATTGGCCTGCCGATCAAGCCTACTATCGGTGATGGGTGGGACAGTCTTGTGAGTTGCACTAGTATGCCTCGGGGTTGTCCGGTGCTTACGGTGGGTGTTAATAATGCGACGAATGCGGCGTTGGGGGCTGCGAGGATATTGGCGGGGTGGGACGAAGGGGTTAGGGGGAGGTTGGAGGAGTATGTAAACAGGGCCGAGGCGGAGAGTTTGGAGAATGATAGGAGGCTGCAAGAGGAACATGAGCAGGAGGCCTGATGGCGCTGTCATCTTTAGCTTCTTTACGGCTTTTGTAAGAAGATATTGTACAATCTGAGTGCTCGTCGGCATGGGTTGGAGCTTGATAGCAGACTGTTTGTAGAGGGGGGGCAAACAAGACTTAACCGCAGTACTTAGAGGTCTGAAATGAGTTGCTGTATTTATCAAGCAAGGGCTATGAAGTGCATGAGAGACCAGTCGATGATACAGGTAGCATTGCTTCAGCTAGGCCAGCGCACGATACCAAATGGATGCGGTTCGGCCTGGTTCCCTCTGGCACAAGTACAATTTCATGCAAGTATAACGTAGTGAGCCAACTGATACACCATGATACCAATCTTGTGAAGCCATTCACTGCCATGCTCATGTCTGCTGCCTCTTTCTCTTCCCAACTTGAGCTGAGTAACCAGTCTTAATAGCCGTGACTGAACGTCTGCTGCCGCAGGAGTTGCAAGTGACGAAGTACAGACGGTTCTCACCCTTGCTGAGTTCCGTGTCAGGAGACCTGCATGTTTTGCAGGAAACGTATTCGCCTTAGTCGGTGTTAGTATGCAATAATTTCGCCACCCAAACAAAACTCAAGAGCATACCGATATATCTCCGCAAAACATTCTCGATCTGCTTCTGCTGGAACCTTCCCTTGATCACCAACCTCCTGGATCCATCCACACTGCCGCTCGTCCCCAATTCAGCGAATATAAACTGCATGACATGCTCCTCACTTCTCTTCATCCTCTTGCAGATGTCTGGGATATTGGCAAAGATGGTCTTCTTGTTTCCTTCACGTAGACATTGCGGTGGCGGAATAACGTAGCTTTTCGAGCCGCTCGACAGCAGATCCGGATGTGCGCTGTGTAGATGTGCGAAGAAGCGTTCGAGGAGTTTGTCGTATTTGATGGGCTTTTCCTCGTCGTGGCTCCAGATACCAGTTCCTGCAACCATATCGCCATCCAATTCCCCTCCCTCTCCTTTTTCTTCTTGCGGCGCAGCTTTTGCGTCCGCGTCAAGCTCTTCGTTCTCGTTCACACCGGCTTCAGCTAATTTCGCCTCAAAGTCATCAGCCTCTGCGGCTTTGGCGGGCTTCTTCTTCTTCTTTTTCTTGAGGGCTGTTGGATCAAATTCGCCATCAGCAGCTGGTGTAGCTTCGTCGCCACCCTCTAGTGCCTCATCCTTGGGCTTCTTCGAGGACTTCTTTTTCTTGCCTAAGCCTTTGAAGAGGTCTGTGACTTCGTCGACTGCAGGATCTTTGGCTGGTGCTGGATCTGGAGAGTCTTTTCGTTTTCAGTATGCTGTAGGATCATGAGGGTCACATACAAACTCACCGACGCTGTGACTTTCTGCAGATGTTTTGTCCGGTGTCCCTTTTCCGTTGACTTCTGTCACTTCCCCGTTTGAGGCAACAACTATATGCTCGTCGCTGAAAGCAACTGACTTCCTGTGTGTAGACATTATGTGATGTTTTATAAGAGAACTTAGGGAGGATTGCTGAGGAGTGAAATAGTAAGAGTGATTTAGAAACGGCAAAAGCCCAAGATGACTCAAGCTCCATAAGCAGTTGGGTCGATTGGCGACTTGGGTAGGGCTGACCATCGACCAATCAACTACAGGCTATCTTGTGAACCGCATGCTGTAGGAGGCCGTTATCTCATTGCAATACCTGGTCTTCAGCTCACTGCTGGACAGCCCAGGTGATCGCATCATTGTCCTTATTATCTACGCTCACTGCGCCTTAATGGTACCCATGACAGTATACCAGTCTCTTCCCGCCAAGCGCTCTGCGTCACTTGAACTATATGGCCTACCACCACACAAGAAACAGAATCGCGGACTGATCCGTCATCACCAACCCAGCTGGGATTTTCAGCGAGAGCAACTCAAGGAGCCATGGCAGGACGTGGAGGCTGTTCAGTCTATGCTAACGCGCTCGATCGGCCTTGCGCTGGAAACTGTAGGCTTCGGAGCGGCCGCGCCAGACGCTATGGAGGCCTTTCACTTTGAAGTGGAAGAATGTATGTAAAGATGTTACAGATCCTAGCTTCATAGCGTCGCGCTGACTATGCCAGACATGGCCCACTATCTTGCAGATGTGCGGCAATCTATGCTCTCCTGCCGGCGCACACAGGCAATCCCACAAGATTTCCTACAAGCTCTTCATACACATCAGCTCAGCCTGAGATCCCTTTTACCGCATCTCGATCCGCCTGTCAGCCCGTCGCGGACACAGTTCCCCTTACAGATGGAGATCGCGCAAGACAACGAGGAGCAGCATCTGCGCTTTTTAGGACCATTGTTGAACGCCGACCCCAATGAAAAGCTCCGGGTATACATTCCACAACACTTCCCGGAGCTCCCGAGCAAGCACACCTACAAAGCTACTCCTGAGTATGCAGAGCACGAGCAAGATCAGAGAAAGGTCCGCGAGAAAGCTACAGAGGAAGGCAGACTTGGAGAAGAAGCTCTTCGCAGGCTTGTTCGCGCAGGAGCTGGTAGATCAACCCAAGAGTCTCCACAAGGCCGTAAAACCCAAAGCGCACGGGCAGTGAGAGAACTGATGTGGATGGAGACCATGCAAGCAGTGACTCAGGAGACACCTGACGCTATGGACTTCGACATGGAGGCTGGCGTTGGCAAAGGAAGGCAAAAAGATGGCGAACCTTCACCTCTGCCATCACTTGGATACGGACGCTTTGGCTCAGTTGTGAACGCAGAGAAACAATATTGGAGAAAGCCGCCACCGCAGACGAGAGAAGCAAAAGGAAGCATTTAGGGCATGCGCGGTCACATTTGGAAGCATTGCGCGGCGTCATTTGGTGTAGATATGATACCCCCAGGCGCAGATATACTCAAATAGCATTAATCTTGGTCCATTGCTCCTGTAGAATATTTGCAATGCGTCTGTGACCCCTCTACAACAATTGAAAACTTTCCAAAATTGGGTACTTGCTACTGCCCTCTTCCAACGTCAATTCAGATTCTCGCCATCCCAAGCCGTAGTCTCTACCATAAGACCGCCGGCGCACCTATAAGCCAGTCGTGATCAGCCATTTGTAGAATCGAGGCTACGATGTTGTCTACCTTCGAAACAGCTTGACCAGTGGTGCACATTGGATGACCGATCGTCGGTCCTCCTTGCTTCCTTGGAGACGGCACTCATACTGAATCAACTCCAGCAATTCGCATTTGCGAAGGTCAATGTCTCCTCCTTTCTTCCGCCGATTGTTCGATTGAACATTGATCCGGTCCTCAAGCTCTGATACCGGGAAAGCCTCGATGGGTGGCGTCATGCTCGAGCCTCTCCTCTCGTTTCTTAAAGTATGAAGGGAAGGCCTGAAGCACTATGGACTGATCGGTTTATGGAAACGCTATTGTTCTTGAGCAACTATGAGTGTAGAAGGACTCGGCAGAGATTTGCTGGGAGAAGTGAAGGTGGAGTGTTTGGATGAGGTGTGTGGAGAGCACTTAACACCTCCTACATGATTACATCGAGATCGAAGACTGACATTCTCCAGCTTCTGCGCGCATTACGAGAGCTCGATGCCAATTCCGGTCCTTCCCTTGGGTTTCCACCCCTCGATAGGCTCCTCGACGTCTTCCAGAACCCTCCTCCAACCCGGCAACAGCAACATTACCAGACTCAATGGTCTGTTCAGCAAGAAGGGCCAGCTCCTCCGCCGAAGGAGAAGCCACTACCCGTCATAGAAATCGCCGATGCTGCGGCATGCTCTGGGAAAACACAACTACTTTACCAAATCATCTTACTATCTCTATTACCAGTAGAGCATAAAGATGAGCCCATCAATGGAAAGGGCAATGCTGTTGTCCTCCTTGATCTGTCTGGGAGATTTTCGGTTCTACGGCTTCACCATCTCATGCATAATCATATCTCCTCAATATGCTCTAGGTCTTCTTTGACATTGCCCGAACAGGAGATCTCGTCTCTGATCTCGGACTCTTTCACCCATCTCCACATCTTCCATCCCCAATCATCTTCCTCCCTCTTATCTACTTTGGCTGCCTTGCCATCATTTCTCCTCTCCTCGCCTTCAACTCACTTCTCCGCCAATCGTCCCCTTGGTCTCTTAGCCATTAACGACCTCAGCGCCTTCCTCTGGCAAGACCGCTTAGACGCTGACGAGGGAACTGGGTTGCCGGCCTCCAACCACGCCGAAAAGGCAAACAACTCTCTATTCCTTGAGCGTTACCACAACCTTATCTCTTCGCTGCGTCATGTCCAGCACCTCTTCTCCTGCCCCATTGTGGCTACAAACTGGGGCCTAGCCCCTGTCAGTTCAGTAGCCGGACATGCGGCTTTGCGTCCTCATCTTCCGTCTTTGTGGAACAACTTCTGCACGACCAAGGTAGTTGTCGTGAAAGACAGAGTGTCGAAGTTTGGGCCTGACTTGAGTGCAGAGGAGGCTAAGAGGGAAGGAGCGCAAAGGTGGGAAGCGGTAGAAAAGAGTGGTTTCTCTGGTTGGATCAACTGGTGGGGAAATGAGGGGTGGAGGGAGGAGGTGAGGGAGGGTATTAGGGAATTGAAGGGTGGAGGTGGATTCTCATTTAGAGTCACTGAGGATGGGATTATGGTGCATGATGAAGGTGACTGAGGAGGAAGTATCAACTCTTCGCATGATATGCAAGGTAGTACTGACATGACAAGAACAGAAAAGAGAACCCGTAAGCTGATATAACGTCTGAGTGATCTTAACTACTAAATAAATAGCCCGTCTCGTCAATTCCTGTTATTTCAAGTGAATCGATATCTTTATACTTACCAGTTCATTTACCCGCCACTGCCGGGCCTACTCTTTGGACTCACGGTCACCTTTCACCCACACCACGACACCCAGCGCCCACACAATCATGTCAAGTCATATCTTCCCATTTGTGTTTCCTGCGGCCATTCAAAAGTACTCAACTTGTTCCATATAATTCCTAGCATTAGCTCACTGTCCTAACAGAGCATACGAAGCTGGACTTTACACGGATCTGAAAATCATTTGCGGCAACAGCGAATTTATGGTCCATAAGATCATCGTCTGCTCTCAATCAAAGGTCTTCCATGCAACTTGCTCAAACGGCTTTATGGTATTTATGACCTTTCAGAGTCCTGTTCTGATGAACACAGGGAGCTGATGAAGTAACAGGAGTCCTCAACAAATACCATTGATCTCACCGCCGACGGTTTTTCTCTCGTGTCGAGGATGATACACTGCCTTTACCACGGCACCTACGCAGACTTCGATGCGATAGAGGATGCTCAGGACTGGAAATCTGGCTATCAACTCCATGCCGGGATGTATGCACTCGGGGACAAGTACGACCTCTCTGTACTCAAGGACACAGCGCTCGTGAACTTCAAGCTCGCCACCAAGGCCAAGCCCAAGGACCGACTAGGGCTGGTAGAGAGTATCCCCATTGTCTACTCATCAACGCCTGACTCTGATCGGAATCTGCGAGATGCGGCCCTGGTGAAGTTCAAAACGCATCCTTCCCACTTCCTTCACGACGACGTGAAGGCGTCATTTCAAAAGGTGTTGCTCGAGGTTCCGGAGTTTAGCTGGGACTTACACCAATACTGGATGAGTGTCGCGTGAGTACGGAACCCCATCTACGCCTAATATGAGTCGGGCTAATCATCTGGAGGCCAGAGCTAACTGTTAGCGCACAGAGGAAATGATAGCCACTCGGTCTCTACTTCCCGGGCTTTGTGACAATGCTTGCGCGTGAGCTGGAGGGATGTCTGCCTATGTATTGAGCGACGTATCCGGGACTTTGTTCACAGTACCAGACAACGGTAGTCGATTGGAAAGATAGGGGTCTGTGAATAAAATGCGACGTTTCCTCACGAGCTCCAAATTCTCTAAGGGATAGGACCTTTCATAACGGTTCTGCTTCAATGTTTGCGGCACACTTCTCCCTACTGAATCAAATGAAACGTGACTCGATCTTTCCAGGCTTCAATAGTCACCTTGAGGTTCGACCTCCGTGACACGCCCGGGTGACCAGTCTGCATAAGATCTATGAAACTTCGCCTTTATCATCCCAGATTTTACCACGCTACATAGTCAGTACTCAACCAGGTGTGACACTCTCCCTAGGTCATAATCTCTCAAGCCTATTTTCTCTTTCACATAATATCCCACATTATAGCAGTGTACCATTCGAGTCCCCCGAGTGTAAAAAGAAATTCTCGGCCCTCTGAGCGGTACCTTGATTCACCTACCTCAGCCACGGCCACAGCCACAGTCGTGGCCCAGGCATCAGACCAGCTTAACAAGGCCACCAATGCGAGGCTGAGTGAGATACGATATTGATATTGAGGTCTGAGGTAACCAGCGATCTATCCCCAGCGTCACCATTCCTTTCAGCTAAAGCACGGCAGACTCCAAGTAGTCAAGGTCAGAGTACCTAAGAAAATCCCCACAGACTGGCCATCTATGCCATCCATGGCATCCACCAAGCCTGCCCGGCAAGGGTCAAACCACCACGCTCCGCCAGCGTCAGCGATAGCAATCAAGCAGTCGAAGAACCGGCTCAAAGCTTCCTGTGTTGAGTGCTATCGGAGGAAACAAAAGGTACGCTGACACAAAACATCTCCATTGACTGCTCTCTCGCTACAAAGGCACCGAGGCCGGGAGCTACCTCCCTAGTTCACCATTCTGTCTCTACTGGTGCTCAAGTCGAATAAACTCCCGAATACAGATTGCCGAACCACTGTGGCCGTACCACTGCGCTTTACAACCCATGTTCTCTGCTGACAACATCAACTCAACCAACGGTGTGACCGTGATTGGCCGTGCCGTTATTGTCCCGACCGGAACTCGGCCACTGATGTAAATTTAATACGTCCAAGACTCCTGCTCATGGAGTCGAAGCAAGAGCTGTATCCAAGGCGGAGTCTCAAGGAGATAAGCAAGGTAAGTACGCCGCCTTTCATTGTGTCCCAAGTGCATAACATTGCACCTGGACCTAGACGCTAATGGTCATCCCACTCAGCGATAATACACCGATGAACGATGCCTCTGACGAGGGCGATTCGAATACACAGGGGTCGAGGACTCGTTCTTCTCCTGGCCTACAGCCATCCCGACCTGCCTCAAACACCGGACCTAGCGCCCGAAAGTTGCTCGACGGGCTAGGCTATCTAAATCACAACGCCGACAACCTGCTTGGATATCTAGAAACCGTCAATACCCACCTACGTGGCATCCCATTTGCTTAGTTTGATCAGCATGTCTAGAGCACTTTCTGAACTGATTGATTATGCAGATAGAATTATTTCAAGACGACGAATCCGACCCACGGCTCGATAGTCCCAAAAGCGTGCTGGTGACGCCCGAATTGACCGCGCTGCTCAAGAAGATACCAGAGCGTTCCGTGACGGATATCCTCATACAGCACTTCTTTGGTGAAGCGAATTGGATCTACGAACTGGTCTACTTAACCACGTTCCTTGACCGCTACAATGAATGGTGGTCTCGTCCCTACCAAAGTGTGGATAATCTGGAGTTTGCCGTGTTGCTTCTTCGTCTTTGCTCCTACAGCGCCCAGTTCCTTCCTTCGCAAAACTACACGGCGGACACAATCTTAGGGAAGTCTTTGTGCACCATCCGTGAACAATGCGATGCCACGGCTATCGCTCTTAGTCAATCACCTACAATGAAGGCAAACCCGCCTTCGATTCTTAGAGTTCACGAACTGTTCTTCCGCGCATGCTATCTGAAAAATGAAGGACGGATGAAGGAGAGTTGGGATGTATTGAGCGAAGCTATACGGGAAGCGCATGAGCTAGGACTACACGTGGAACTACCAAAGGGGAGTGGGAGCCTTACGAGTGAAAACGAGGTTGAGATGGGAAAGAGAACCTATTGGAATCTGTTCCTCTGGGATTGGTTAGTGGCCCCTTCTCAATTGCCCTAAAGAGTTCCGTACCTTGTTTCTTTCCCTATCTTGAAGATTTCGCGTCCGACTCCAATGATGAACGCGACCTTTCGCAAATGATGATAGCGTATGGATAGGAAGAGTAGCCGGTGCTAATTTACGAATATAGATTCATGTCCGTTATACTGGGCAGGTGGCCTCTGATCCCCGAGCGACACTGTACTGTCTCCCTTCCTAACGGTGTCATTGGCTCTCAGATCTCGGACGTCAACGCGCCGAATGTATTTTGCGAGCGCAGACTTCAGATTGAGCTTACAAAGATCGCCTTCGATCTGCTTACATCGAATCATGGGAAACCGTCAACAGATCCTGTCATCATCGACAAACATATTAGACGACTACAGGGAGAAATCATTGAAAAACTACCGCCTGCGTTCAAACTCCATGCCGCTTATGAAAAGTGGGACGATGAACTTCCCAACCTGAAACGGCAGAGGAAGATGTTCAGAATTAGCGTCTTTGCGACCATGTGCTCGCTGCTGAGACCCGTTATCCTTCAGTCGCTAGACCAGACGCGGACTTGGTCCCCGTCCGATAGAAAATTAGTAGCCGAACACAGAGCATCTCTACTTGATGTGACTATAGAGATGCTGGAAAGTGTTGGAAGGTTGCACACGCTCATGGGAGGCAAGCATAATCGATTTTTCCTACTAAGCTTTTTTACGCTGGAGCCGGCAGTCCTACTGGGGTGTGCCTTATGAACCCTGACATCGGCAAAACAAAAGGAGGGCACGCAAGGCTCGTCTGCTTCAGGCGTGTCCCGCGGCAGTTCGTTAGCAGATGACGACCAGTGGAAACAAGGGCGTAAGAAGATTGAAGACGCTGTGGCGCGACTGAAGATGCTCAGTGAGGTCGGCTCGATCGCCAGGGCTGGCGTTAAGGTTCTGGAGACACTCGTGACAAGTATCGACATTACAAGAACGGCTACAGTCCTCAATGGAACGAAGATCTTCCGGTCGCGTCCTTGCAATCTTCCTCACATACGGTCGGCACCGACGAAGTTTCTAACTTGCCGATCATGCCTCCTTACTCGCAGCCGTCTCATCCAAGCCAGGACTGGCAATTGCTCAATGGTACCAGTGGCTGGGGCAACGTGGGATGCCTGGACATGTCTAAGATCACACCCAGCCTCGCTGATTGGAACCTCGGTTACCGCGGCGCTTTTCTACTCAACGACTCTGGCTCTCTCAGCAACGCTGCTGACTCTAGCGACGGTGCTCCTGATTCACAGAATGACTGCTAGCGCACGTACAAGAGTCTCCGAAACACCAGTATTGGTCTCATGTCCATTCCTCCTCTCATTTACGAGCCTGACTGAATCAGTGATAGGACCTCTCACACCTTCCCAGGGGATCCAAAGTCACAGCTCCACCCTTCGTCTCCTTCACAGACCTCTATTGCATACCCAGCGAGCCTACTATGATAAGACAAGCCAGGCTTACGGCCAGATCGAACACACGGACCAAAGCGCCATTGTAAGCCACGATCACAGCGTGAACGAAATCCGGATGAACGATTGACCTCAGCTCCGTTGCGCCCGTAGCCAGAATAACGGCGGGATCAAGTTGCGGCACGGTTGTGTGGAGACTCTAGAGCAACTCATTTGTGAAGATGTTCTGGCCTGCCGCGATGAAGATGGCGTCCCCGAGCGTCCGGGAATAGATGACGCTGGCAGTGCCGATGGAGACGTCGTCGAGTGCAAGGACCGTTTGCGCCGCCATCAGCGGTTGGTTTATCCCAAGCCCGCTTCCCAAACCAAAGAGCTGTCGATGTCGGGGCGACTCCGTAAATCAAAGATCCCAACTCAGAGATTCTGATTGCCGACAGAAAGACGGACTTGATTGAGAAAATACAATAGCATTGCCAAACGCAAGCTGGAAGCCGCAGATGGTGAGCAGGTATGCACTTCTGTACCATCCCACTGAATGCTGTCGTTTGGTTTATACCTTTTGGCTGGAAATGAGAGAGAAGCAGCGTATCGTCGTCTAGGACTTTGAAGTGACTGTGATGGTTGGATGGCTCCGGCGACTATGGTGGTATCCTGCCGGAAGAGTGGTTTGTAAAGGGTAAGCATGGAAATGTGAAGAAAATAACCAGAGCCACGAGGAATATAGCCATACAGAGAACGATAGTGATGATTGCCAAATTCCAAGCAGCGGGATATTCTGGTTCTCCATTTGGGGGTACGACGTAGGTGTAAGGTTGCTCGTCTTCATCGAGCTTGGCTGCAGGCAGCAGCTGGCCCGTCTGGATGTCTCCTGCGCCTCCCAGACCTGATGCTAGAGTAGGGGCAAGCACCAGTGAAGATAGTCGGGATGATGCTTTGCTACATCACTCACTCCACAACAGCTGACTCTATTGCACCCGTAGCTACACCTCTTTCAAATTTCTTACTCTTTCGTTGACTTTCGCAACTCACTAGCAAATCCGACACCTTGACCCCTAGCAAAGCTCTGAAACATAAAAAAGTGAACGTTAATCAGCATCCATCTTCCCTTCCTATCAGTCGCTCGCTATTTTTATCCATAGTCAAGTCAAGTGCAAGTCAATCTGCTTCCTCGCCATTAGTAGCTATGGGTTTCCTCGGCTTCGTCTACCGTCAAGTGATGGTGCACCCCCAGCCTCCTCGCCCTTAGGACCTGTCCGGCCAGACCATCTTGGTTACGGGCTCCAATGTCGGTATCGGGCTCGAGGCCACTCGACTGTTGATGGGCTTCAAAGTTGCCCGCGTCGTCATGGCCGTTCGCACTCTCTGCAAACGCGAAGAGGCAAAGGCCGACCTCCTCAAATCCAACCCATCATGCAACGTCGAAGTCTGGGAGCTCGACATGGATGTCTTCGCCAGTGTCATAGCTTTCGGAAAGCGCGCGCAAGAACTCGACCGCCTCGACATTGCCCTCCTCAACGCCGGGGTCAAGAAGCCGGAATACACGGAGAACAAGCTCACTGGGCATGAGACAACAATTCAAGTCAATCATCCTGCCACCGCACTGCTCTTACTCCTCCTTTAACCTCCACTTCGAGCTTCCGCTGCAAAATACGGCAAACCCTCCCGTATAACTATTACTTCCTCAGAGGTTCACATGTGGACTCCGTTCAAAGAGCGTACAGCCCCAAATACAATTGAGAAACTTGACGAGAAGAGCACCTTTGGCAACCCGGACCGCTAACAACGTATCCAAGTTGCTGAATGTGCTCTGGGCACGTGAATTGGTGGCCAAAGTCAGCCCCACGCAGATCATCGTCAACACTGTCAATCCCGGCCTGGTGCAGAGCAGCCTTCATCGCGAGAACAAAAACGCAGCTGAGAAGAAATTCACCGCTATCTTTGGACGCACGACAGAGGAAGGCGGAAGAACTCTTGTGGATGCGGCGGTTGTCCAGGGTGCGGCCACCCACGGTGGTATATGAGTGAATGCAAAGAAATTCCGTAAATTCTCGCCGTCCCGTCTTCTTTCTGTACACCGCTCTCTACTACTCTGATGCCCGAAAAGCCTACGGCTTTGCTCTGATATTCTAAACTGACACTTGGCTTAGTGCTTCGACATGGGTCCGTTCAGCCGAAGGTGCCAAGATCCAGAAGAAGCTTTGGACCGAAACCGTTGACGTCTTACAGAAAGAGACGCATCACAGTCTCGAGACTTACATTTGAGTATGAAAGAGTTGTGAAGCCGTATGGTACAGAGATTTGACGTGGCTGCAAGTTCGTGCTTTATGCAAAGTATCAGCTATAGAGGATTTGGCTCCATATCATCGTTCCTGACTACTGGCTCTGCTCATTGCTTGATACTGGCAGTGAAGGTATCAAATAGCATGACCCTTAATGGAACCAAATTGCATGCTGAGATCGTGCATCTGATACTCTCGTACCCCGCATAGCCGAAGTCGAGGCCGAACGAGAATACGAGGTGCATTTATTTCAAAACACGCGGCACGGTCGAGTGAATTACCCGTCGACTATTTTTCTGACCATAATGTCAACCTGAGTCAAATGTTACCTACCTACTTTACCTTATCTACCGTCTACGCCTTCAGCCTCTTCCACACGGGTAGTGCTTCTAGTCTCCTTGAGGCGAAACTCCTCGCACGAGGCTTGCAGAATCGCAGGACCGGCATAAAGATCCACATCCGTGCCCTCACATCACCACCATAGACAGCGATGGAGAGTCGGCCACTGTTAGCGGTGGTGCATACAACCAAGAGCTTGTTCCATACTGATGGAGCCAGGGCAAGGCTTCCGGTAAGTCTAGATCCTGTTCTCCCAAGTGATCCTGTCTGATAGGGTTTCTACTTTGTAGCCTTAGCAAGCGGTGCCTGTGTTGGCCTCAGAGGATCCGCTCTTGGAGGGGGTGGGGGGCATCGGCCGCTACGAAGGGTTTTATGGACTCCTACACGATAGTATCATTAAGTGCAGAGGTGGTCCTTGCTGATGGAAAACTGGTGACCCGTTTCGGACGTCTCTTACTCCGATCTTTTCCGGGGCCTCAGAGGAGCTGGACACGATTTCGCCATTTGTCACTCGCTTCGAGCTCAAGATGTTCGACTGGTTTTGCGAACATAGAACAACCAAAATTTATTGATTGACCCCCTTATCGAAATCCATTCAGGTTACCGTACCACGTCTCCTCTCTTCTCCCTCTTCTCCCCTATCCGTTCAACACTTTTCCCTCAAGAAGGCGTCGCCTACCTCGCCCTTTCCACGCTACAATTTCTATACTTCTGAGTGTTCAAAATATCCCTACTCTAAAGTCTAAGCTTCCTCAACCGCCTCAGCTCACATATTCGCTCTCACAACTCCTCTGGATTACCGCCTAATTCCCTCTTCGACTTACTCACCTCTCACCACCATCTCCCCGGCTGCCAGCATTCTACCTCCACCTCCACTCAATCTACCGCTCATCCAGTAGCCATGGCTCTCTTCTACAACCCCCTACGCGACAAATTCAACCCACCCACCCTCAAACCCAACGGTCGTCTCATCTCGCCGGCAAAACCGTCAAGGTCCCTGGTGGCAACTGCGGCTTCGGCTTCGAAGCCGCACTCAAACTCGTCACCCCGGGGAGCCAAAGCCGTAGCGCTAGCCTGCCGGAGCCCGGGGAAAGGAGACGCGGGTCCAGGTCGGACGGAGCATTGATGGTGCTTCGAATGTCGGCGTTTTCTTTGATCGGGGCTGTGGAATGGGATGCGAGAAGGTGCTGTGGAATGGAATGGGAATGTGAGGGGGGTTCTGTGCAATGCACATTACGTCTTGACGACTGCCGAGCCATGTCGAGGGGAATGTGCGGGCGCCTGTATTGGGCGACGGTTGGGGAAGATCGAAGAATGGAATGGAAGAGTTATGGTGTTTGGCTACGGGGGAGATTTGGAAGGGAGAGATTCTTGTTGTATGAGAAGAATGTTTGGGTTATTTCCTTTGACTTTGTCATGGTTCTAGAAAAAGAACTTGCATTGTGTTCGTGTACCACCTTCTGCAGGAAGATCCAAATGTGCTGATCCCTAACGCCCTCTTCCTTGTCACTTCCAGACCTCTGGAACCCTGTGAAATGTGTCGTAGCTGAGTTCTGGGTTTATCTCAAAAGCACTGGTAGGTCAGCGCACATTTGAGGTACGTGGGTGAAGCTGCCTCCTTCAAAGAGCCAATTAATGAAGTGAAACATTCCCGAAGAGCCTTCCGGCGGAGGGAGTGTTAGGGTTCCGGGAGGTGATGGGACCAGCATTGGGATGGGCCGCTATGCTCGGATAATCAAAGAAACTGGAGCCGTTGCTAGCATTGGCGTTTACTGCTGAGATCGTCCTTTCTTGATACATCCTGAACATCTGACGTTGTCTCTGAGCTCTGCCTTGCAAGCAGAGCATCTATTGAGTGGTGTGTGTAGCAAACAAGTCTGGATCAGGTCCCAGGCGAACTGTGGAGTTGTGGACACAATTTCCTCGAGGCGGGGGTTGAGTATCGAGTCTTTCTGAATCTCGTTGCCGTGAGCTCGAGCGTGAGAAACGACCAGGTCGCGGAGGCCACGGTTGGATTCCGGCGTGGTGCTGTAGACATGTTTGATGATATCCAAGTAATGGCCATTACCGAATTTCTTCTTGCTGAGGGCCTTTTCGAATTTGTTCATGGCTACCACGCCGAGTGTGGCAATGTCGTATTTGTCTGCTACAGCGAACATCTCCGCATGGAGGAGTGCATGCTGTGCTCGACCCTTTTCGAGGAGGTCCTCATCAATAATTAGGTAGTCCAAATGACCGATCCCTTGGTACTCCCCACGATAGAGGAAATCTAACATACGGTATACCACACGCTTGGTGTCGTGGGACAAGTCGATAAGGTTGCCCTCGGTTTCCTGCTCCATGGCGTAAGCACAGATTAACACTTTGAATTATCAGTGAAAGAATTACTTGGAAGCCTGCGGTGCACATGGCATGAAAAACATCTGAAGCAGTGCAGACCTGTACATTTTGGGGTCAGTATCACTTCTATGGGTCAAGAAAAGGTCGTAAGACAGTTGTTGGGGGTGAAGCACGCTTTTCGCTCATCGCAAGGCATGCCTCGATACTCAATTCATGGTCTGAACAAGGAAGAAAATGCTCCGGAAGGTGGACGTACCACGACTTTGTGGGCGGGGATTTGGTGGTCTTCACATTTGATCTTCAGATCGGAGAACTGGTCATTGTTGAAGAGGCTGCCCGAGCTGTCAGAGATCTGCCGTACAATGTTCTTTGGGAAGGCCAGGACTTACTGGGCAGCACCGCTCACGAGACGGGGACCGGAGGAAGACATTTCTCAAAGTAGCTGCTGTAATGGTGTGCTGGCTGGTACTGTGAGATCCTATGAAGCTGATTATGCCGTCAGAGTACAGTATCATTTAGGATGCCAAGTAAAGTTGCAGAGCGATCGTGACGTTGAGTACTGAATAAACGCAGCCGTATTCGAGATATGGTGCTGTGTGAAAGAGGGAAGAGATTTTGAGGTGGGAAGATTAAAACCCGGAGGATGACGAGGGGGAGCAGAGTAGCCGCGTCTCAACACCTTCAATATATCAAGTGAATTTGTTCTCAGTTATGAGGTTTCGAAAGGCTGTAGTCAAGATAGGATATGGGCCTCGCAGGCACCAGCTACCTCTTCAGGTAGAAAATTTAGTTTCCAAGCTTTCTTGATGGCATGTAATACATGCACACCCGTTTCGAAACATTGACAGGCCCCCCGCATCTAGGTGAAACTTCCAGGCAGGGTGGGCGTCAGATTCGACGCACCCTACTTTGCATTTTTAGGGCACTTTCCGGGTCAACACGAATATCCACCCCTTCTCAGTACTCCTCGAACAAATGAACTTCTTCCACATACGTACGGTCTGACTCTATGGTATGGACGGTCGGAACGGCTGAGTTCGAGCACTTCTTCAGGGATACGACTACTGGTGAACAGTCATTAGAGATATTTTGGGCCTCCAACACGAAAATAGCCAGCGGCGTCTTCTAACGACCCCCAAGCTAGACATCGAGTGGGTCGCACGGAAAAGTGGTGGAAGAGATCCAATCGCTAGTCAGTAGAAAGAGTAAGTCAAGACTTGCTGTGGTTTATAGCGTTCTTAACGCTGTAGCGAACCTCCAACGTTTCCGTATCACAGCACCAAGATACGACGCCGCTGTCTATCCGCGGAATTAGTCGCCAGTATTGAAAACATGTGATAAGAACGTGGCTGTAGGCCATGTGGGAGCTCCTGAATAGGTATCTGCCGACTGTCGAAGCCAAGTGCCTAATAGAAACCGCAGATATCAAATCTTATCTCCATCAGCATCTCCATTTTCTCAATAGATCGGCACACCTTGTAAATCTACATGCACTGAGAGACTCAGTCAAGTGGAATCTGTAGCTCATCCAATGAATGGTCGAATACCTGTAGACAGTACAGTGGACTTCATGTGGGCGCTTGCACTGGCTGCCAGTCAGTCCTTGAATGACGTGTTTACTGTGCTGGATGTGCGAAACAGGGACCGAATAGTGCTGTTGTGAGCGAAATTGACCGATGAAAGTATGACGCTGAGTACGTTGGCTCGAACCTGGAGAGGAAATTGTCTTGCATAAGTGATAGTGGCTGGCCAGGAAGATTTCAATGGCTCCGGGCGCATAGAGACAGCTAGAAAGGCTGAATGGATTGCTGAGCTTGCTCCTTTGTGAGTGCATAGTCAGCACAGAAGTATATTGAGGCAATGATACGCGCATAGAAGGCCTTTGCTGTTCCTGACTTTGACTGAGCTGTTCTAGACACATGAAAATTTTGTATGTATCACGTTTGGTACACTATCCGCTCGTCGGATTCGAAAAGGCAGAAGGGTCCGCGATGACGGACCTTATTTTGAGTCAGTGTTACCTCGGACCATCATCAACTTCCAACCTGTCAACCATCTCTTAAACAACTCATTTTGTAATCGTAACGTCGACCATGGTTGAGACTGCTGTCCGCTTCTACACGCCCAACGGCGTCATGCACTTCTCACCTCGTGCTACATCACCTCCTCATTATCCATCTCCACCACCACCTCCTCCTTCTGGCCATCCTACACCGTCAATTTCACCACCCCCACCTCTTCTTCCCACCATTTCGTCCCCTTCCAAAAGACAAAAGACCACTGCAAAGATGTCAGAACATCGTGCTGGTCTTGTGACAGGCCTGGCCAAGTGAGCTCTCATATTCTACTCAACATTTATATAGATTGCTCACCACTCGTGCAGCTTACTGAGAACCGGCGAGTTTTCTGACCTCGAGATTCTTTGCGGCGACAGGCACTTTTCGGTACACAAGAACGTCATCTGCTGCCAGTCAATGCCACTCAAAGCTATGTGCACCAACGGAATGAAGGTTTGCACAACCCCTTCTGACCCACCATTTTAACCCCTTCCATACTGACTTATGGGGCCAGGAATCCCAAGAAAGCGTCATCGACCTCACCATCGACACCGAACCCTGCGTCTCCCGCCTCGTGGACTTCTTCTACCGCTGTGACTATGATGAGCTCGGAGATGACTGTGAGGACGCCAGTACCGATGACGAAGACACCGCCGCCAACAACGACAACGTTGCACAATGGAATCTCGGGAGTGGCAAAGATGACGCTGGAACCTATGGCAACGACGCCAGTAGTGACGACTTTCTCCCTGTCCCTCTGATCGTGACTCCACGCCAGCTCTCCTTGCACATCGATATGTACGTCCTCGCAGACAAGTACGACGTATCTTCTCTCGCCGAGCTTGCCAAGAAGAAGTTCGAAACAATGGCTGAACAGTCTCGCCCTCTTCAACGAAAGGAGTGTTTCTTTCCTGCCTTGGAGACGGTCCCTCGCATCTACGCCGTCACGAGCGAACACAACAGAGGGCTTCGGGACGTAGTCGTCGAGTACACCCGTCTTCAGCGCACGAAGTCAAACAATAGAGACTCGTTTATGTTTACGGACAAAGTCGAAGAGCTTTTCGAAAGCGTGCCGGAGTTCGCGGCGGATGTCTTGCAAAGCTGGCTTAAAATGCCGTACCTGGGCTACTGCGAGGAACAGGACTGTGGGCGGATATTGCGCGAACAGAACATCGTTTGCGGGCCGTGTGGCGAGTGTGGGCGCAACAAGAACAGAATTAGAACTCGAGATCCGTCATCCCAATCCCTTTGGACCGCCTTGGAATACGGGAAATGAAAGGCTGGGTGCTGGCTAGGTAGGCGCCAGATAATACTAGGAAATGGATATGGGGATGTGCTGGGCGTTGGATGGGAAGGTGCTATGGATGGGTAAAACTTACCCACCGTCTCTGACGAGCTTTAATGACGGCAACGATTCGAGAATTTTGTGATGGACATCAGCGGCGTGGAATTCGGCGAGCACACGACGAGCTCGATTCTCCTTTTTTAGCTCCGGGACCGAGTACTTGAATACCCACCAGCTCTGACGAGCATTAATGACAGCAACGTCTCGGGAAATGTGCGACGGACATCGGCAGCGTGCGTGGAATTCTGCGAGCACACGACGAAATCAATTTCTCTTTTTCCAGGGTGCCAACTGGAACTAATCGCAACGGACATCGGCAGCGTGATATTTCTGCGAGCGTGGGATGAGTCTAACGCTCTCTGCCTGGACGCAAACAAGCAGGCAAACAGCTTAGCGAGAAAGCCATCCTTGTACCTTACCCTCCGTCCTCTTCTGGCTCACCATGTTTGTAAACGTAGATGGCAGCACATCTCACCGAGCGGGCAGATCCTCATGAGACAAATGTGACATCTCTCCTGAATGAATTTTGATACCTACACACATACGGGAACCACCGCCGTCACCCGGTCCTACAAAACCCCCTTCCTACGGAATATTGCACACAAGAAGTGGACGCGTGCTCGGACCAGTGTCTTCGTGAAAGAAAAAGAAGACCACCCCCGTCATTATCTGACACAAGATCGTAACGAACTTACATCCTCGACTCATATCAACGCCTGCAAAGGGGGAATAGGACTGCATGCTCCCGTGCCACTCCCAACCTTCTCATCTCCCAGCTCTCCAAACGGCGTAGTAGTAAGAAAATTACAACGTCGAGTCTGATGAACATCGGCATCAACATGGTAAAATCGACCCCACCCCCCTCGTCCGTTTTCCCTTTCGGTTGTATCTTGAAAAAATCACTTAACCTCCTTCTTCCGCCTGCCAAACATTCTTCCAAAGCCACTGCTTTCTTCCTTTTCCTTCGCTGGACTCAACGGCCTCATTCCACCGACCGGCCCACTGGGAGGCGGTGGTTCCGTCTCCCTTAAGAAATCTGCCAGGTCGCCCATGCCTCCACCCTGTGGTGGTCCGCTCAATGCCCCATGCTCCTCTCTCGCCTGCAATTGCTGCTTGGGTCTACGCTCCACATGCTTAGCGTACGTTGGCTGCGTGGGTCTGTAGCTGCCCATCTTAGTGCCATTTTGGCTGACGAGGTGGGGCGATATAGCGCGTGGGTTGATCGGAGGGAGTTGAGGCGCTTTGCTGCCGCTACTGACGTTCCGGTGAGCGGATGGCCGAGAGCCGGAGGAGAGGGGAGAAGAAGGCTGAGGTGTTTGAGTTTTGGCGCTGCGATTTCCTGCGCGATTCATTGGATTGAGGTGGAGACTTCGCGGAGGAGGGCTTCTTTGGGAGTTTTGGGCGGTAGTGGACGGTAATCAGGGATGACGGCTATGTTGCGTTGGATGCGTTCTTTTAAGGTGACACTTTGTTTGGCTGGTTTGGGGGCGCCAGTGATGCCGATTGGAGGAGGGCGAGTGGCTGCTGCTGGGGGAGGTGTGTAATTGCGGAGGAAGTCGCTGAGTGACTCTTCTTCGCGTTCAGGCGGTAGTAGTATGTCGTCGTTCTCATCGTCAGATTCGATGGCGTAGGGATCTCTGACACGCCGCTGCTTGCGTGCTCGACCGGGAGGAGGGTCGATGCTGCGTGGTGATGGGGCGCCGCTGTTCCTACCAGCTTCGGGAGTGGAGGGCTGGGCTCGGTTCGATGTATCAAGTAGACCTGTCCTGGAATTGGTAGATGATTGGGTCATTTTGGATGCGGCGAAGCTATCCTGCGTGCTTGCGACCGAAGTACCAGAGCCGACTGCTTGTCTCCCATTGACGTAGCCATTGGAGGTCGTGGCGGGTTGTATGTGGGCGCCTGGTCGTTGTGCACTACGACGAGCGTCCAAACCGTCAGGTCCTGAGCGGAGGAAGTTTGCAAGATCGGCGGTGGCGTTGTTATTGGTGACGGCGGCTTCACGTGCTTGCAATTTTGATGCAGTCCGCATTGGAGCAATTTCAGGCTTTGGAGGTGGGCTGATGTAACTTTGCTTGGGAGAAGTCACGGAAGGTGACTTCGTGAGTTTCTTAGGTCCTACTTGTGATGTAGAGCTGCTTGGGCGCTCTTTCTTCGCGGTGCCTGACGTTACCGGCCTCGCTGCGTGCGTTGGTACACTATCCGGACCAGTCGATCGAATGAAGTCGGCAAAGTCTCTCATATTGTGGTCTTTAGCGTCTGCTTCACGAGGAGCTGCTACGCGACTAGACCGTACTCCCGGAGACTTCGGTGGTGCTTGAGGTGGACTTCTTGTGGTCTCAAATGAGGGTGGGGCTTTCACGAATTCGGTCACGTTGGTGGGATTGGCGCGCAGCCCATTGATGCCGTTCAGTGACCCCGTGAGCGATCCTTGAGTCTCGGACCGTGCGTGGGTTTGGTATTGCGGGGATTCAGGGGTCTAGAGGACATCAGTAACGAAACCATCGATGTCTGCTTTATCACAACATACCTCCATCTCGCGCATGTTCTGTGGTGTAAGTGTGTACTTCACAGTCTCGTCGCTCTTGATTAAATCCTCAAAGTCCTGCTCCCTGTCTGCAGATCTCGGGGCTCTCTGGATACCGTTGACCAAGCTACTGCTGCCATCGGACGAGTTGCGCCGTGGCATTGGTTGGCGAATTAGATCCCCAGATTCCCGGCCTATCATGCCCTTGATTTTTGAAGACATTTGCGACGTAGTAGAGCTGGCAGTCACTGGTCGCCCCTCTCGAATACTGCTGGTTGATATTCTCCCATTGGCAAGCGGTGTTGTACCTGGAGATACCCTCTGCACTGCAGCTCGATCTGTGCCAGTGTTTACCGATATTGGCTGAGCTCGGAGATCAGCCGACTTGCTCACAGCTGTTGAGGGTTGGCTTGCAGTTGAGTGTGTCGGTAACAGAGTGTCAGTCCTGACGTTGTCAGAGCCTTGGGAGCGATGGGCTGGCATATAAGCATCGCTTCTTGGTGTGCCATGGCTGGGAGCATTGGAAGACGCTTCATCAGAGGTGTCATGAGCAGCGTCCATCAACTCTTGTAGTGGCGTAAGAAGAGGAACGCCCTGTTGTCTGGGAATTGCTTTCGGCCCAGGCTCGACATTTTGATTATCTGCTCCCGTGGGCGTGGGAAGCCCACTTTCATCTGGCGGACCTGTGCTGGAGCGTACGTTGGCATCTGGATTGTAAATCACATCTTTGTTAGATGGTGCCTCATAGAGTACAGGAATGTCGCGTTTCACAGCCTTCCCGCTTTCATCATAGGTGCGAAGTTGGTGCCCTTGCAGCATTGCCAGATTAGCGAGATTTCCAACGTGGCCTGATCGACCTGTGTCATTCTCCTGGTCCAGTGAATCAGCACGCTTTGGAAAAGCGGCACCCTCAGACTCGTCCTTTTCCCTATCTGAGATTTGATCCGAAGTCCTTGGTTGCGCAACAAGATCCATCTCGCTCCTTTGGAAGCTATAACTGCTCGAGACGGTACTATCTCTTGATTCGGGAAGAAGTCCGTTTATTGGTCCATTGCCTATTGTCTCGGTAGGTGCGGAGGATCCGTTGAAATTGAGAGCTTGAGGCGCTAAATCATGATCATACTCATCAGTGTTGAGAGATGATTCTGTGTAGGTACTCATACCACGGCTTGGCTGGTGAGACATTTCCTCCGAAGCAGACCCGATTCCCTTGCGGATGGTCCCATCATACATTGTCGACACGGCTGTACTGTCGCCTGCAGGTACTGGGACATTGGTAGAGTCATCCGTAAGCCGTGGTAGTTCCTTTTCGGCATCAGCCCGGTCATAATCGCGTTCTAAAGGATCTGGGCGTTCGCGGGGTGTGGTAAAAGCTTCATCCACTGGTGATCCAAAGGGTGTTTGCCTGACAGGGACAGACGAAGAGCGCTGGTGCTGTTGTACTGGTCGTTCCTCGGAGCCAGATGGCACTGAAAAACTGGGCTGCGACAATTGAGACGGGGTCTGGGTCGGCGTTATGCTACCATGTTTTGAAACTTCAATCATGCTGCGTCGCCGGCCTTGCTTTTCGTCGGCACTCTCTGCATCAGGAGTCTCAGCGGAAAATTCCGAGAAGTTTGACTCCTCTGGCAGGTCCAAAGCTTGCGGAGCAGCTACCGGGACTGGCTCCTTTTCTTGTGGCGGTAATTGCATTGCGGAGGGTCTCTGGACGTGGTCGAAATACCCGAATCCGTCTCCTTCACTGATGCTGGTCTTCCTGCTTGCGGAATCACTTGAGAAAGATGTCTTGTGCCGTCCAAGAGAAGCTGGCCTCGGACTCAGGAGACTGGAGGACCTGACTCGCTTTTTCCACGATCGCCAGAGGCGTCCCAACGTCCCATTGAAAGCCAGCTTCTCCATATCAATTTCTTCCACTACTGCTCGTGGATAGTGTGGCCGCGGCCCCTTGGTCTGGAAACGGTTGTACGCTGCTTCCCCGGCCAGCAACATGGCATGCTCTCCAATGAACTCCAAGACAGATGTCAAAAAGATGGCTGCTGCTGGCGAGATAGAACCAATCTCCCTATGAAGGCGCCGTCGTCCCTCGTTGGCATTCTCTTCTTCTTGTTCGAGGTATGTCTCCTCGTCCTCTTCCTCCATATCTCCCAAGCGCGTGTAGACCATGCATCGCAGTCGGGTTCTCCGCCATATGAGATTCAGATCATAATCTCCTCGAAAGCTCTGACCACCGTGGAAGGCAAGAAGCTCCTCCGCATCTCCTCCAGCCATGTAGCCTTCCAGTTCCTCGTCCGCGCCTTGGATGGCTTCTTTTGCTAGTCTTGGCTTTAGAACTTCCTGGATTGCGGGCCTGAGAGCTGCGATGGAGGTTGATCGTGAGTTGGCTAGAAAACTGTACAAGAGCTGATCCAGGAAGCCGTTGACGAGAGCGACTGAGCCAGGCGCGACAATTGCGGTATCTAACTCCCCCTTGATCCCTTCCCCTTCGAGATAGCCCCGGTCGGCGCGATCAGTGTTGACAATCTGGGAGGCAGCGGACAGAGCAATGTAAGCGGGATCAGGGCTTACTGAAGGCGGAGACGTAAGAGAGGATCCGGAAAAAGAGGACGTTCGCTCGCTGGACGCGCTGTGGTTTCGCTGAAACATAGAAGATGGATTTTCCAGGCCGTTTGGCCGTGCATCCCGCTGCATCGTGAGGAGCGATGATGGAGTGGATGACAGAGAAAGGGCCATCCGATGATTGATCTCACTTCCACCAATAGGGCATGGTCCAGATGGTTTGTGGGAAGTGGGGGGAAATTCGACGACTTAAGGAGTGAATGAGAGCAGTCGTGGCCGGTGATACCTCCAGGGGATCAGCTTAAAGGTTCAAGAGAAGAAATTGCGACGAATCACAATGCATTCGATCCGGCGCTCTTTGCGAGAGGGAAGGACTTGTTGGAAGGTGTCTAGTTGTCGGGCTGTCACCGTTAGTATTACTCCGATTGATACCGGGGCAAAGCGTCATTGACGACTGTAGGTAATGCTGGTGAAGCGCAGGCAGCTCTGGCGCTCGACTGACTCGAGCATTTGACGATGAAGGGGAGCCAGAGAATGGCGACTGGAGAAGCAGCAAGAGCTAAGATATTTTGTTCAGGAGACTCATCTGAGACAAAGACAAAGCAAACTTCTTGGCCCTCTTCTCGTCTTCTCAGGCGCGGCGCAGTTTGATCTTCGCCGCTAATGATGCCTAATGACCTAGAGTACTAGGTATCGGTGTAGCCCGGGACGGAAGCTTATTTCTCTCTGCTTCCTGGGGCTAAGATTAAAGATCGCGAATCTTCGCTAAGTCTTGCCTTCTATCTACCCTCGTACCTACAACGAACAATGAAATGATTGGGTCATGTATTCACAAATGGGCACCTGCAGCTGAAATGTAACTGCTAAAAATGATACCTCCACAATGCTCTTCAGAAGTTGAAACAACCAAGTGGATGACTCTTCAGACATTTGCCCTCAAAAGCTGAATTAGTCTCGTCTACGAGTACAAGTACCTGTTGGTCTCACGGCTGAATCGCTGCAGCAGGCCGTGAAGACAATCGAGCATCACAATGAGCATAGAGCCCACAACACGATGCTTGCTTCTATACATTTGGGAGAGGTTCAAGACCCGGGGTTACGATCTAATTAATCCTAGAAGTGCCTCTTCTGTGTCTGTCGATTTTCGCTACCAGATAGTAATCGTACAACGCCATCTTCAAACGTCGATTCCGCGCTGGCTTAGCGTTCTTCTCTTAAAGTTAAGTGGCAACAGAGTCAGGTTTGGACCAACGAGATTGTAGGCGATTGTAAGCATCACGACTCTCCTTCGTGTAGTATTGGAGGGCTGGAGCTGATCGAGAGGTATATGGAAAATTGCAGTTGGGGTGGATTGGCCCAAGATACGCTAAGCTATTTTGGGCGCTAACTTGGCCTCAGACTCAACTTGCGTCTATGTACATTAGGTACACTATATTCCCCACCAACGCTGGTGTCTCATGGGCCCGAAGAATAAGGAAGTAACACCAAAACCATGATTAGTTATGTGGAAGCCCATTGGCTTGGAGAATCAATCGATCGTTCAAAGCCTTGTCTTCCAAGAGCTCCCTGGAATCGAGGATTGATTGCTGAGTGTCGGCTTCGGGCTTGACACCTCTCTGGGAAGTCATAACGACAGCGACGTCGAGTGTCCTGATAGGCCCATGGAGGAACAATGATACTACCACATAATAGGACAGCGGGATAGACCTTGGCGAGGAGGTCTTGGCAAATTCACCATATCGGAGGACGTGGACCAACTTGATCCCGACAATTGAGAAATCGGCCAAAATCCCAGCCCTGACTTGTAGTCTCCAAGTCTGCACTTTGTGCGAAGAAGTTACCAGATCTAGAGACATGAAATCTATTCAGGCTTAGCGTAAATATTTAGCGTCATGCATGCCAATTGAACAAACTGTCTTCACCACTTATGACACGATCATCCTTCGACATGTTAAATGAGCCTTGCTAATTATCTCTCGCATATCTTCGGGGCTGGCATCGGCCTGTTTGTGCCGCATAGAGAAATGCGATCTCGCCGGAGTGTCTTGCTTCCAGCTGTATGAAAAGAGGAGCTTTTTATGCGTATCGCTACCTTGATAATGACTGAATGCACCAGCACCACACGTCGGGCTCAAAGAATTGAATACTGATCGTGGCTTCTACCTATCCTCTTGCGTCTTTGGACGACGCATTGAGCCACGTTGGCTGCATAAAGAGACGAGCAATGACCTCAATCCAGGCCATTCTCGACCTTGGTCGGTGATCTGGAAAGGCGCTGATGAGAGTCTGACAGCATCAAGACATAAAGAGTTCTCGTGTGGGGCGTTGGTTTTCAGGAGTGAGCCTCATGCCTTTTTACCCATACTCTCGATTAGTTGGACGCACCAGGAGAGTCGAGAGTCGCGATGATCTCGCCCCTCTCAATTACCTCTGGTCGATTGAATAACACGATGTCTGCTGTTGGATCTTTGATCTGCTCCACACATTCCTGTTTTGCCTGGCTGATGACAAGGAAGGATCAGCGTGCAAGAGCGAGCGCCAAGAAGCAGAACTTGATCATACTCTCTCGAGTCTTCGGACTGTTGCATTCATCTGCTCACAATAGACAAAGAGAGTCGCGATGATCTCATCTCTTGTCTCTGTGTCTGGCTTCGGCCGACTGAACAGGGTTCGCGCTGATGGCTGTCTGACAGGCATAGTACAGAATGTATTTGCTACTATAAGGGATTCTTGTACTATTTCATGCCTACCATCCCACTTGCTCCCGTCTCAAGGCCCACAAGCTCACACTGACTTCTAAGTCCATGTGACAGACAAGACTCCGATCGCTACGAAGATACTGCTTTCCGAGCTATTTTCAAGAAAAGTCGTTCACCATTGCTTCATCGGTTGGCTCTATGTAAATGGGCCGTCATAAGATATCCTTCAAGAGGACCCTCTCAATTTATGCACATTTCATGTTACGGTGGATCGTGAGCTCTAAAGAACTAACTTTCAGTACAGAGATATCCTTCTCCGAAGCATTCAACTCGAGCCGCCGATCACAGGCTCGTGTGGCTTGATTCACTCTGCAAGACACAGCTTAACCATCTTCCTTTCTATGTGCTGACTTAGTGAGCTGCAATCTACCGCTTGAGGTCGTAATGTCCTCGGTATTCGCAGGAAGAAGCGTGGGCTGCATTGTTGGAGTCATCACATAGGTCAATTTGACAAGTGGATACTGTAGCGACCACTAGGGGTTCTGGATGGTTGGCGGGTGCAAGATGGAACATTGGGAAAGTCTGTGATTACATGTCAAATACACAACACTAAACTTTGGATGATTTTCCTAAATGTCATGACGTGACATGCAAGGATGTTAGCAAGAGAGTTCCTTGCTCTGTACATGTAGGAAAGTAATGCTGATGACTGCAATAGAGAAAATGACGAATCAGATTGTCACGATAAACAATCCAACTAAAGCGCGGCAAAGGCGGAGAAACGCCGTCTTGGCGGAGTTGGTGCATGATATTTTACTTATGATGGTAAAGTAGCTTGTGATCGAATTAAGGAACAAGCACTGCAGATGCAAAGACCGAAAAAGCAACATCGCATTTTGCTTGGAGGCCTAAATATCCTTTCCGAGGAGCAAAGAACGCGGAGATGCAGCTATTGCGGAGTATCAGCTTACGGTGGTCTGACGCAATTCGGCGTCGAAGATGAGGCTACTGAACGTGCAATGACGGTCCAGGGACACGAAGGGGGAGATAAGAGCATGTGTGGCTTTTCCTTATCGGGCCATGTGAGGGGTGCTTTTGAGGGGCAAGCGACATCACAGTCTCAAGAATTGCTGCTGCGTTTCAGCAGCTGCTTGTCCAAGCATTCGACATCTTGGCTTTCCCACCGAGAGATGCATGGCAATCTCCATGTCCCATCATCCAATGCTATCTCTAGACCCGATCTACTACCTTAGTCGGAGGAGATGCCTCCCTACACCTGGCCGCAGGCTGCCTGCTGCCACCACCCGTAGTAACGCATCGAGGAGGTGTAGCACAGACATTAAAACAACCAAATAGATTATACCATCGTCGTAGAGAAGCAATGATAGTACTTTTATAATAGTAATAATAGAGTGGCAATTGAACATTCAATCTGACATTCTTTACATGCTTTTTTTCCGGGGAGCACTGTGGCTAACAATAGCGTGGGCAGAGCAACGGCTTTAAGATGCCTCGTGGAACGTTTGTCCCCAACCAATAATTGACTTTGATCTTCTCATCCCTGATCCATAAGTACCTCGCAGCTCCCTTGCTTTTCTTCTTTCCTTCAGTCACAACCTCACTCTACCAGACACCTTGATAGCCTTGCTCCAAAGCCTAACACTCCGCTTACCATATAGTTCTACGCAGTAAACACCCGCAAACATGGTGAGAGCTACTCAAGACGGTCACGCAAACTTGCAGGCACTGACAGACCCTTTAGGCCGAATCAACTACCATCTCCAACACGGAGAATGTGAGTTGGAAGCTCTCCCAACTCTCAAGAACTTGCCCATTGCTGACTTTGATTCCAGCTCATGAAGTACATGGGCCTCGATCAGAAGGGCTACAGCATGGCCGAGTACATCTGGATTGATGGCCAGAACGGTGTTCGCTCCAAGACCAAGGTACGTGTTCTACTTGTTGCCCCCACGTACAGCCGCAATGCAGGCTTCCAGCTATTCTCGGTGCGGCCGAAGCTACAGAAGCGCTCTTATCGGCAGACGGGTGACACCGTGAGGCTTGGCAAGCAGCTCAATTTCGCCTCTGAAAGGGTTCCCAACAGCCGCAAATATCTAATACCGCTGCTTACTTGTTCCTCCCAACAGACTCTCGACAAGCCCTGCAAGGACGTCAGCGAGCTCTCAGAATGGAACTTCGACGGTTCATCTTGCGGTCAAGCTCCAAGCGGCGACTCAGATGTCTACCTCCGCCCCGTAGCTATCTACCCGGATCCCTTCCGTGGCGGCGACAACATCCTCGTTATGTGTGAGTGCTGGGACCACGATGGGACACCCAACAAGTTCAACTACCGTCACGAGGCCGCCAGACTCATGAACGCCAACTCAAAACAAGAGCCCTGGTTCGGTCTAGAGCAAGAATATACTCTTCTTGGTCTTGACGAAAGGCCTTACGGTTGGCCTAAGGGAGGGTTCCCAGCTCCTCAGGGACCGTACTACTGCGCTGTGGGAACCGGCAGGGTATACTGCAGAGATATTGTCGAGGCTCACTACAAGGCTTGTTTGTTCGCTGGTATCAAAATCTCAGGTATCAACGCAGAAGTCATGCCTGGCCAATGGGAATTTCAAGTTGGGCCTTGTGAGGGTATTGAGTGTACGTCGATCCTTATCATTGTTCCTCAAACGCTTTGAGCTGACTTTGTCCAGTGGGCGATCATCTTTGGATGGCCCGTTTTATGCTCCACCGCGTCGCAGAAGAATTCGGCGTCATCATCACCTTCGCTCCCAAGCCAGTGGCAGGAGACTGGAACGGTGCCGGCCTCCACACCAACGTCTCAACAGCCGACATGCGCAAAGACGGCGGGCTCAAGACCATCGAGTCCATGATGGGCAAGCTTGAGAAGCGCCATGTTGAACATATGGAAGTCTACGGAGAGGGTAACGCGGAGCGAATGACTGGCGAGCACGAGACTGCCAGTATGGAAAAGTTCAGCTGGGCCATTGCGAACCGTGGCAGCAGTGTTAGAATTCCACGACAATGTGCTGCGGCTGGTAAAGGTTACTTCGAGGATCGGAGGCCTGCGTCGAATGCGGATCCGTACCGCATTACGGGTATGATGATGGAGACTGTGAGTGACACACTGCCAACTTTATCTCCTCACTCCCACTAATGCGTCTTTTACAGCTATTTGGAGGATTGCCCGATGAAAAGATGTCGAAGTAGGAGGTTATGTGGACTCGAACGGGTGTGACTATGAATCGTTGATGCACAAGAGGTGGCAATGCAGGCTTTTGATTAAAGGAAATGGTACGGCGAGACGAGGGAACTGTTTGAGCTTGTATTTTTCATCCTGAGCTAGTCAAATCAAACCTATAATTGATCATAGACCGTGCAGTGTTCTTACGATCGACGACAGCGTCTGCGATACTTGACTTCGGCTTCTAGCGCCTATAAACCCAATCCCCCATGTAGAACAGTAGAGTAGACATCTCGGTTCATGACACCACACTCATTTACTGTACTCGCATTATAGCGGAAGTCATCGCTGCCCCGACACTGCAACTTGCAGATATACACTTCAATGTTGAATACGTGGAGCCGAATGCGCTACCGGTTTTTGATATCAAACATATCTCGCCCTTGCTGCGCCTCGAGCATATCGACCACATACAGTTCCGCAAGGATGCTGGACTTCACATGCTCAGTCCAAGCCTCCCACACTTGGTAACCACACGCAAGGCCCCAACAAACACAATGGCGACTCCGACATCCCACCCAAACCCCCAAACCGCCCAAAAACAGCCCGCGGCTTCCCACCTCACGCCAGCCTCGGCGGGCTCTCCACCAGCTCCTTCCTCCTCGCACTCGCGCTCAGTCACCTCGCCAGCTTTTTCCGCCCTCAAGGCTCCCGCCCGCCAGTTCCACCACCGCAATGGTTCCGCGCAAATACCCGGCAGCACGCCCAGAGGCGGTCCTGGTACGCCAAGACCAGGAACGACGAGCTCTACAGAATCGCCTGCTGCGACGGCAGCAGCTGCCATGCTGATGGATCCGCAGTATGGCTTTACAAACGGTGCGGGTTTGGGGCTGGGATTCACGCCGAGAGGGACAGGCTTCACGCCTGTGGCTATGCAGATGACGGGGAGTAGTGGGGGTATCAACAGCATTCTAGCTGCCCAAGATCAAGAAGAGGAAAGGAAGAGAAGAATGGAGGCTGTGGTAGCTATGGTAGCGGGGAGGTGGGGCTTCGTGAGTCAAGAGGGTGTGGAGAGGTGTGCTAAGAGACTGGGATTGGATGCACTTTGGGAGGATGGAATGGGGGAAGGGAAGAGAATGTTGACAATTGCCGGGACTGCAATGCTTCTCGAGGTGGGGTTTGAAGCGGAGGAAGTAATGGGTTGCGTGTTGACTTTTCCGGGTAGTGGAGAGGATGTTGGGCGGAGGGCAGCCAGAGGGGCACAGGTGCTGAGAAGGGATTTGAAAGGAGAAGGGTATGTAGGGTTGGAAGGGTTTGTGGAGAATATGGAAATCCTAGGGAGGATGGATCGACTGGGTGGGGAGAAGATCAGCTGTTTTGATGCTACGGATGGAGTGTTTAAATGCCTGGAGAAACTGTGGAGGTTGGAGACTGAGAGGGAGAAGCGACAAGGGAAAGAAGTGGTGGAAGAGGAGGTCATGTGCCGGAGCAGTGGGAGACCGAGGATGCATGCGAGGGGACGAGTAGGCGTGGCATTGCAATACTGGATGGAGAGGAGGCTGTTGCTCGGAGTGGAGGAGAAGGCAGACGAAATGGACATTGACAACAAGGAAGCTGGCGAGGTGGACGACCAAACGGACATCTGGTCAGCAATCATTGAATGCGAAGCCTCTTCCGCCGAGCTTTATCCTGCGATCAGAGTCTCGGATGCCTGGGTGTCTGAAGCCGTCGAGAAGCCAGCACCAGCAGAATCTAACGACCTACCTGGCAACGACTCATCAATCGATTGGCAAGACCCTCCCCCGACGCTCCTGCCCCCAGACGAGCAAGGAGAGAGCGGCGTCGCAGTCACAGAAGCAAATCATCTCCAGCAACCCAAACCACCAGATGTCCGCTTCGTCGCTAAGTTCGAACCGCCAGTGGTTCTGCCCTTGCCAACAGCCATACAAGTCCAGAACTCTGTTGGCGCGCCAATATCCCCGGAATTGATCCTACCCACCACCTACGAAAGCCTACTACTTGCGGGAAGTGAAGTCCAGAACCCCCCCAGCGACCCTCGCACCATGGAAAAGACAGTCATGCGCTATGACTCGGCCACTGACACATCGACCTCACATATACACAAATACAGCTTGTTCCCTCAACAGCAAGATTGGGCAAGCGCGATCACGCACCTCCCATTTAGCCACCCAAGACAGATCGTTGCCGTTCTGCCTATACTACGCCAATGGGCTCTGACAGGCGGTATCCTTCGCCGGGCGTTCGACTGTGACAAAGAACCTACTCCACCGAAAGCAAACGGCCAGTCGACCTCCCAAGATCAGCCCTCCGAGCCAACAACCTTTCAAACGCTCGACGCTGAGCTTGCTGCCTTCATGTCCTCACCTCTGCCAAACGCCCCTAAGCCACCCTCAGACAAGGTGAGGGAAGTGCAGATCACGTTCAAGGCTACGCCTGTGCCCCAGTTCCAAGTCAATTTCCCAAATCCACGCTACGGTGGTAAATTGGCTGGCTTGAATTTCATGATCGGGTTGAATGGAATCATTGGTGGTGTGGACGTGCATGATGGAAGCCCTGATTGGGGCAGTAACGGTGCTGCAAACGCGGAGGCAGATGAAAAGGGACAGGAGAGGGTGAGGATGAGGGAGGAAGTGAGGAAGGTATTGGAGGTTGGGGAGAGCGTTGGGGTCGCTGTTGAGTGGATGACCAGATAGGAGGATGAGACGTTGAGGATGGCACCGAGGAAGGTGTAAGCGCATAGCTTGATTGATCTCTGGGGAGGGAAAGGAGTTGTTTGTAGATACCCAATTTAGTTCGTCATTTTTGCTCTAGAACCTCGAGTAAGGCTCTTCCACCAATTTACTCAAAGTCTACCCGCTTATCCGTCAAAGATCGGGACGACAGAGGAAGCTGCCCAGAGGCATGCAGGACGAATCGGTACGCCGACAATCTGTCATCGAGGAGCGCGTCCTACTATATACATTACAACTTGAGGCTCAACAGTCTATGCAGACAGTCGTCTCTCCCCTACCGAGACAAATCCGACGGATCGAGCGTGGAGCCGACGCAAGGGTCGCATTTGGCCGGAAACGGACATTGCATTTCTCGCACAGCGAACATCCCGCAGCTCCGTAACGTTTCGTAGCCGGCCATTCCGAGTCCGTACGATAACGTACTCCATAAGATGTACATGATCCGACCCGGTGGTGCCCGCGTTCTCGGCGTTTTATCTACCCGGATGCAAAACACACCTCTCCCTTTCCCTTTCCCAATCCCTATCCCTACCTGTCTCCGTGGCGACTTCTTCTTCTTCTTCTTCTTCTTCTTCTTCTTCCCTTCCTCCTTGCGTCCAAGGCCGAGACGGTCACTCGGTGGGAGGCGCGGGGATTCCGGTCGAGGCGGACGGGCAGGTTGGAAAAAGAGGCTCTGGTGCTCTTGCGAAAGAGGAGCCCGTGGTCTCCGCTCGGTCGGGTAGATGGTCGCTGTGGAGGTGTGAGGATGTGCGTGGCTTGGAGAGGTCGGAGGGAGTGGGCGAGGTTGGCTGTGGGTATATCATCTTGTGATGGTTGGCTTTGACTTGTGAAGGCTTGCTCACGGGGTTGTTCCACCCGTCAAGAAGGCTATACAATCCGATTTCGATGTCGGTGTACTTGGACGTTACAGGCTGATCTTGCCCAGTCAAGTCTTTGAACTTCTCCTTGAAGACTTCAAGGGCGTCCGGAAGGTGTCCTCCAGAACCGAGTTCAAACTGCCCGAGGGATCCGTCTGACGTCCTTCCGAGCGCCTTTGCGGTCTCCGGCTCTCCAAACGCTCCATAATCAAACCGTGTCGTGTAGAGGTTTTTGGCGCATACCTCAGCGCGACATTCGAGTCATAGGTAGCAGAGTTTGTTCTTGAATTCCTCATGGATTTGTCTGGAATAGAGCAGCGCCGTAGGGATGGTCACCGTCAAAAAGTACGGAGATATTGTCGAAACATGCTTAACAGGACCAGTCAGCTGGAACGATGAAACTCGACTCACCCGGCTCCAAGTCCCAAGGCTCTTTCGATCCGCCATCCGGAGTCAGACCCGGCTTTGGCATTGACTTTGCATAGAGTGCTGCCAGGCCATCGCCGACATATATAGGGAAGTTCTGGACGTGACGTTGGAAGTCATCCCATAAGTCGTTTGTCTTGGCAAGTCACTCCAGGTCCAGCTCCATTTTTTGAGCAACAATCTTTCGAAACGTGCTGTCAGGTTCGGGCTGCGCTCCACAGATGGCAGGAATGCACTCGTGAAAAACGACCATGTCCCGATGCTCTTTGACAGCTTTGATGAAATACTTTCTCGCCAGCAGAGCCAGAGCTGGAAGCTCGTACTTCTTCGCCAGGGTAGACACGACCACGTGAAGACGGGAGCGTGGGCCACCGGAAATCCCGAACTCTCCGGATTCCTCCAAATGTGAATAATTGCTGAACTAGAGTAATCAGACCTGAAATTCGGCTGCAAGTTGGGTCCTCATGCGTCAGGTCGATCGCGTAGCTCAGAGCCTCCTCCTAATTGTAGCATGTTAAAACCTTATGACCATCTGTAATGCATCAAAATGCAGGGACTAACCCTGTACTGACTCATTTCAACAATGGAGAGGTCTTTGAGACGCGGTGATTGCGACTATACTATGGCACGATAGACTGCGATCTCTTTGCTTCCGCAGAGGATGTACCCCTGACGACATTCGAGCATCCTAGGCTCGAGTCAGGTCAATAGATTGAGTGTTAGTGAGCACATTGGGGAGTGACCTTTGTAAACTGGCAGACGGTGGATAGGCCACGCCTTGTGGGCGTTCCCTCCAGCAAGACTCGCAAGGAATCCGATAGGATGGATGATTTTCGGTAGGGTAAGCCATCACTGCCAAGTCACACGGGGACACGGGGTTCTGTAATCTCATTAAGTGGGGAAAAGTTCGGGCCAAGTCCTGCGAGGGCAGATGTGGGCAGAGGGGTAGCCGTCATGAAACCAAAAACCCCAGCTAATACGTCACGGGTGGCAAGGACATGCGTGGTGCGCGGTTGGCAAACGCACTCCTACTAAAAGTGAGCAAATTTCGAGTTCTCACCTTCTTCCAAAGTGTCAAGCCTCAATTCACGGCGCTTTGTCACGAATAGGCAACATGGAGTACGCAGTAGCAAAATGAGAGGGTATATCAGATGTAGCCAAGAGTACGGCTCTCGGTGTAGTTACTATCCATAATGAGCGTATCCGAGCTTTGGTTTTCTCTGCCACATCGCTTTTCCACTTTCATCCTTTGAACGCCCTGAAAGATTCCAACGCTAACGATCTTCTGGATCCCCCGAGAACAGATTCACTCGCATCCGATGGCTCTGCGCCGGTTGATTAGCACTGTCGTCCTCCCAGAGAGCTCATTCGTGTCACTCACAGAAGGCAGCTTGGGTATCACAACGCCTAGAACGGCAAGGAAATTGATGATAAAGTACGTCAGGTCGTAATGTGTGTAGTGTGTGCTCAAAAGGAAGAGAACTATGGGAACACTCAAAAGGAATTTCTTTGCCGGAGTGTATTGATCCCCATTGTCGATCTGCTCCCACATGTTCAGGTTGTCGTAGGCCCCAGCATTGAACTCAAAGGGGACACCTCGGACGTAGTGAAACATCAAGTATGAGCTGAACATGTAGACGATATTGACAAGTGTCCATGATGTTTCTTGGGAGACTCCTGGAATGACGTCGAAGAGGAGCTTGAGACCAATGATGCATATGACGTGGATGGCCCAGGCTCCTTGATGGAGATAAAAGTGTCAGCAGGGTAGATAGAAACGATCGGCTGGAAGGGCGAGAATGTGAATCCGGCCACAGAATCCAATGTTGCCTCCTATGATCCTCCCTGAAGGACCCAGAACTAGAGGCGTGCTCACCTTTTGCGTTGACCCAATCTGCATTTACGTTTGGCAACGCCGACTGATCGCTCATATGCTCAATAGACTCGGGTGGCTCCTGATATATCAGACTGCTAGAACGCCTCCTCCTACTTTTCTTCCCGTCATTCATCTTTTTTCCACCAGACGATCTCAGCGAAGGAGCAGGCTTGGTATTAGGCGTGAAGGCTAGCATCCGAGGGACGAGTAGAGAAGACAGATTTGCGGTATTGCTGGGATTTGAACGGTCCGCGTGACAAGCGTACAGAAGGCAAAGGATAAAATAGCGGACAGAATGTTTGTCTGTATAGCAGTCAGTGCTGAAGCCTAGACGCAGCTGTCTTGTTTGAATCAAGCGAGACACGAAGGACGTCACCGGCCCCAAGCTCCACTCCGAAGAGAAGACGAAGAGGCAGTTGCAGTCTTGTTGACAGCTTCGCGAGGAATAAGACGGTGCTTGCTTACTTGGGGGATGCAAATACTGCCTATTTAGATATCAATCATAAGAGCTGCCTCGGCTAATGGATGAAACGAGAGATGGTAAGTCTGCAGTGTTCGTGAGTCGAGAGATAGATGTACTTGACAGCAAGATTTTTTTGGGACCTACCTGTTGACTGAAGAGCTTCGTAATGAAGGGTGCTGTTGCTGTTTCTGGGCAAGCAAGGTTGAGGTCTCCGCCGGCCGGCCGAAGTTCCGTCCGGCTTGGCACCTTAGCTCCGATTGGACGTCATTTCGCGTACTTTTGCCTCTACTCTCAGTTCGAAATCATTGTCAACATTCAATAAAATTTCTACCAAGATACTGCATCTTGACCATAGCGTGTTCCACTCAACAATTCTAACTGTCTTCTTGAGTAGACATGCCCAGACAATGGCTACCAACGCAGCAGATCCAATGGAGCAAGATACCGACACCCACACTGCTACCCTCGAGCGCAAGCGGCCTCACGACGTAGTTTCTCGCGGTGACGCCTCCAATGCCGGTTCTGCACACTCAACTCCTCGAAAACGTGCTAAGCACGTTGGAAAGCTGGGACATCAGGATGTCAGGGACTTCGTACCTGGGGGGGGGAAGCTTCAGCACGAGTGCCGTACCGGTAGACGAGGCACAGGACAGCGGTGATGACGGCTCTCAAGCGGAGATAGGCCTCAAGGCTGAGACATTCAGTGATGATGAAGTATTTAAAGTCTCCGAATCTAATGTTGCGGAGCAAGAGAAGGCTCCCATCGAGGGGCGTCGATTGTTCATCAGGGACCTTCCATCAGACACTACAGAGGAGGATCTCAAACAATTCTTTAAGGGATACTCCATGTGGGTCACTGTGCTATTTATTTTGCTCGCTAGTACTGACGCTTACTAAAGCCAGAATATATGGCTTCCGGACCTCAAGGGCAACCACTCTCAACTGGCCACTATCGTACAGACAGAGAGTCTTTCCTTGGACGGCGATCCTCCCTTGACTAACTCTTCAAAAGGAGCCGCTACCACTAGTCCCAATGACGGACGTCGCCTGTATGTTGGAAATCTTCCTTACGCTACGACGGTGGAAGATCTCAGGGAATTCTTCAGAGGGTTCTCCCTGTGGTTCTTCCAATGCCTTCTAGATAGCTAGCTATACTGACTATGAGCAACAGGGAAAACGTCAACATCCCAGTCACCCCGCGTACGCGTCATCCTGTTGGCTACGCCTTTGTTACCGTCTCCACTTCTGATGAAGCAGATCGTGCAACATCCCAGCTCTCTGGTAACAAGATCCTTGAGCGAAAGGTATCAATTCAACGAGCTCGGGCAGAGGAGACGAGAGCTCCAGATCCAGGCACTACTACTGCGAAAGAGGGGGCTTCTACCACAAGGAGTAATACAGATGTCAACGTCGAGGAAGAGAGTGAAGGAACCAATATGCTCAGTGAAATCCCCGAGATTATGACACCGCATGTTGCACAAGTTGCTCTACCTATAAGTTGGAATGCCGTCAACAATACAAAGATCCGGACTACTCTTGGGGGCAGGGTCGGCAAGGAAAAGCACTTCGTAGACGAACCAAGTCTGGTGAGTAGGGGCCGAAACGAAGCTGAAGGTCATCCAAGTCGAGATCTTGGTGAGTCGATCCTGCTTCTGGTATCAATGGCCACCTAGAGTTGCAGAAGTTACTGACTTGTGTCTTTCGCAGCTACTTCAGTGGCACTGGAAAGGGTTAAGGGACTCCGCATTCGCCTTTCCGCCATGGATCCCCACGATGGTCCTGTATCTGCGTACAAATTAGCGCAGCAAGAACTCCATGATGCAGAGATCGACTACAATTATTGCTTGTACTTTCCAGTGGATGAAGCGTTCCAACCCCCTCCCCTATCAACTGCGCGGAAGTTCACGCCGAAGAGAAAAGATAGCAGAGAACGCAGGTTGCGCATGTGGAGCATGGTCGAGCAGTGCACGAGGGAAGGAACCCTACAAGATCTCAAAGAGGGAAAAATACGTGTGAGTAGCGCTGAGCGCTTAGGTCAACCCTCGCCGGCACAGAGAAGCGCTTCCGAGTTGTCGGGTGGTTTAGAGCAGACCAATGGTCAAAGGGACCTGCAACGGTCAACAATTACCGATTCTTCGCAGATTCAGATCCTCGGTCAGTTTGCCCTTATTGGAATCCTGCCCCAGCGGATCTGTATTAGTACTAACGGTATCAAACTCCAGAAACTCAAGAAACGTCTCGGAAACAGTATGGTTACCTCAAAGCATTCCCCAACATGAAACCGGGTACTCACAACTATGAGAAAATGAAGAAGAGAGTCCACGAGACTGAAATACATCTCAACTACTGCAAATACTTCCCTGTTGCCGAGGACTACTTGCCTCTCGCTTTTGCCAAGAGAGGATTGAACGAACTAAATAGCTCTAATGTAGACGGTATCAAGGCCAGTGAACGCAGAGCGGCCCAGATATGGAAATTGGTTGAACAATGTACACAAGACGGAAACCTCCAGGATCTCAAAGATGGCCGACTTGCCGCATGGCTTAACGGCGCGCCGCCACCAAACCAATCTTTCTTTGCCTCGGCGCTACAGGCAAGACACCCCCAAGGAGTCGCCGGGATAACAGGCCATAATTCTAAGCCTCGACACGGTTTTGGGCCAAAGAACGCTCATAAAATGGATGCTGGTGCAGCCTCTGCCAATGTGAAGCTGACACTGAAGGAAGTGGGCAAGTCTCAAGAGCGCCAGGGCGCTTCGGAAAGTGATGGAGGAGTGATGGTAAACTTGGACTACAGGAATCAAGATATGTCATCTGAAATTGAAGATAATGACATTGAATCAGTCATGAACTCGGGAAACAGAGACGAGGAAATGCCATCAGATGTCAACGACCAAGACATCAAACAAGAGTTGCCGGCAATGAACCAGGTTGACGATGATCTTTATGCAAGTGACAGTGGTGCGGCCAGCAATAATGACACTGAGAGCAACGACTCTGATATGGATAGCGAAGGCCAATCTGAGGATGGTGACGCCATGATGCAATATTCAAATTCTGAGCAAATCGCTGCTGATGAAGCCGAGCGAAACAAAAAGACAACTGCAGTCCCGCCAAATCATAGGGCATATGTCCTGGCTGATTTAAGTTCACACGACCTCAATACTCAGCTGAGATATTTCCACACCACGAAAGCTCGTGAAGAAGTCGACGGGAAAACACCCATCAGATGTCTTGTTTGCGCAAAAGAAGGTCATATGGCTGAGTTGTGCGAATTTCTCACTTGCTCTGCCTGTGGAGCCTTCAACCGGCATACGACACAGGCTTGTCCCAATAATGCGAAGTGTGAGAGATGCCGTGAGCAAGGCCATGACGAGCGTTATTGTCCCTACAAGTTAAAAAGGATGCCCAAGCATGAGATCGTGTGCGACTTATGCCAGCGCAACGGCCACATCGAAGAGGATTGCGAGCTCATTTGGCGAACATCCGGCCGGCCATGGGAGTCCGACTTGGCGCATGCAAGCGTACGGCTCTCCTGTTATGAGTGTGGGCGCTCCGGCCATTTAGGCAATAATTGCCTCTCCCGGAGGCCCAACAAATCAATGGGTACGAGTACCTGGGATGGCAATTTTGGTCAAGTGTCGATCAAATCCACGCGTGAAATCAAAATCAAGGGAAAAGCAACACAGCAAGATCCCATCAACATTGACGATAGCGACGATGAGCGAGCGAACTTCTACCGGCCTAAGATCTCGGTGCCAGAGCCAGTACGCAAGGGACAGATCCGAATAATCACTGGCAGATATGAATCGCCAGTATATGAAAGTACTCGGAATAACAGACAGGCGTACGCTGATAACAGGCATGGTTCATTTACCACTGTCAATGAATCCTACCGAAACGACGAAGCCAGACAACCTTATCAGCAATACCGAGATGGTGGAAGGGGCAATTGGCGTGCAGTTGATGGGCCAGACTATGCAACAGGCCACGATGATCTTCGACATAACAGATATAGGCCCAGTGAACGAAGCTCAAGATCGCCTCCAAACCGACACCTTGGAGGCTACGCCGGAGGAAGTTCCTGGCCCTCTCCACGATCAGCACCAAAGGCCGTAAACCAAGACAGGCGTCCTCCTGTACACGCGAATGTCTACCGGCCCATGCCGAGTGCCGCTCAGAATGCATGGACTAAGCGTCGGGTGTAACTTTACTCTGTTTTGAGAATAGTGTTGTTCACGGTGGCTTGAGGGTTTCCTTCTTTGTTTGCATGAACGGCGGAGCAGATGGCTTTTAGCAAGGCGCTAAACAGGATGCACAACGAATGAGATACCCGTGTGCTAGCGATGATAGATGGAGCATGCAGATGCTTCTTTCCTAGAATGTTCATATGACAATCACCATCCTCAACCAAGGAGAAGATGGGAAAAAGCCAAGAATATGTACATTCTTCAAACCATACCAGAGTCAATTGGCCAAAACCTCCCTCGACTATTAATATTTTGTTTTAAGATAACGTCGATCGCGTTCGACAATACCCCGTATGCGTCTCTATATATCGGCTCCACCAGTGATAAGCTAGCTATGACTCTCCGTATGTATTTACCCATCATAATTAAAATATTGTTTTCCAATCTCATAAAGCTTTGACTAGGACAGACCCGCCCTTGACGGGTATTAAACAGGAAAAGAATGATCATATAAACACCCCCCCCACCCGACAGCCATTTTCCTAACGGGGAATGGCACCCCGGCTTGCCGGACCACATCTGACAAGACGGAAGAGGTTAACCACTACACCATTAAGGAGTAACGATAGAATGATCACTGTTGTAGAATATCGAACCAATACAGCAGTTGCGAGTAGATTAGGCGAGCCTTAAGAGCGACATCGCCGTCACCATTGTATATGCAGGCAAGCTACCTTAGTACGGACCCGTGACAGATCGGGAGACTTCAAGTTTAATGAGCAAGGGAGTGGACGATATTTCGCCGCTAGCTGTCCTCTCCGTATGGGATATAGAGAAATCGCGAACCTTTCCTGCAAGCTCTCCAAGCTTCAACAATCACTTGCGCCAACTGCTTCCGCACACCCATACAAGTCTCAGAGCTCCGCCGAATCCTTTCCAATATGCCAAAATATAAGTTTTCCCTTCCCCGCAGCTTTGATTGACTCTACTAACAGCCAAGCACTCTTCTGTAGGATCTCTACCTCCCTCGTCTCTCACCATCAGACGCTAACTCCACAGGCGACTACTGCGATGTCTACCTCACCCACGACTCCATGTCCGTCCGAAAAGCCCATAACAGCGGTCGAAATCACGAGCGGAACGTGCTAGACTACTATCAACGTATGTCTCCAACTCCCCTTTCCCCTTTCCCCTTCCCCTCCTCCTCTTCTCTACACAACAACACCCGGACTGACTCCAGACTGCAGAAATCGGCCACGAAAAAGCTCAGTCGGTCATCGACTCCATCACATCCTCCTACGCCGCCGAAGGCCAAGCGGGCGCAAACCCCATGCTCGCACCGCAAGGCGGTCCACCCATGGGCGGGCAGGGCTTTCCTCCCCCGCCGTTTGGTTTCCCCGGTACGCCGCCCCATTCCCGAGCCGTTCGTTGCCAAAATCCCGCGGACGACGTGTGCTAACAGACCCCCTTCCCTCTCCACAGCCGGAATGCCCCCGCCGCCCTTCATGCCCGGCCCCGGCGGTCCCGGCGCCCCTCCGCCCGGCTTCGTGCCCCCGCCGGGCGGTCGCGGCATGCCTCCTTTCCCCCCTTTCCCGCCCGCCGCTTCGCCGAGTGGCAATGGACCCCCGATGCCCGGGATGCCCGGCGGGTTGCCGTTCCCACCGCCCGGAGGCATGCCGCCGAACTTCCAGGGGTTCCCGCCCCCGATGGGGGGGGCCGGGGCAGGGGATGAGTCCGCCGCAGGGCGGGTTCCCGCCGCCGCAGGGTATGCCGCCGTTTCAGGGTGGGAGGTAGCCGATGGGATGTGGGTGCTTGAAAGGTGGATGTTTTGAGCGGAGAGAGAGACCCCCTGCTAGGATTTTTATGAGGGGCTGGAGAAGAAGGGGGAAGATTCGTTTGATGGATCTAGATTACAAAAGCATTCTTAGGGAGGCTGGAGATCGGAAGCCGTTGCTTTGGTTGCATGATACCCAGGATCGGGCTATGTTTCACAGCATGAGGGCAAGGCTGCTATGCATAGACCAGAAGCTGCGAGAATTTCGACGGAAAGGCTGGTGGCTAGCATTTTCTGCTGGGAAAGCTATCAATGCGTGGGTGTCGAAACATCCAAACCAATTACATGCCACGCTTGCTCAATCCTTTTCGTAACCCATATCCCTTTCATAATCCATCGAAGTCTTTCACGACTTCCCAGGTGGATCTCTAGGCCCAATGATCTGACGTCTCGCTCCAAATCCTATCCCCGCTCCGCCCCGGTTTTGACTATCACCACCCAGATACCCATACTGATTCACGTCCCAACTGCCATCGCCAGGCCCTACACCACCCTCTCTTACCCCTGAAGCAGCAGCCGCTTTAGTCGCTCTCTGCGCTTCTTCCCATTCTTGCTGGCGGAGACGGTCGAGTTCCATTTCTCGGCTAAGGAGAGAGGATGGCTTGGCGAAAGGTGGCTTTTTGGTTGGTGTACTGGCGGACTGCGACTGAGGAGGCGGAATCGGTGTGGAGATGGCGGGTGATGTAGGTCTTGCGAAGGGTGACTTGCGTTGGGGAGAGGGTTGACGGGGACTGGAAGCGTAGCTTGCTGGATTTGGGAGCGGGCGTGGTGGAAGGGATGAGATTGGTGGTGGTGAGGATGCTTGAGGAGTCGGCAGGGGTCGAGGTGGTTGCTGAGGGGGTCCATCTAAGCTGGGCAGGGGGCGCGGAGGCTGCGGTGGTAGAAGGTCTTGAGTTGTTGGAAGAGGTCTTGGAGGCTGTTGTGGTGGAGCTGGCTCGGCGTTGTGGCTTGACCATTCTTTCCTCAGATAGTCACGCTCGTCTGCTCTCCGGGAGTCTTCACTGTCCTGGTGCGAATGTGCTGGCGCCGGTCGACTCCTGCTTCGAGGGCGATCTTGCTGTACATTAGCGCTTGACCAAGAGGTCCCCTCCTGGTTTCGAACTTGATCTGCTTGCAACCGCTCCTGTCGCTCACGTTCATACTTCGCTTCACGCTCCTTGGCTTCTGCTAGCTGCTTCTCTAGTTCTTCGACTCGATCTCGTTCTGGAGCTCGCTCGGGATCCTCTCCGCTAGACGCCGGAGGCTTTTGCAGCTGTTCCGCTTTGTACTGGCTGAGGTACTGACCCTGGAGTTGTGGCCTTGGCTGGATTTTCCCTTGCCTTTGCCTCGCTGTCTTGATCTCAGCTTCCGCCTCTTCTTTCGCTCTAATCTCCTCCTCTTCTTTCCATTTTCTTTCTTCTTCGTCCCACCGGCGTTTCTCCTCTTCAACTCGGCGCTTTTCTATTTCGCGTTTTCGTGCCGTCTCTTCTTCCCACCGCTGCTCTTCAGCAAGCCTCTCCCTCTCTTCTTCGGCTTCTCGTTCCACACGCCGTTTGTGCTCAGCTTCGTCAGCTTGCAGTCGTAATCTCTCATCCTCTGCTTCTTGCTCACGCTTCTTGCGCTCCTTCCCTGCTAAGCTCGGAACCTTGGGTGCTGGTGTAGTAATCTGTCTCCGGCCTCCAAATGAGATTCCTTGATTTCCTTGACTCGCACCACCCATATACCCATACTGATGGATGTTCCAAGCCGGAGTTGTAGCACCCTCATCGCCCTTTTTGCTCCAGCTACTGACGCCTCCCGAAGACGATGCTGGTGGAGCGCCATTGACGGTCTTTTCTGCATGATTGTCGGATATTGAAGGACTGCCTCGTCCGCCTACTGCTTTAGATGCCTGGTGTGAGGCCTGGTGGGAAGTAGCTGAACTAGCCTCGCTTGAGTTGCTGATGCCTCGAGGCCGCCCATATCTTGCTGCAGAAAAGCCTCCAGTACTCTGCGGGCTGATGATGCCAGTCTTGCTCTTATCCCCTCCTATAGTACTCGAAAATTTGCTTGGCTGTACGGCATGGGCTCTTCGGCTAAAAGAGGATATGCACTGTAGTACCTGAGCAGGATCTTTCGACTCATAGAGATCGACGGTCTGGAAAATATCATGTGACTGTAGGTTCAAAGGAGGCGATTGGCAGGCGCGGAGAAAGTGAGAGATGTTCTCCATCTGGACGAAAGGCATGGATGAGTCTTTGAAGCGTACACCTGGTGGGGCTGCGAGGTTGACAAGCCTGCCGGACTTGTGTCAGTCTCAGTACTATCAGAGGTATGGTAATACCGTATGGCATACTTGCAGAGTGCAATCCCATCCTTCAGTGCCTCCAGCAAATCCCCATCAACCAACCGCTCTCCCAGAACATCCTGGATCCATATCCTCACTTCATTCGCAGCTTGCGGGGTGTACTTCGACAGGCGAATATTTCGCATGTCCTTGTCGAGGGAAGATACCGAAGCCATGGTGGTTGACCTTGCTCTGTTTTCAGGCCACAGGAAGGCTACCTAATGTCTTGCTGGGATACTAGGTTTAGCAATACTGGTTGTACATAATGTTCCAGTGCTGATCCGTAAGCCTGTGCATATTTATGCTTGTGTAAAGTGAACTCAAGCGTGCTGTGTATGTTTGGTACAGTGTCAAGGCTGAACTCAGTGTTCCCCAGATTGATGAACTCCCGCTTAGCGCGGCGGGATGACCAGGGTCGCCACTAGACATTTTGATATCGAATGAGGATCCCAGCAACGTCTACTACTCAATCTCCAAATGTCTGCTCCTTCTTCATCTCCTCTCACTGCAATATGGCGAAAATGGAAGACACTAGAACTACCATGGCGGCGACGCTGGCTAGCCGGTACATGCTCTCCAGCGTTCGGAGCGCCTACTATTCCAACCACTTTACTGACATACAACTACAGGCACCGACCTCAACGGAAACACCTTCTGGTACTTCAAGCCTAGCCTCGCATTCACCCGTCCTCGCCGCATCCTCCAAAACAACCCCAAGATCGCCTACTCCGACATCGAAATCTCCCCAAGTTGGCACCAATGGCTCCGCGGCACTCGCCCTACTCCCCCTTCACTACCGGAACAGATACAAGATGTTCGGCGCCAACGCGATTTGAAGCAATTGGCTGCTGCGGCAGATGCGAGATGGGCTGCTAAGCCGTCGGTTCTTGATAAGCCGAGAAGGGGGAATTTGGAGCTGGGGGTTGGAGACGGAGAGGCGGAGGGGACGGTGGGGAGGAGGTGGGAGGAGGGGCAGAAGACGGGGAGTGGGGAGAGGGTGGAGAAGGAGTTGAGTGAGGGGGAGAAGGGGGAGAGGAGTGGGCAAGTGAAGAAGCAGAAGGAGAATCCATGGGCTCGACAGAGAGGGAACCCTGGCGAGGGGTGGCAGCCTGAAGCCTGGGCACCTGGGCCTGTGAAGAGATAGTGGCATATTAGATGAAAGCACACATCATAGATGGGCGTAAGGGAGCTCAACGATAAAATGAATTTGGCTCTGACTATCTACATTGACTAGCTAACAACGCGGCCACATGCATCGTGGCTTGCTCTCTTCAACTCGCCAGATGCCTGATTTTTGCCATGCGCCCCATTGTACAATTACCGTCACCACAAGAGCGGTCTCGAGCCCATCATGTCCCAAAATCCTGCGGAAGCACTCAAGTGCGGTAAGAAGAAAATGCTCAGACTCCACTCTTTCAACCATGGTGGGGTTCATAAAATAATCATCGAGGCAATATTATCAATATCTATTATATGCTGACGCCGCGGCCGTAAAGTGGTCCTCAATGATCGTAACCGGCACCCCGCTGCCATGGACTGGTATTGTTCTGCTGTCTGTAGCCACCTGCAGTATTCGGGCGGTAGGGTGACTGGTCTCGTTGTCTTCCCATCAATGGCATGTCGGCGCCAGGACGAGAACTCGAGTTGTCGTTTTTGTACATTGGCGGTCCATGGCGAGGAGTACCATCGCTGGGGAGGTACTGCATGTTCGGATCAACGGGAGAACGCGGTGGCTCTCGCGCGCTGAGGTTTCGGTTTGAGTTGGCGGTGGATGGTGGCAGAGGTGCGCCCGCGGCGTCATGACCCATTTTTCCAGACCCGGAAGAGTAAGAGTCTTCATCGTCATCAAGGTCACGACCATAGAAACCCTTCTGGGCCATGTCTCCTCGGGCAGTGACACCAAGGGCATCAAGCTCGGTATTGAGATTTGTCTGAGACTTGATGAACGAGCCGCGATCGTCTCGCATAGGCTGGTATCTCGTGTCGGGATTCTTGGAGAATATTGCGTAACATGTAGCGACAAGTACCATTAACAGGAGGACTAAGGCAAAGGCGGCGTTGTAGACGAAGAAAACCACACCCATGACACCAGTAACAATCCCCTGTGTGTGTGTCAGTATTGAATCTGGGTCCAATGGGATGTGGACAAGCTTACCGGTTGGTTAAAGACCGAGGTGAAGACTAGCAAGAAGATAGCGTTGATGAAGTTAATGGCTGCGATGGAGATGTTGAATGCGTTGGTCTTCTTGTCCATCCATGGCCGGAGAATGCTGACACCGATGAGGAAGCCAGCCTCGATGACGACCAGTGCAATGGCTTGAGTGATGCCGCTGTTCTGGGCAAAAGCAATAAACAATGCTTTGATCAAAATATAACCCAGACTTGGCATGATGAAGTAGTAGGCTGTAGCACGGAATTGGACATATAAGAAACCCCATTTGTTGAGAGCGGACGGATCGGAGTAAAGGATGTAGGCAGGGTTCTTATGCATGGTAACTGATCGCTTGGCTATCCGGAAGACCTTGAGCGAGGCCCAGGCCAAAGCTATGCTCATTGAGACGAAGAAGAATAACGCAAGTACGACTTCGGCGGCGGAGTCCCTCTGCGTCAACTCCCAAAGGCATAGAATGCAGATTTGCGGATAGCCAATGAGCACCTACAGTAGTCGCATTAGTGTTGGGTCATTAGACCTAGGGCTCATGGCTTACCAAACGGAACAATATACCCTTCAGCACAACCTTCCATCCAGTTCTGAAGTCTTCAAATTTATCGCCCTTAAACCATCCGGCCTTAACAGCAATTTCGCAAAAGCCCTTGAATAGCATTACACAGACCGCTGTGAGGAAGACGAAGATCATGAAGAAGATGAGTCCCGTCAAGAAAATGTTGGTGGTTTCGATCTTCGCGCGAAATCCAACCCTTTTGATGCCGGAGACTATGACCACTTTTGCGGCTGAGGCTGTCGCAGAGGTATTGTTGACTCTTTTGGACAAAGCATGAGCGGCACGCATAATACTCTTGCCCACATTAAGAGACCGCTTTTGGACTTCGACAGACTCCGTGTTGAGAGTTGACAGTAGCGTTGACGGCGTTCCCCCTGTAGCCCTTTGATACCAGGTACATATCGACTCCAGGAAACCGACTCTGATGATTCCCAAGCTCCATTGAAAATTTTGGGTCCATGAAGCAACGATCGGTGGAAGAGGAACAGCAGTCATACCAATAATGGCTTGAGCTTGGAAAAAGCCGAACAGAGACAGAGCATTTGCGGCCACATGGGCTGCGGTATTTGAATGTCCTAGCCCCGAGGTCACCGCAGAAGCTAGCAACGCTAGACCAGCGATGACCGCAGTCGTCCATCCGACCCCTTTCTGGTCGACCGTCTTTCCGTTGGAGAGCGGTGCTTCGACACAAGCTTCACTAGCCCCAGTCACGTTGTTCTTGATGTAGACCTTGACAACACCATCCAAGTCCGGCACACCGTATGTAATGCTGGGGATATATTTCTCGACGCTTGACGGAACGTCAATGTTCGATTGGATGTTGATCTGACCAGTGTTCATGGGACACAGGCCCTCTAGGTTTGAGGTGCAAGGGTCCAAGGTCTGCTTCAAAGCGGTGTAGCCGTAAGCAATAACATCGATCTCTGCCGTGACATAACCTGAAATCGATGAAACCCCGAGGATGTTGAAGGCTAAACTGTTGTTGTCTGGTGTGAAGATGACATTGAATAACGTCGCTGTGAAACTGGAGTTCGCTTGGCAAGGGTTCAGGGATTGTGACTCTATCAATCTCTCCGGTGATGCGAAAGGCGCCAGGGAAACTATAGTGGCAAGAGAAAGCCATGCTGACCCGGACAATGATGAGAAACGCATAATGATGTGTGGCCAAATAAAGGATCCAAGCGTTCAAGGTGAAGATGTAGAGGCGCTTGGTTGCACCTGAGTGCGGTGTTCGAGACCGGGTTGCGCAGCCGCGCCAGGTATCGAAACAGCTGCTCTAGCGAAGTGATGTTTCTGTGAATGGAGCGCTATCAAATATGAGCCGAAGAGGGAATAATGAGACGTCGTGATGGTTGATGGTATGAGGAGGATTGACGGTTGTCGCTGCGACGACCAAAATAGAAACAAAGAAATTGAGCGAGTGGCAAGGCTGGACAGTACTCGTACCTAGTGGACAATGGAGGTCCCGGATCGCCGCGGTTTTTTTTTTCGTTCGTAGGACCTCAGCTTGACCAGTGCATTGTAAGGATTGTATTTGGAGAGTAATTGCAAGAGATGTGTTTGATGGATAGGAGACTCGGTGATGTTTTATTGAAGGATGGATGGGCAAGGAGGCGCAAGTAGCGCGACATTTCATTTCCAGGGGACCGGCCTCGTATTTCCCGTAGGATACGCGTAATGGTCATCAATGTATTTTCTTCACCACCAAATATTCGTTCTACAATCGTAAGCTTACTGACAGGCTCGGATCACACCGTCTTCTACGTGGAGAAATCAAAGCCATCATGCACATTATGCTCATGGTTATTTCAGGATATTGGTCTGGTTTCCTCAAACGGCCTTTTGATCCAGCAAAATACTCTCCAACTTCTTCGGCTTAAGAAGCAATATGCTTGAATGTCCGGAAGGGAATGCCCTGATCCATCACTGTCTGGTGGAAGATTCCTTAACGTTGACTTTCTTTATTTTCATAAAGGATAATGATGATAAAGGACAATGATATATATCTCGTTCCTCCGCAGTTTGACACTGAATTATGCCTATGATCTATAGCGCTAACCTGTCTAAGCTAGACTGCCAAGATGATAGACTTCTCGGCCACAAGAGTAATCCCGGGACGAGCTTCTCTTCTGCCAAATAGCCAGCTTTAACGGTTCCTTTTAAACCTCAGCCAACGCTAGTGTACGATACCGGAGAGTCATTAGGCCGGTACAGCCACATTCCCCTGATTAGTAAGAGATTCCCATAGAAAGTAGGGGGCGGATCCTGCCTTCCTACTGCATCCTCCCCATACCTCGCTGTCGCCCTCCCACACCTCCTAGACTCCGCTCCGTCAAATCTTCGCGTAACCCCCTCTTGTATTCGTCAGCCCCCTGTCACGGTTCCAATGACCTTACGACCTTACTTACTTGTGTTATGGCTTAATTGGGCTTAGCGTGCCAAGGCCTTTCGGCCTTTCTACCTTACTGTGAAGCCTATACTTATAATAATCCTACATAGATAGTATTCTCTTTATACTATAATACAGAGTTATTACATATACCATTAAGTTTCTAATATAATACTATCTATCTTTCTTCTAGAGCGGTAGCGACCTATTTACTAGTTATACTAAAGGTGTAACTAAGAAGAAAGTATATTATTAAGAAGTTAGTAGCTATAGTTGAAGGAGCTTACTACTCGAAAGATCATTTAAAAGAAAATCTTTTACTTATATAAAGGCTAATCTAGCTAGATTAAATAAGAATCTGAAGGAAATAAATATCTTTAATATACTAAAAGGAATAAATTCCCTTCGTACTCTCACTGGCTTAATACTAGCTATAAACTCATCAACCTTAAATCTAGATAATACACAAAGTTAAACTATTATAGATGAGCTATAAATACGTTACCGTCTAGAAGAACTTAAGAACTCCGATGAGAAGGTCTTAAATATCTTTATATTGTCCGCATAATGTAAAAAAAAGCGTTCTATCTTTAGAAGATATATTATCGAACTTAGTTTAGATTATATCGAAGTATAACTTACGAATATTATTAAGAAAGAGTCTATTGCAATCTTTATATCTATTGTTAACTCGTAGAATTTTATAAAAAGCGCTATCGATACTTCTAATACTTAATATAATAAATTAAAGACTTTAATAGAGAGCTTTCGAACTGCTAGCCGAAATATTAAGGTGCTTTAATAATAAAATAAATAACTTAACTAGAATATCGCTTATACTAAGATAAAGATATTAGTAATTACTATCTAGCTAAGTAATAGTAATAGCTAATTATCCCATAAGCGAGAAACTAATAATAGATTTTAAAGCTTACGTAATAGATATCGTATTAATATTACGAAACTTATTAAAGAAAATAAGAAACTTAAGTAAGACTTAAGACGTAAAGAGCAATAGCTAAAGAAGTAATAACCTTACATATTAACTAATTTAAAAAACTTTAATAAAAAGAACGTAAAGGTTATATCTTATTAGCCGAGTATTCCCATTAATAGCATCTATCGAAATTTACGTTATATCTCTATTACGGATCGCGTAGAGAATATAGAATTAAATAAACGATATCTCGACGTCTCGGATTTTTATAGTATTAATGATCGAAATAAGTAGAATAGCTGGCGTTAATACCTTAAAGCGAAGTTTAGATAAAGCGCCATAATCTTCTCTACTAAACTTGAGAAAATCGATTACATACGGGATTATTATAAGTTTACTACGTATAACGTTATTAAAACGAGAGTAGATAAAGATACCTTAGACCTATACTAAATCGCCCAAAAAATAATTAACGAATTAGATAATATATTCGAAATATATAATAAGATTATTAAATTGAATACTAAGATATTCGATTCTAAATTTAATATAGGAGTAATAGATAAGAAGAAATCGTTCGAGAACTTCTACGCACGATTCTCTGCAGCTATCGCTCCCTTAAAATTTACTAATATCTATAAAATATCTAACCTAAAACGATTAATCTCCACACGCCTAAGATATCGAATTTCAAGATAGCCTTTTAGCACTTTCCGAGAATTGGTTATTTTCCTACAAACATTAGATATAAACCTACGGGCTATTGATAATACATTAGATTTAAAGAGTAAGGAAGAAATCAATAAAACTGATAATAGTTGTGGGAACTTTATCCCCTCGAATAATCAGCGTAATACTTTATCCACTAAAAGAAACAATAATACTACTATCGAGAATTCCTATATACGAGAATATAAGTATCCTAAATCATTAGTAAATAGAATTTAAAAAGAAAGTAGATATTTTAAGTGCTTGAAGACTAGATATCGTTTTAGCGATAATAGTGTTTTATATAAGAATATAGACTTATTAATAAAAGAATAAGTTGATATAATTCTAAAAGCTGTCGGCGTTAAGAAGAACGTCCTCGTCGAACTACTATAAGAATTGGAAAATTAAACGTCCCTAGCTAAGTCGCCGCCAGAGATCTAAAAGCCTTATATATAAGGATCAAAGAGTTAAAAACAGAAAGGACACTCGCTTTCGTCTCTCTATCCGCGTGTGCTATCGCTACTAAAGCCTCTTTATAAAATAAACGCTAATTAGACTTTCATAGAAAAATTATTATATTAATAGAATAGATTAAGACTAACTATCTCTCAGATATCGAAGCTTTAATACTAAGCTTCGTAGATATATCTTTTATTAAAGTAAATAAGCTATTTAAGGTAGTACTAATATAATTCTATAGGTTATAATTAGCCAATAATAAATCTATCTCCGTATTCGATATTATATATATGACCTTAATAAAACTCGCCTTAGGAGATCATATAGAAGAACTTTGATGCTTGATTATCTATAAGGGCGTAGTTCACTAACGGTTAGCTAGCGAACATTAGCTATAAAAGATATAGTATCGTTATGGGATTTAATAGTATATTTAATAGTAGAACTAATCTCTAAGAAATATTAAAACTTCGGGACATGCGAAGTAGACCTATGTCCGTCAAGCCCCTAGACATATAAGGTACGTCATTAAAATTAGATTCTAAAAGGGACCCTAACGTAGTATATACGATATCGGCGCCTTGGCGTAAATAGCGTCAAGGTCTATAACGCATTAAGCCTAACAATTATCTTCTCTTCTAGGCCCTAGTCTTTAGACGCCTAAATAAAGATAGAACGCTTATTAAAAAATCTTTAAACTCTAGTAAAGAAATAAGAGAAAAGAGTCGATCTATTAAAATTACGATATCGTTTCGATAATGCGATAGAATTAACTCTTACGCGCCGTAGGCGCGTTACTAATATATTATATAATAATATTAATACTATCTTCGAGAATAACATCGCTTTTATAATATTAATTAATAGTAATCTATAGTAAGTCGATACGCTTAATATTGGCGTTCCTATAGCGCTAGTTAATAGCCTCTATAGCGAATAATATTAGATTTAAAAACTTATAATAAAACCTCGAAAATCTAATAAGTAAAAGAAGGGAGAAGAGTTTTTCTATAGATAACGTCGTTTCTATAGCGTCTTACGTTTATAGCGAAGTAACGTAATAATAATCTTTATTATAGAAATTCGAAGGGAGTAATTAATAGAGCGACGCGTTCGCGATAATATTTTTAATTATTAATTAATAATAGTAGAAATAATAATAATAGCTAGGTGACGCGGCCTAGTAGGTAATAGTAAAATATTACCGCGTCGCTACTATCTACGTTATTAAGTATTATTTATTAGTAGTAGCGCTATAATAGAGAATATAAAAACCCCTTTTAAATTATTTATTTTTATTCTTTATAACTTCTAACGCCTCTCTTATAAGTGCTTACTTTAACGCTATAACGTCGATATTAATACTAACATAAGCGTAGTATATCTTATTATATTAGTAGTCTACTTCTCTTTATCGTAAGTATCTTATTATTATTAATCGCGTTAATATATAGGCTAATAATTTTATAGTATCCTTTTTTAATAATAATAATAACTTTAATAGTAAGTATATAGTCGCCTTATAGGCGCGACTACTAACCCTTAATTATTTCTATTACTATCGCTTTATATATGTATTTATTAATAAGTTCTAGTATCTAGTTTATTATATAGGACTTACTTTTATTAAGGCGATAATTTATATATTTGAGATAA